CTAATCATTACTATTAACTTTCTGCCCTAAATATTACTCTGTGTGTTTTTTCTGTTTATATGAACTCACAGAGTTGCATTTAACTTTTGCACCTCAAAGCAAAGTTAAATGTCAAGCTCCCCTTCCGGTAAGTGTGTGTTTGTGTGAGGTCCTTTCCTTTAACATTTCCACATCAGATATCGACCAGTGGAACAAGGTGATTGAGCAGCTAGGCACTCCATCTCAGGATTTTCTAATGAAACTGAATCACTCAGTGAGAACGTATGTAGAAAACAGACCACGGTATGCCGGATACAGTTTTGAGAAGCTCTTCCCAGATGTGCTCTTCCCTGCTGACTCTGATCACAACAAACTGAAAGGTATGTAACATCCTCTGTATAATAAATGCACATTTTAACCATGATTTTTCTTTATTTTTATGAATGCCATTGCACCACATCTGCTTGTTGTATCTTGTTGCAGCAAGCCAAGCCAGAGACCTGTTATCCAAGATGCTGGTGATTGATGCGTCAAAGCGCATCTCTGTGGAAGAAGCCTTGCACCACCCATATATTAATGTTTGGTACGATCCTGCTGAAGTGGAAGCGGTGAGTGGATCTCTGGAGAGACGAGCAGAACACGCAAGCGTTTGTTACATTGCATAATGTGTCATTTCTCTTCTTATACCAGGTTGCCGTTCAAATCAAATTTGCTTTTCTGTTCTGGTTTTATTTTTAGCCGCCTCCAAAGATCCCAGACAGGACGCTGGATGAAAGAGAGCACACTGTGGAGGAGTGGAAAGGTTAGACAACCTGGTTATCTTCCTACCTCTGCACTTAACAAGTTCACTTGTCGTTGACTTAGTTTGAAACGCATCACTAAAGATGTATCAGTGTTTTTATCCCTGAAAATACTCCCAACAAAAATTTTTTTCTTGCCTTTTATCATTTAAACTTAGTTAAAAATGATAGTAATAGTATAATTTAGTTATAATTAGTATAGATTTCTATCTTTGAATCTTAAATGTATATTACATATTTTCCCCATTTTTAGTAGTGCAGTGATAATAATTGAGAAATAGGAGGAATTAGAAAGTGTAGCTTGCCTTTATTTCACTCGATAGAGAAGAAGCACTTCTTGCTACTAAAAGAATAGAATATTAAGCTCTGAAATGGGATAGAGAGCATATTTTCAAATGATTCTCTCAGTTGAATTACCCAGATTTCTGTCTGGATTTTAACTGGGACACATGCTATTCTAACAGATTTTCTTCCAGATGTGTCTTATATTTAGCTCCATCTATATTAACATCAACTGTCACCAGCTTCCATTTTACTACTGAAGAAAAGCATCCCTGCAGCATAATGCTGCCACCAACATGTGTCACTGTGGGGACTGTGTGTTCAGAGTATCGAGTAGTAACTCCTCCAGTTACCATGAGTCTCTTGGCTTCTTCTCTGGTTAATCCTCCCCTTGGTCAGTCTCTTAGTTTAGGTGGATGGACACATCTTGATAGGTTTAAAGTTATAAAATGTTAATTATTTTGGGATGGTGGATTAAACATTTTTTTCTGTTTGGCATTCATTAACTTAACCCTTCTTTAAACCTTGCCAGAACTTTATTATCAACCTCTTGGGTTGCTCCTTGGCAGTGGCGGCTCTCATGTAAAATATACCCTGGCGGAGCCCATCATTCTGCTGTCCCACAAACAGTTGGATGTGAAAATGATTTTGGAGATTTCAGGGCAGGATAAAATGCAATACAGTCCCACAGAGAGCAGGTAACCCAGTATCCACATTCTCAGCAGCAAGCATGGGATCCTAATCAACACACAAGAGTTGCATAGAATAAAAAAAAAAACTGAAAAATAAAATAAAAAACCTTTTAAGGGCACATTTGAAATATTATCTTGATTTTGTGTACTACCCTTTCAAATGCTGCCATGGCAAACTGAAAGCCTGATTCACACTACTGTTTCTTTTTGTTTTTTTTTGGGGGGGAGGGGGGTTTCTGTAAAGTTATCCAACAAATCTCTCACATATATTCACATAACTGCTGTTTAGCTGAAATTAAGTTACACAGGTTAATGTACAAGTAAGTCAGACGACTTCTGGAGGAAATGGTTTTACGAGATTAGTGGTTTTGGGGAAAGGGAGTTAAACGCAAATGTATGCCACACTTACGAGATTTTTATTGATAAAATAATTTGAAAATATTTCACTTCCATTGTATAATTAACCATTAATTTTATCACAAAAATTCCAATAATATATATATAGTTTTGGAATTTGTAGCATGTGATTATGTGATTGTAGCATGATAAGATGTGACAAAGTTGAGGAGTATGAAAACATTTTCAAGGTATTATATGTACGGAAAAGAATAACTGGATTATTTTTTCACATTTGGACTTATGAGTTCTAAGCATTTTAAAAGCCCGGTTTATGTTTTTCTACTGTGAGGAATATGATTCTGTCCTGCATAGGAAAGACTGTGATTAAATATCAGTTTCAGTCGTGCAGCAAGATGAGCTCATCTCAATGCCTGTCAGGTGATAATGACCCTCTCACTCATTTTTAGAAGGGTCACACACCAGCATGCCCAGTCCAAATTAGAATTGTGATGTTGTTTTGGGATGAGCAGTATGTTATGCACCCCAACCTTAGGTAAAAGATTTGATGTTCCTGAATATACCTATCGACAATTTCCATGAAACCACTGAGCTTACCTTGACCTTTTGATGCACTTTTTGTTTTCCAGAGCTAATTTATAAGGAAGTGATCGAATGGGAGGAACGAACAAAAAATGGAGTGATCAGAGGTCAACCCACTGCTTTAGGTGAGTAATCACTATAACATGGGTTAGTTAAAATATGGGAGAATTAGAGTAGATGCAGCATAAGGCTGCCACCAACAGCATAATGTTGGTGTTATGCTGACTTATGTCATCCCTACTAATGACATAAGTCAAGACATAAGTTAATGACTTAACTTACGTCATTAAGTTAAGTTGTAATTAACTTAATGACATAAGTTAATTATATACACTTATGTAATTGAGATTAAATATTTGATAAAGATTCCTTATTTTGCAATTAGATCAAACCAAGAATAATATGCTGTGCAGCCCCAAGGTAAATATAAAATGTTACAATGACACTACCTAATAGTTTTGATACGACACAAGTAAGGGATTCTTTCTTTTTCAGGACTGACTTGCCAAACTGCCGCAGCTGATAAATATTGGTAGTTGTTTGGTGTATTCTAAGAACAGGATTTTGAGCTCTTATTCTTTCCAGTCGTGCTTGAGCCATAATTTCCACTCTGAAAGAAGAACATGCAGCTCTGCTGAAAGCTGCAGAATTTTGTCACATTAGTCTCTGCAGCTGAGTTAAGCATGGTTTCATGGTTGTGCTGAGGGATGCAGAATGTTTTTTTTTAGTTTTTACAGCATTTTATGAAGGCACACTTTTTATTTTTGAAGATTTGTTCAGTTAAATAAGTGCAATAAATTGTGGTATAATTATGAATGATTAAAGTAATTCACCAGTTAGTGCTCACAATAACATAACCTACTTATGAGAAAATAGCTGGAAATAAAAATATTTGTAAAATAAATGTATGTATGAATTTTTAAAAGACGGCAAAACTTTAAAGTTGATTTTGTCTTTTGTTTATGTTCTATATTTTGTAAAATTTACAATTTTACATTTGGATCTTTAGCTGCTATGGTCCCCCTCTAAAGTCTGAGCAAATCAGAAAATGGCAGTGCTCTTCATATTTCAGTGAAACCTATGCGTTTGCCTGTTTTTCGCAGCACAGGTGCAGCAGTGATCGACAGTCCTCCTCAGCCCACATCTTCCTCCTCCTCTTCCTCGGCCAACGACGTCTCCTCCATGTCCACAGAGCCAACCGATCCCAGCAGTGACCCCACTTTGGGCTCAGAGACAGACAGCAGCTTGGACAGCCACACCTCCCTCAGTGCGCTGGCCTGCTGCAGATAACTACACAAGCACACATCTACTGTACATGTTCAAAACAAACCTTTCCTCATCAGCGTGTGTGTATGTGTGATGGGAGACTGTTTAGGTAATTGTTAGTTTATAGAGTTGAGGATTTGAAGTACAGTTTCTTTGTCCCTCTCATCCCTCTACCTGACCTGTTCTGCTGTAAATTATTGTGATTTGAAGAAGGTGATATCATGATTACTGTATTTTTGCTGCAAGAGGCAAAATGCAAAAATGTTTTGATGTGAAACTGTGATGTATGTAATGGGAAGGATATGAGTGTACTTTATTTACTGCTGTTTTTTTTACTTACTACTGTGGTCAAAAACCATAATGTATTGACTGCAAAATCATGTTGAGTATATTTTTTGCTTTTCTGTGAACTTTGGAAGGAACATATATCAGTTCTCTCAGACAGTAGTTTATAGCACATTTCATCTTGAACTGTAATGATGCAAATGATTTTATTTTCAAGCTGTTACTAAGTTTTCTTGTAGAAAACAGATCTTGGTGTGTCCAAGTTAATATATTTCTTTTTCCAAACCTGTCTGAGTGTGTGTATCTGAACAATCTAATGATAGGGCTTTATTTTTTTACTATAAAATAGAATAATTAGGATTTTACTTATTTGCAGACATAAATGTAATTTTTAGGTGAAACTTCTTTAGATGAGAAGAAGGGGTGAATATAGAGCAAAAAAATTAGATTTATAAGGAGCAGGAAAGTGCTATGAAAAGCTAATATACGTGCGGAATCGGCCACGTACATTGGCACCCTAATAAAGGTATTAGGGATCAATTGCATGATCTCGCATGAAAAATTTAGAAACTTGATCCCTTAACTTGAAACTTTGATAAAAAATCAACTTCAAGGACAATTACTTTGTATGTGTGAGGGCAGGGGATAATTCATTTTAATAGCATCGATACCAATATTAGTACCTGCTGTTTCATCTTTTGAAAATCTAAAGGAAAGAGATTTCCTGAACCATCAGGTGACTGAGCTGTTCTACTAAGTCGGTTAAACAGAAGCACAGTTCTCTAGGACAAATTTGATGCTCTTGCTTATTAACCTGAATAAGAAAAGCATCATAAAAAATAACTTCAGGTGTGTGTATATTGAAGGCATTGTTAAGGGTACATATAAATGGTCCGTTTGTGATTTGGTTAGCAATTATTTCTTAGTGGCAGAAGTACTAATTTCGTGTTTCCCTCTAATTTTAAGATTGTGCAGCTCTGACACTAATTTAGTTGGTGGCTGCTTCTATCCCACCTGCACATTGTCACCAGGGTTACCAATACATTTGTCAAAATCTGTAATGTCTTCAATGACTAGAGTAGGTTACTATAATTTAAGACACCAGAAACTAAGTCCAAATAAATCACTTTTTTCCGTATTAAGTGCCCTTACTCAGTGCAGTGATTCTCAGATTCTCCTCAGTTCCATAACTCCACCTTCATACTATTAACCACTCAGACACTTTAATTTTTAAATATACAATATAATGGTACATATCGACTGAAAACAAAAGCTAAGAAGATTTTATCTTCTTTTACCTTATTTATTTCAAGCTAGAAGAAATCTAGTATGTAATGTACATTGCATTTGGGGATATTCATATCCATTTTGTTTCTGTTTTAAGTAATATAGTTTTTGAATCAGTGTAGCCAGAGATCTGTTGTTGCCTGAAGATGCGTTTTCCGAGCATCATAAAGTGGTTATTTTCCAATCTCTGCCACGGTGAGCTCTGGATATGTTTCATGGCTCAGATTCTCAATGGCTCCAGCTTTTAACCCTGAATGCACTTTGTAGATTGTGACAGTTGTCCTGAGTCATTTGTTCTTTCATTACAATTCAGGCACTACCTTCAGTAAGATTTTACTCACATTTGGGTGCATCTCAAGAAATTAATTGACTTTGACTTTGAAAAGTTAACTTATTTGAGTAACTGATTTGAAAATGTGAATCCAATGTGACTACGCAAAGTCATATGTTTCAAGCATTCATTTCAGTTCATCTTGAACTGCTTAAAGATTTAAAAATGCAAATTTCCCATGCATTAAATTATTTTGACTCTTTTTAAAAAGATTTTTATAGAGAAATTGTCATTTTGTCTGACTGATGACAGCCTTTCATTAATTTTTTCATTTTAATTTTTTGAGAATGCAAATTTTGGGTTTGCATCAGTTTTAAACCATGATCAAATATATTACAAATGAACACTTGAAATACTGCATATTTGTCTGTGTTTAATGAGTTAAAAGGTTTGAATAGAATAATCGTTTTGGTGATATTCAAATTTATTGTGATGCACTAGGATGTTGTTTAAAAAATAATGCTGCCAAAACAGTTTTTCACAACTTCTCTTAGCATTAGTGCAGGTACAATTTAAAGAATAAAACAAAATCCCATCTAGTACCTCTCGGATGATGTAGCAGTCTACTTAGAGTCGGACAAACATTGTTCACAAAATTATCCTTAAGTGTTGTGATTTTTTTGAAAGGTTAGCTGAGTGGCTTTTCACCTTTAAACCCAACTAAGAAAGTTATTGTTAAAGTCTTACATTTTTTCTTTCATTCGAAGTCAAGAAGAAACAGGACTTAAAATTGTATGGATGGTTATGCTACAGCACTTCAGGATTTCTTGTCATTCAGGCAGACATTTAGAGTGTATTCTTGAGATATACTGTATTTTATGGAATGACAAAATACGTTCTTGGTCCAGGGAAGTTCTTATTTGGCACCAGTACTGGTCCACATAGGCACAGGACAGCCATACTGAAGTGGAAAACATGGCTATCAGCATTGCACTAGAGGTATGTTTTCTAAAAAGCTTTGGGACTGGTTGGTCCTCCCAGTGACTGAGTGCCTCAGGACCATTAAAGGCAGTTTGGTCAGGTCTACTTGGTCCTTGCTGCTCCTGTTGTTAGATCTCCAAAAGTCTTAAAGAATTCCTCCATTTCTCTCTGGAGGAGAATGTTTCGATTTTCTGCATCCTGATGTGCCCGCTCTGAATTCCTGAGTCGGATCTCCAACATGTGACACTTCTTCCTCTCCTGGTCCAAGTCCTCTTCGAGGTGGCTAACCTGGCACTGGTATTTCGAACAGGACTCCTCCAGCCTCAAAGGAAAGAGAAAGATGCATTATTAATTTAGCAGATTTAATTGGCTATTTGAGTAAGTCAATATAAATTGATTAGTCTTACTTGCGAATACGCGTTTCATAGTTCACTTTCTGTTTTTTCAGCTCCTGCTTTAGTTGGGTCAGCTTGTTTGGGATTTCTTCACTTGTTCCTGCAACTTCCTCATCATTTGTTCCATTCCCCACTTCAGTGTTTCTCTCTTCATCTTGTTCTAGCTTTGTTGACTTATTGTTTCCTTCTGTGTCCGGCAGCGGAATCTCAAAGGGTGTCCAGATAGATGAAGTGTCAGCAGGCAGGCTTAGGCTGGAAGGAGCTACATTGTCATAGGCAGAAAGTCTGTGAGATTTGTGGAGGACTCTGTGAGAGTGGGATGTTTGAGGGGATTCTAGGTCATAGTCTCTTTGGGTGTCCTTGAGTTGTAGAGTGGTTTCTTTAAGAGACTGGGTTGAATCCTTCAGAGACAATGTAGAGTCTTTCACTCTTTCACCAGATGAGGTCGTGCGTCTATGTGCTCGGAGGGATGACAGGCCATTCATCAGCCAATTGCTCCCACCAGATGCTGACACATCCCCTGCTGAGCCTCCCATTTTCCCCTTTGACCCTGCAGAGACAACATTGCCCTTGAAGGAGCACCTCCATGAAGGTAGAGCTTTGGCCTGTTTGCTTGGGCTAACAGCGACTTCGCTTTCCCCTTCAGTTTTGATATTTTCTTTTTCAATGACTTTTTCATTCAGTTTGTTTACATCATTGCCCTTAGTTTGGCTGTTCTCATCCTTTTCACATGCAAGAGGATTTGATGTAGGCAGCTCACTATCCATCAAAACACTGGAAGGTGTGTGGTTTTCTTTGATATTTGTAGAGTTTACACTTGTAGTATTTAGTGAGTTCGTTTCTTCTTCTTGTGAAACCCATTCTACTTTGGATCGTTTGAGCTCATGTTGGGGTGGGAGAGTTTTGATCTCAGTATCGGAATCCTCATTTGGGTATAGTCGAGAGTGTTCACTGATCAGGACAGTCATCAAATGTTGCACTTGGGAACTTCCTAGGTACATTAGAAAATACCAATACTTGAGACATGTAGTGAGCATTAAATGGAAGGTGTTAAAAAATACAAATTAGCTTTTACATATCAGGCATCACATTATGACCAACTGCCTTAAACGTTTGCTGCAAAAACAGCTCTGACACCTCAAGTGTAGTCTTTGATCACTACTTACAATAACGTAGTTTGGCTGCCCATGGACAACATTTGTTGCAAGCACATCAACTTTGAGTACAAAATATGTGTTCACCCAATAACGGGTGCCCTAAAGAACAGATAACCTGTCAGTGGTCATAATGTGTAGCTTATGCTAAATAATCTCCAACCTTCCATCATTGTAACAGGATCCTCCACTCTAGGCCGAAGAATATTAGGCCCAAAAACGGTGGCCAGGTTCTGAACGCTCATCTTATTGTCAATGGACTGCAACTGAACCTCATCCAAAAACCTGAGAAGATAACCCCAAGAACAGCAGCAGATAGCATTAGCTAATGTTTACTGTGTGCACTATTGTGCGTTACATCAGAGTATAGATAGCTGCAACAGTAACCACAATTAGCATAGGCCTCTATTTGAAACATAGCTGTTTGTAACAGCTGTTGCATAGTTGGCTAGTCTTAGTAGCAACCTAGACATTTATAGATTACCTCGCCAGTGTTTTATAAGGAAAGCTAGCATGCTAATTTTACCATTTTAACTCACATTTGAATGTAAGCTGCATATAACAAAGAAGGTGATCGCAGTGATTAGATACTGTTAGTTAACGTACCGTTTGAAGCTTTCAGTTTAAACCTAGCACAACAGCTAAGGTGAGTAACATGTCTTAACTTTTGTATAATAAGCTAGTTTCTGTTTGCATGTTTGCTGATGTTAGCATTTTATTTTTAAAATGTAGTTTATAGATCCTTTATGTGGCTCAAAGCTTAAAAATTATGAATTCTGGACTTAGTTTTTCAACAAAAACCAACAAAAAAAAGTATTTTGTGATTGGTATTGTACACTAAGTGGCTGACAGTATCAAAATTATTTCAGAAATGTTAAGGTCATTGTTTCTGCTACATCTATTGAAAGAAGGATTGAGTTATGTGATTGATGTGTGTGGGCTCAGCCTATTATTTAGTGATTCAGAAGATAGAATAGACATCATGAAGTCAATGATGTCCTCTGGTGACAATGGTGTGGGTGTGAATGAAAGTAATTTCTCAGATTCCTAAATCATGAAGTGGCAACAAGACTATAGCAATCACAACAAAATACTTTCCCAGATGCATAAGTCAAACTTACTTGCAGATGTATTTCAAGAGGTTGTAGTTGACCTGAGGGAGGGATTTCACCTGTTTACTTAGTTCTGTGATGGCCTTTAACAAAAGAAACAACCAAATGACATGTTCATGTCCAGGAAAACTTTGAAACAATAAGATGAAAAGAGTTCAAATGAGAATTGTACCATTTCTTTGTCCTTGCAAAGAAGCTGAGCACAGGATAAAAACTGTGTGTATTTGGAGAATGGGATTATAGGCTCTGGCAACTCTCGTATGTACAACTTCAACAGTGATGCCACTGTGTGGACGTCTGTGGAACTGTTGAGGAACAACGGTGCACATTTTCAAATAACAACCAACATGAATAATGGAATAACATGTTGCACGCGTAAGATGATCCCTTCTGCTCTCTCACCTGTCGAAAACAGGGATTTCGCCACGGTCAAAAACATCCTGCAGTTCTCGAACATGATTGGTCTGCCCAGGTGCTCTGAAAAGACCCTCCTCCTTGAGTCCTTGTTCACGTATAAAGCTCGCACACAGTTCGACTAGCACGGGGACCACTCGCTGAGGTCCACACTGTGACTCATATGACATTGTCGCCTGTAGATGCTGACCGAAAACACCTGCAGTCACACAACACAAAAAAAATCTAAGATAATAGATTTATATTTTTTTTTATGTGCACTCCAAAAGAGTGTGCTTTACTGGATTAATAGAAATGTGTGTTGATTTAATCACACCTCCACCAAGTGGAGCCCAGATGGCTCTGCGTATGGCTCTGACCCATTCTTCCATGTCACTCTGTGAGTTGGCCATCAGTAGGAACGATTCATGACCTGCGTTACTACGATCCTTTTCTCCAGCTCCCCCTGAAAACACAGATTAGAGTGAATAAAGTAGATAAAATGAGATACAGTTCCTAACACTTTTTATGCCTCTTGAATCTTTGGTCATTTTCAAACACTTCCACCATTCACTCCATTTTTGGAATTGTATGTAAAAATACTAATACTAAATTATCAGTCAATCAATAATTATCAGTACCAGTGTTTTCGATAGCCTTTGAAAACCAAATGCCCATGTAAAGTATAAAGCATTGCATGAGTTCAGTCTCTTTCTTGTTAGTTTAGTCAGCAGGAGATGATCCTGTTTGACATTTTGCTTTGGCATTTGTTTTATCTCACAACAGCTTTGACTTCCCTTCAAGTGGCTTTGTGAACATAAAGGACGACCTAACTCTAGAAAGAAAATAAAACATAATTTGGAATACAGGCATACATTTTTTTTCTATTAGTGGTACAGCAGTCGAACATATGCTTTCAGGGGTTGGATTTTTACAAATGATTATGTGCACTTATTGTTATGTTCTGCATTGCGGTTTATAGTGTGCTTTATGTGTAGGGGAACCAACCTAGAAAGCGTTGTGTTCCCTGGAGACAGCAGCAGCTACTGCATCATGCCTCTCAGTCAGTTCTTTCTGTCCAGGAATCTGCCCTCTGTATTTTCTCACTCTACTATCTCCATAATGCAAACATTGGCTGCATTTCCTATATTAAAATTGGGAGAGATTTTGAAAATATAAACCCACATTTTACAAATTACTTTCTAAGCACATTTTCAGTGCTTTTGTATGCAATTTACCAAAATCACATTAGTGGAAGGTTGTGAATTATTGGGGAAAGGAAAGGTGCACTTTGACAGTAAGAATCTAGAAAAGCAACATCACTAAAGGAATATTTATTTCAAGGTTATGTATGAACCAAAAGCATACCAATGTAAAGTCACATAAAAGGCATCAGATAATATGTGGAAAAAAATCCAAAAGTATTTTCCCATTGCAAGGCTTCTGTTGTTTTAGTTCAGTGTTAAATGAAACAAATAATTGGAAAGAACTACAAATATGTAGAATAATAAGTATCATTTACATAGTTTAAAAATAATTTTGTTTTGCAAATCATCTGCAATGCAGTTTGAAAGAAATGCCGTTATATAGCTTACTGTAACATATCTATTCATATAGCAGTTAAAAATACACAAGGTAAAACAGAAGACAGAGCCCATAAAAATTTTAATTTTAAAAACGCTATCAATTTTGTTATGTTTTCAAATAGGGTTTAAATATATTGACTGAAGGAGAATGGCATGTAGTGCAAAGCATTTTGGGGTGCTCTGGACTTGACAAAGCGCTATACAAGGACAAAATACCATTTGTCTTATGTGCAAAGAAAACTTGATCCAGCGCTTTGGGGGCACATAAGAAAAAGCTACATTTTCTCTGTATCAGGATTAACCACCATCACATAGTCAGCTGACAAATGGCCTTGATGACTTAGAAATCATAGAGCAAATCATGAATACATCTGTAAATGTAAATGACCAATACTAATTCAGAAGTATTACTGTTGATAAGGATATAATTTGCTGTGTTTTAAGTGGGATAATTTATATTAGGTATAAATGTCATACCAACAATGACCATCTACTGTGGCTGTCTAAAAGAAACCACATTCATGTTCAGGCAGACTAGATTAAGTAGCTGGCAATACAAATAAACACATCCTACACATTTCAGTACCTTTTGCAATAGCAATAACAACCAAAACCATGGTTTCCTCATGAATGTGGAATTTTAGATGTTTTTGAAATAAAGTCAAATCCCATAGAAAATTTTAAAACAAATATTTCTATATTTTAAAATGCGTTTTGAACAATAATTCTGAAAAATTATGGGTGGAATCCTTGTTCAAGCATCCCTTGAATAAAGATTACTGTACAACCTTACACAACAGACATGGTACTCTGCCAACTCACCTGGAACAATTTCAAAAAGATGGCGACCTGGCTCATCTTGATGGGCTGAGACCTCATTGACCTGACTGCCCTGAAGAGGAATGCAGCCCTGTAGGAGAAATGAAACAGCAGCAAGATAGAGGGAAAGACAAGCAGAGGGGTAGACTTGAATGTGAAGTGCATGTTAAACATTGTGGAGGAGTGAGCATACAGGATGCTGGGCAACTGTCCAACAGTGAGAGGTAATTGAGATTAAAGCAAGAATGACTCAGGGGAACTTCTCTTCATCTACTTATACCTGGGGTGGTTCCGGATGTACCGTAAGATGGCTCAAAGTCAGCATCTTACATGACAAACCAATTTCTTAAAACATTATTAGTGAATAGGATTTAAAGTAATACACTTTTGTATTACACTGTTGTACTGCATTGAGTTGTACTACTCGTTTGTTGTAGAACTTGCTAAGTCTTTTGTAGACTTAGCATGCAATGGGGATCCTTCTTTTCTAGGATCCCCATTGAATGATACTTCCCCTACCGTGTTTCCATGGCGAGCACAGTGTTCTTTTGATGTGGAATATTGTTTTTGACAGATATATCTCTTGATATTGTGGCTCAAAAGTTCAATTTCTGTTTTTTATCAAACCTTAGCACATCATTCCAAAATGATTTGGAGTCATTGTTGCCAAAGCTTGATGTTTTCTTTGGAAGATAAAAACTTTTTTTTTCAACCATGTTTCTTAGCTCAGACAATGGGGAACACATAATATTTTACTAAAAGAAAGGCACTTTAATTGCGGTGTGCATCATCTTTGTACCCTCTTCATGTATTTTTTTTGTTGTTGGTATTATCACCTGTGCCTTGCTTTCATCTTGGTCTTTGTAGAAGTATAGAGCTTCAGACCTCAGGACAAACCATCGCAGCTGCCAGTTTTTCATGATACTTCTCTGCCTCTTCAGCCAACCTGCCTTTAAGGGTTTCTCTTGATCCTGAGGAGAGCAAGGCCTGGAGAGTCGAGACAATTCTCCAAGCACCATGCTCTTGGATCGTGCTGCATGGACAAAGACATTGAGGTAACATTGAGGGATTAAGATAATCAGAAAAACAACAAGGACACAGTTCCCTGAGGAAATTGTCATCCCATTTGAACTTTTCCACTTTTTATAGAATAGGTTAAATCAAGTCAGTTCTATTTAGCATAGCCCATTTTAGCAACAATACAGTTAAAATTCTCAGTTGGTAGAGTTGTGTAATTTCCTCCACATTTGTTTTAAATGGACATAGCTTTGGTAATGGATATACAAACTTAAAGTTCAATGCCTTTTGTTTGGAATTGATCTGATAACCAACACAGAGTAGCACATAACTGTGCACTGAATGAAAACATTTTTTTCAAATATTATTAGGCTGGGATATCTGGACAATACCAGATACCACACCTTTAACTGAAATCCAGGCTTTATATGTTTTATAGATTTTATGTTTCCTTCAAATACCAATAAACAAGCTTGAAGTTGCACCACTGCAGACAGGACACTTCTGCTTTAGATCATATTGTGCTTCACATGGCACACAGTAATTACAAGTATGGATTATATATTAGCATCTATATGCCAAAGCTCTGGAGCAAAAAGCAGTGCCAGTGTAATAATCTCCAGGGAGTCCTGGAGAGACATAAGCAGAATGCAGTGGGAGAGGGGAGGAGATGAGGGAGGAATCAATGGCGTCTTTTTTTTGCTTTTAATTGCATCCTGCATTCTGCTGAGGACAGCAGGAAAGGTATCTGTAAGGGCCTGGACAGAAATCTCTCTTTCCATTTCTCCCTCCTCATCCAGTCTCATATATCAGCTCTGTTTTGGACTTTAGTTTCAGCTCTATCTGGATGTCCTTTCTTTGCAGTGTCATACATGCTGAGAGGAGAGAAGACTGTAATGCTCACAGTGCAGTCATTAGTAAAACTGTATGCTGACATCAGAAGCAGGCGGAGCATAATATATATTTATAGCAGACATGGCCAGATCCAGGAGACAGGAAATCTAAAGGAGGAACTGAGTGTCAATTGATGATGTGGCTTAATATTTTTCAATATTTTAAGCAAAAGTGACATGCAAATGAATTCAAAACTGCGTGAGGCATTAATATAAGATGTATGTGTAAAGCTTGGCACATACTTCTATGTATTCATACACATAGAAGCCTAACAAATTGTGAAGTGGAAGAAAAATTTTCAGCATGTCGAGACAAGTTGAAAATGTCTCTATATCTTTAACATGGTATTATTTTTTTAAATCAAAAATACACTAGACGAAAACATGTGACATGTCTATGTATTCAGCCATCCAATGACTGAATACTTTGCAGAATATATGCATTTCTACAGTTACAGCTGCAAGTAATGTATCTACCAGTTTTCAGTCAGGAGGTCCATATCTTGATCTTTTTTGACAAGATCAAGGCGATGAAATGCAACATTTGGTCAGTTACATATATTTGATTGATGTTTTGGAAACTAAAATATTTTTAGGAGTAGTTTTACTACATCAAGCTTTTGCTTAAGTAATATCATTGTGAATTATTGCTACTCTTACTGAAGCAAAATTTCTGAATACTTTAACTATCCATCCATCCCATCCATTTTCTGTTCACCATTATCCCTAATGGGGTTGGGAGGTGCTGGTGCCTATCTCCAGCTACGTTCTGGGCGAGAGGCGGGGTTCAACCTACATTTTTGTATTCAAAGTTATATTCTGTATTTACTGATTTAAAGTGATAATCTAATCTTAAATATTTTGTTCTTATCAGATGTAAGTAGAAAAGCAGAAGTATGTCACCATTTTTTTAAAATATTACATTATTTTATTTACTTAATAGTTGCATAAAATAGTTATAATTTGTTGCTATGACAGAATATAGATGGAGATAAGAATATTCTGAGTTATTGAATACAACATCATATGTTTTCATTATTTAGTCACATACTTGTATAAAAATAACCCAACAGTTCACATACTAAAGGAAGCCACATACTAAAGTGGCTTCCTTTAGTATGCCACTAAAGAAATACTTTCTGGGATTTGAGTCTGTTTTATCAATTTTAGAGGACACGTCCCACTCAATGATGCTGTTTGAATTTGCCATAAATGATGTTGCATTAAAAAGAGATGGAGTAGAGAGGAGCTGGACATCTAATCAAAGCAGAATACCATCTCAAAAAATGAGGAATGGCAAGTCAGAAGATGTGGCCACTGGCCAGAGAACTGAAAAGGTTATTGCACCATCTATCTGAAGGAGAAAGAAGATGCATTTCTGTTTTCCACCATCTTGAATGATTTTACAGAGTAAAACAACATTTTCTTTTATTTAAAGATGTACCAGGTAATAGACTAATGACTAGCATTTGATGATTTTCAGCTTGACTGTGACAAAATAAATTTCTTCACAATCAGTGAATACAAGTTCATATGAATTTGCAAATTCATATGAACACTCTTTAGTGTGGAAGCCCCTCAGTGTAGAAACTTTTGCAGAAGAAAGAAAACTTCAAAGTTTGATATTTTCATCATGAGTGAGGTGTGTGTGAAAGATAAATTGCAGTGATAATTAATCTTTTTTGTCCATTTTTTTTTCAACTTACAAATTACAAATCTGTCTTAGGTTTGGGCCATCTGCCATGGACCTGACTTCAGCGCCATGCTCGATTAGTGAGTTTAAAATCTTCAAGGGTTTTCAGTTTTAGCCAGATGAAAAGTAAAGACAGGTACTTTCATGGAAATGCCAGGAGAAAGGGCAACAACTCCAAGCCACTCCACTTAAAACAGCATGCATGAGTGATCCAGGAACCACCTGCTGTGAAGACCACGCCACATATCTATACTCTGCTTCATTACAACTTCTGAGGCAGGTGCTGTTCATCTGATTTATAGATTCCATATTCATCTCTGCACATTTACACTGGCCTGCTTTTTCCAGGCAGTGTAAATGTGCACATGGATTTTCCTCTGCATTAGAGGTACTATGTTTGACAGTCAGCTGTTGTGATTTTAGAGGAGAAAAAGAGTCAAGAGCTGCTCCAATCTAGAATTTGTCACCTGTTAAGAGCTGCAACCAACCAGCTGGGGTACACCCTGTTACACACATAGGATGTGCAGGGCATTGTTGAAGGCTGCCAGCAGCCATGTTTACTACAACCCATGTACAGCAAAATCAAATTTGATGGCCAATAATTTAATCAATTGTGACAGACATGGCAGATTACATCACCCCTGTAGTAAAGCATATTAACTGTTACTGAATGATGGGAAAATTGTAGGTTCAAGGACTTTGGATAATACAATTAAATAAAACTCTGAAAGGATGACCAGGATGCAAACTAGCATAGTGTGCAGATTCAACTACAGTACTGAAGCACTCACACTGATGCTTTCATAAATGAAAGCACTAACGGCCGGTAATATAATAAAGACATAACAACAGATGGAGCTTTACAGAGACAGGGAAAGGAAGACATGAGAAAGCAGGAATGACAGAGAGAGCAAAAGGAAGAGAAAAGGAGGAGGGATGGTGCTTACCACGGCGTGCCTGTTTTATCTTGGGGCTCAGCATGGTTACCGTTGCTGTGCTGCTCCCTCTCACAGAGACATGACTGCATCTCTCACACACTAACCCTCACACACAAACACACTTAGCGCCTCTTGCAGCTGCCTCACCCTTTTACTCCTCATCCTCTCCCAGCATCTCACTCTGATTTCATACTGATACATGCACACACTCACACATATACACCAACAGGCACTTAAGCATGCACTCTCCTCTCTTCTCGTTTCCCTGAGTCCGTCTCTGTCCCACTGCCCTGATGTGCCGTTGTTCTCCCATACCTAAAGCCCAACCCACTCCCTCTCTTTTCGCTCCCTATCGGTTTCTCTGCCTTTTGCCGCACACTTGCAGTATCAGTTTCTCACCTTCTATAAATATGTCCGACTGTGTGTCCTCTATCTTGTCACCTATTTCTTAATTTTGCTCCAGTCTATTTCATAGCCTCCCCTCCCTGTAATCTGCCCATGGAGATTTGGTCTGATGCTTGCCTGAAGCAAAAACTCAGATCAATATATTTATATTAATGGGCAACATTCTCAGCAGTAAATGCTGCAGAACCAGTAGACATGGCATTACATTGTTCTCACTGACCACTTTGCATTCTCTGAATATTTCAGTATAAGGCAGTGCAATCGGAATGATGGATTTTTTCAGGTGAAAGTCATTATTTCACCAAATTTTCATTGAGAAAAAAACTCAATGAAAAACTAAATTTCACATTGAAAACAGCTCAAACTTGTTTTTTTTTTTTTTTTTTACCAAATAACTATAACCATTTAGCTGGTATTTAGCTTTTTTTTTCTTCTTTTTTTGTTTTTTTTACTAATTAAGCCTATATAAGAAATGCATGGACTTTAAAACGGTTCTGTATCCCGTACTTTTCCAGTAAACCATTCAAAAGATCTCAGGGGACAAACTGCTACACTTCTCAGGCGCTCTGTAGTCTGTGTGGTCGGAGCCACAACACTCAGGGGAGTGATGTTCTTGTTTCTTTCTGGTTTGCAGTGGATGGATGTGTTATAATGTTTAAATGTTTTTCATCAGGCTGGCACACAGAATGCAGCACATCGAAGCGGTTAGGACAAAAAGCTTTCAAAGGCTTCAGCACTTTGTAGTTATTTACCAATCACACTACTTAAACAAAGGCTTTAGAGAGGAGTAAAAGAAAATTAGTACTAACACAGCTATTGTGAAGTAATTGCCATTGTTTTTAGCAGATAGGGTCCAAGCAAGAAAAAATCCTTACCTGATAGAATTATTTACAGAACCAAACTAAATTATGTGCCTCACCTGATTGTTGTTTTGAATTTTTTCTGATCTGAAGAGTTCTGGACGACTTCATGACACCGAGCTCGTCTGTACAGTTATGTCCTTTTCAAATGGTGCCATTTCTGAAGCCACGACAAAAACACACGCAAATCCATTAGATCCAGGGGGCAAATAATGTCATTTACAACATTGTGTTTTTCCAGCCTGTAAACAAGGTACAACTCAAATTCAAATGACGCTCACACAGAGAAAGAAGCACTATAGTCGCCATAATTAACACAAATAACACGTGGCTAAGGAATGCTGATGTGAACAGACTAGCAAAAGGAAGTAGAGACGATCATGCGAGGATTACTTGCCATGTCATTTCGGATGGGCTTCCCAGACAACTCCCATTCTTAAGAAAGGCTCTGTTTGCAGCTCAAGATGGCTCACATAGTTCTAGATAGCCTCTTGATTAGAGTTGCCTATCTATCTCCATATGTATATATACAAAAGTAAAAACAAAACCTAAATGTGAGATGCTCTCCTATTGTGTTCCTGCACTGAATCATCCACAGAGGAAGTGAGCTGCGCTGATGGAGAAGTGAAAACTGATGACTTGAAAGAAAATTATATAATGGGTTTCTCCCTCTGATGTTATTACTGTACACTTCTCCTGGCTCCAGATGAGCTAAACCAAAAAGCTCTGCCTCCTGATGCTTCACAATTCAAAAGGAGAGTCTTGCATCTGAATGGTTTGACCAAACTCAAGAGACAGACTTGAAACAAAGTGTATTTTAAAAGCAATGCATTTTAATAAACATGATTTCTATCACATAAAAAAACATCACCATAAATAAAACAGTCATTTAGGAAAAACACAGGAGGCACAACATTGAAATGAGAAAATACATAATAGCACTGTCAACGGCTTGCAAATGTATTCATACAACTAAAACTTTTACATTTTGTCATGTTACAACTACAAACCTCTACTTTGATTACATTTTATGTAACAGACACACAATGTAGTGCACAAATATGAAGTTGAATAATTCTACATTTTCAAAATATTTTGCAGACAAACTTCTGAAAAGTACGGCAGTGTGTTCCTCCTGAAGACCCAGGAACACACTGAGACAGGGATAGTTCATGTCACCATCATAAAACATGGTAGTTGCAGCATCATGCTGTGGTAATGATTTTTTTCACAGAGAAAAAGTAAGTTGGTCAAAAATTGATGGGAAGATTGGTGGAGCGTCTTACTGGGCAACCCAGGAAGAAAATCTCTTACAGGGTGCAAAACACTTACAAAAGGTGGTAGCTGTTCACATACATCTAAGATGCTAAGTGTGTTGTAGGTGCCCACTCAAAATCTGGAAGTAAATCCAACTAAAGATCTGAGATATAGTATGAAGGTTACTGCTCACAGATGACATGTCCATCCAATTTGAATGAGCCATTTTTTTAAAAGGGCAAAAATATCAGGCTCTAAAAAGGCAAAGCTATACATGTACCAAAAGACTTGAAGATGCAATTATAGGTGAAAAATTAATATACAAAATATAGATTTAGGTGGTTGAATAAAAATGCACACCACACAAAAGTAACAGAAAAAACCCTATACTTTCTAATGTACAGTTTGTGTTGTTCTATCACATAAAATCTCCATAAAAAAAATCTAGTTTGTCACTGTAATTTGACAAAATGTGGAAAAAAAACATTCAAGTTATATGAATACTTTGACAAAGTACTATATTCATGAACAGAGAAATACTATAAAAAGCACTTGGTTTCACAGTCTTAAATGTGCCCAGCTTCATCATTTCATATGAATGAGAGGCAGTACAGCAGACACTAAATCAGTGTATGGGACGTAGCCACTCACACAGTCCAGACACACCAGTCTCTGAGGGGTGTCAGGACTATCATCTATAATCTGGAAATATGGTCCTGTGAGACATGTAGGAAATGAGTGTTTAATTCAAGGCATGAAAAAAGCACGTTCCATTAGCCAGAGCAAAAGAAATGTGAGGGTAGAAAAGTCTTGAAGCAGATGAAATTAGAAACAAGTCTCTTAGTGCATCTTGGGCTGGAGTTTACCCAACAGTGTTGCATATAAAAACCTTCTTTAAAGAAAAATTAATGAAGAAAAAAAATTACATTAAAAGCAGCTGTAAACAATGCCACCAAAAATGTTTAGTTATAGTTATTTGGTAAACCACAATCAGCATGTCAGCTGGTAAATCTACTTTTTTTTCAAAAAAATGCAATACTTTCCAAACACACTTTTCCAGAGATATTTGTTCTGCTTAGCTTACTTTTAAAAGTATAAATACAAAACTTTCCATGATTATATGGCAGATGGTTCCACAATGGTCATCATGAAAATATGGACCCTGCATAATGGACCCTCTTCATCTACATAGAGAAAGAAGGAAGAAAGGGCTTTAACAAAATGGGGATGGAAAAAGGAAGAAAGAACAAAGGAATGAAAGAACAAAGAAGAAATACAGAAGAAAAAGCTAAAAAAAAATGGTGATAATGAAGGAAGGAACACAGGAAAATGTTATGAACAAATAATAAATGAACAAAAACAAAAGTCAAGTAAGGAAGAATGTTTTCAAATGGATGAATGATGAGTGGAAAACATTTTTTGGTAATAAAATAAAAAAAAAATAATTCTGCATATACATTTTTTATTGTCTATCCATTTTGCCCAGATGTATCCAGACTTTCATGTTTATTGCGGATTTATTGTTTCAAAACTTTGATGCACTGCATAATGAGTTGAGCTGCAATGATTAGAAGAATCTAGGTTTCAGTTTGGTAGTCTGGTTCCTTCTGGATTTCCTTATTACTTTTTTGCTTTCATATTTTGAGTCATGCATGAATTCAGTTAAATTTTGCTTAGTAATTAATTTTACTGGTGTCTATTTCTGGTCCATTCATACCACCATTTTTACTCAGTATGACAGATTCAGCTGCTATTAGGAAATTCTATGTTAAAAATATTAAATGGCACTGGAACGAGGGAAACATTGTCAGTACAGTGTTTGAACAATCCGAGGCTTTAAATCTGCACATGAGAAACAGTACTAAGGTCAACAGGACAGCTTTATATGGGCCAAACTGGCAGTGTTAAATATCTATGGCGGTTTTGTCTTCTGTAATTTGTCCACCCCCCACAGATCTACGACCCTCCAGGAGAAAGGCTGCTACAACCGCCAGCCGCTGTCCCAGTGACCTCTGCTGTGCAATGCCCTCACTGTGTCTGAAGTAGGTGGTCGTTCTGGCGGCGATGGCATCAAACTGCTCTGTCAGAAGCCACACCTCCCACAGGAGCGTCAGTGCATTCATAATAATCAGAGCCACAACCCAGAACTCCTCCCCTAACGTGAGCCACAGTGAGAAGCTGGGATTAGACTCGGACGAGCTGCCATACAGGTAACTCGCTCCCGAAGCAATAAAAAGAAGGTGGGCGGTAACCATGGAGAGGACGAAGATGAGGAAGAGTCTGTGGTTACCCTGACCGATGCAGCGGTTGAGGAAAAGGCAGTGGTGATCGTAGTCTTTAATGCACACTTCACACAGCTTACAGTGTTTTGTATAGTCAGGCTGGAACAGCTGGGAGGAACACAGGGGCAAGGTAAGAAACAAAGCAACAGAGAAGAAATTCAATGTCAGCTACAAGTCCAGATTGATTTACCTCACAGTATGGACAGAACTTGTGAGGGCTCTGGTTGTTTTCAACCAGGTCAGCAATGCAGGAGAAGCGAGGATCTGCATCTGCTCTGTCTAAAACCCCGGGATCTTGAGTCAGAACCTTGTAGAAGAGACTGGCTAGTATGAGGAAGTGGAACAAGGACACCTGAGCCAAAGTGCTTATGGGCCACACACATTCACAAGGTCAAGGATGAAACCACTTATTTGTTATATGCAGCTCAGTAGATTACAAATATTTATATATTTCACCATAGAAGCACTTATTCATACCTCTTTTGCCAAAAGGACAACAGTTATTCTTCTATAATTACATTACATAATTGTGGAGCATACAGAGAGTCTTTCTTTGACAATCATTTTTTGCACAAACCAGAGAATCTCCTGTGTCCTCTCTTACACTTCTTCTGTGAGCTCACCCTACATATTTTCTCTAGAATTTCAGTCTGAGGACTTGGAGTCTCCAAAGAGAACAGAAAAATCACTGTATTTGTCAGTAGACACGTATTTGAAAAAATAATTGCTGGGAGTGTCAGAAAATGACTAAAACAGACCTATAGAACCATGACTATTGGACAAGAATGCTTTATGTCTCTGGCAAATAAATTATATGAAAAAATGAGTAATTTTCAATTTACAAGCAATTTTTATTAAACAATATTGTGGCATTTCAAAGAGTTCCTGATGCCATAAAATCCAACAAGATTTCAAAGTATTTTAGAAGTGGAACATGCCTGCAGTATCACAGATCTTACACCATAATTAAGAGTGGGACAGAATGCTTCAAAAACATTTATGCCAAAGCTATATGGAACATTTAATGCTGAAAACTTTGAATATAGTACTTTGTCAATCAAAGCACATAATTCAAGTAGAAGTCCAGTCAGAGAATAACCAATATGGTCACATTTGTTACTGCAGCAAAGAAAAGCCATTTTTATTAAATGGGTGTTATTCGTGAGCACTCAGGAGAGTGCCATCCTACTGATATTTTCTGAGTTCCACTGATCATCATTCCATGATAATTTTGGGTCCTGGTCCAGCCTTTGTAGATATTTTCCAAATCCAAATCTAAATATTGGTCTGATGGACAAGTCCAAGTAAGCAGCTATTTTCTTACTTATGGATATCCCAAAAGTGCCTTTTCTGTGGCCTTTCCCATTTTCAAAAGAAAAGGGACTCTGCAGTGGAAGTTCATAGACATTCTGATCATCTTAAAAAAAAAATAAAATGTGAACTTCAAAATTGCTATGTAATTCAGTTCAGTTTACCGAAATTGTGAGATGTAAAAAGATTGGTGAAACCAACAAAATCGAGAAAGTGCAAAATCCCTAAAGTACAATTCATGCAGAACAAACAGGAAAATAACTAAGAAAAAGCTTTTGGTACAGACCAAATATAGCCCCTTTTTTAAGGATATTAGGCATCATTTTTCCATAGAAGCACAGCAGGGAATGGACGATGCCAGCCAACAGCGTCCCCAAGTATATCGGATTAACTAGCCTAGAGACAAAGACATGAGATGTCAACTGGAAATTGACACAAACATTGCAGTATGTTTACCTACACACTGATAAGTTTATAGTTTACATGCAAATACCTCTGGTATGTGATCATGCGGTAGTACTGGGTGAAAATGCTTCTAGCCAGCCATGGGAAGAGGAACGCACAAACGAGGCCTCCGTAGCCCCCAAACATGGCTGCTATGAGCAGGATGGCAGCTCCACTTAGAGATGGAAAAAACAGGGTCCAATAGTACAGAACTGGAGAGAAATAGCACAAGCACACATGGTCAGCACAGAGACAGGGCATTTAGTGGTAGAATTCTATTATTACCATAAGCGATATTTGTTTTTCATTGCTTAAAATAAAACTAATATAACAAGTACCATGAGACTCTCTGGGCTTGTGATGTATTGGCTCATTTATGTACTCCTTTAAAAGTTTGCTGAGTTGCTGATGCCTGAAAACAACATAAGCAGATCGTAATCAGCACCAAGAACTCAAGAAATGTCAAAAACGGTTCATTTGTTTCTACATATTGTTCACCTGAAAGTCTTTCCCTGCTTGCAGAGATCCAGTGGTGTGAGGCCGCTGTAGTTCTTCTGATGAAGCACTATGCAGCCAGTCTTCTGCAGCAGAGCCCAGCACACTTCTACTCCACCCCTCTCTGCAGCAACATGGAGCGCTGTCGCTCCCTGCTGGTCAACTGCGTTCACAACACACCGCTGGACAAGAAAACCAATAACCCCACCCCCACAATTTATGCCACTGCTTAAAGATCTGACATTGTTAAATTTTTATGCTAAATATTTAGTTTAATGTTTGCTTTAATTATGTTAAATTTGCAGCATCACAGGCTATAGCACTAACATCAGAGCAAAAACTGTGTCCATTTAGAATATTTCATACCTGGTCTTTGAGCAAATAGCGAATCATGTCAATGTTGCCGGTGGATGCAGCGAGATGCAGAGGCGTCACCTTGTACATGTCTGCGTCAGAGAATCGGAAGACTCCTGTCTCCCATAGATAGTGCACAGCGACTCTTAGAGAGGTGAGCAACAGTTAGAGCATACACAAAAAAAAACAAAAAAAAAACTATTTGTTCTGAAGTGTTTCTACCGCTTACATGTTGCCCCCGGTAACTGCATGATGCATGGATGTTTTCCCCTGCAAGTCCACAAGCCGCAAGTCTGCACCATACTGCATCATTTTATGCATGATATAGATGTTTCCCTGCCTGTTGATGGAACACATGCAAATGTGTGTATCCTGGGTTTTTGTTTGAGAAGGAAAAAACAGCAACTTGTGGAAGATTCATATCCCTTGAGTGATTCCATATTTGTCCTGTTACAACTGAAAAGCTGAAAGTTTTACATTGAAAAAATAAACAAAGTTCATAGAGGTGAGATGGAAAAATTACTTGATAGTATAAAAGGTTATTATCAAATGTTTTTTTTTTTTTTTATTTTGCATCATCTCAGACAAATCAGGCCAATGTCATGATATGGTCACCATCATGTTTCACTGCAGGCATGTTATGTTGAAGGTAGTGTTCAGTACTTTGCATATACTGCAAAAAATATGACCAGAGCATCTTCTACATGTTTATCATTTCCTTTGTGTGTATCCTCGGTTTTTGTTTTGAAAATACTAAACATATCTGAGATGTTTAGTATTTTCATTGGGCTTCAAGATGGTTTGTTCACTAATCTTTTCTATGAAACGTCTGACAACATCTGCTTTAAACGTTATAAAGTTTTTGTTTATTCAAGATTGCGCTGATTTCCGGTCACACATATGTATTTTGTGCAAATGCCAATAATGTCAGTTTTGGTCTCGTGCCCAGAAAAACGTATTTTACTTATTTGAGGTCTTCCCTACATAGAGTGCCACCTACGAGAAAATGTTTTGTAATTTTCCAACTATGAGCTACTTTGAGACAAATTATTGTATAGAATCTTTGTAAAATACACTTAAGTTTGTGATTGTAACTGGAAAATGTGAAAAAATGACCAACAGGTATGAATACTTTTGCAAGACAATGGCTGCAGCTTCTACTCACCTGCAGGCAAAGTGAAAAGCTGTCTGCCCTGAATCACACGTCATGTTAGGGTCTGCACCAGAACTGAGGAAGAAGTCTACAAGGGAGCGGTTCCCATGGAGAGCAGCATAATGAAGAGGACTGAATCCACCCCAGCCTAAATAAACACATGCACATCACAGTCAGGATGAAAGATGTCCCTCTTCACTGAAGTTGCATGGACTTAAGCATGCTTTAGGTCAGTTTGAGTTTGTGCTGTCCATCTATCTACCACAGGACTTGCACCAGAACATCATACAGGTTAACTATAGCAGAGATGGGTTTCCTCCTGGCAACGTCACAAAATCACACATGGAGAGCCACCAGGCATGCAGATAACAGTGAGAAATAACAGCTGTGTTGGTGTGGTAGTCCTGATCAATAATGTAGATTATGCAGACATTATACACTAACATAAAAAGTCTTTTTTTTTCCCCTGAGAGAATAAAAACAAACGAGAAATGATCAGGAAGAGGTTAAGCCCTCCTGACAGGAAAACAGAAGGATGAAAGTGACTTCCTCATTCAAAGCAATGCGTGATTTAATACATTTTAAGTTTACACTGCATCTAATATTACCTTACCTTTGTCCCTGAGGATCGTTCGATCATTTTGAACGAAAAGTATGCACTGTTCGACATCCCCTCTTTGTATATAGTCGAATATGTCTCCACCACTAATGGTGCACAGAGGCATCGCATGCGTTGTGATGGGGGCACAAAATCTGTCCTCCACGATTTCCATCGGCTTGAAACTGGAGCGACACTGAAATCAGATCAGCAAAAAACGCGCCATTACATCACCATGCAAAGCGAAACATCATCTTTCCCCTCAAGCGATCACTCAGGATCTTTATCTGTGTGTTAAATGAAGACCGCTCCCGAGGCCCCCTATTGGTTGAAACAGGTCACGTGAGTCACTGCTCCTGAGCTCGAGATTGCTATGCACTAGATGACGTATGCATTATTATGCTAATGAGATACATGCAAACGAAAACAACAGCCTTAACAGCATGTTTCGGTTCAGTTATGGAATAGAATCAATTAAATAGTAGTTATTGAAGTGAAAGCCATCATGTTTTATGCTTTTGCTTAAATTTTTTTAACACATTTTGAATTATGTATCACAAACTACAGAGACAGACTGCGGAGCTTCTAAAAGGTTTGCCGCGACACTTTATTCCACTAAAACAGCTTGAAAAGCATTTATAATGAGACAGCAGGGAGTTTCTGTGAACTCAGATTCTCTAACATTCAGAAATGGACAAATTAAATAGGTCATTTTAACTGACTCCCTCTCAAGTTGTTTTTGAACTGCCAGGACAAAAATATGGCTGTTAACTTTCTGTGAAGAAGTGCTAATGAGGGAGAAAAAAGAAAAAAAATCAACGTTACAGGTAAGTGTAACCTTTATATTTCCTAAAGGTCCAATAAAGGTAACTTTTTAATCGTTTTGCATTTTTGCATGGCCTGGACGTTCCCAAAATTGACCGTACTGTAAAGTAATTGTCAAAGAATGTTCCCTAAAAGTTCTCCAAAGTGTGGCAGCAGTAGGGACTTTCAGAAACCACTTATGCCTTAAATTGACTGTGAACCTCCCAGGAGCATTTAATGATTGTTTCCTAAAGGCCCTGGGAGGGTCAGATTTTTAGTGTTTTTTAGGGAATTTAAAGAGATTTTCCTGATGGGCTCGTTATAAGGTGAAAACTCACAGGAAAACTTCCCTATGAAGTATTTTCCATATAAACCTCAGGGAACCTTATCATTAAGTGCTCGGAAGTTTGTCCAAATATTAGACAATTTTGACATTTGGAACCCAGACTCTAAAGGTTTTCATCTGTGCAGCTCTTAGAAAACATTCCCTAAAGATTTGAACAAGGTTAACCTGTGCTACACAAGGTGTCTTTAGTAATAATTGCCTGATTGAAGGGTATTTTGTCTTAGAGACATTATTTTAGTCTTAATTATTGTCAGACTGCTGTATCATATATACCCACAAGATGGCAATGTTCACTCACATTTCCTTTGTCATTTTTTGTTTCGTTGAAGTTCACAAATTTTCTTACACGATCCAAATCTCGGTCTGTTGAAATGCTTTCTGTAACAGTTAAAGGTCATCTATATGCCCTGGCTTGAAAATTAAACATTAAAACATTTTTTCTACCAACTTTGTTTCTGATCTTTTAGGTGATCAGTAAGTATAGGTTTATCAAGTCCTCTCAGCAAGACATGTCAGTGTCGCTCAAGATCTGTGATAACAGTTTCGTTCTTTAGAGCTCCGATGCAAGTGGTACAGATAAAAACACACGCTGAGCTACAGTAAATTATGTCTGTCACACCTACTATTATTAGAAGGAGAAATTGTTTAAGAAGAAAATATTCAGTTGAGCGTTTTGGTTTTCTTGAGTTCTCTGAAATCAAGAAATCCAAATGAGATCTTAATGTGACTCAGACCATTAAAGTGTGACATGGCATGCCTTTAAAAACAACAGCTCCTCTTTGTCTTGCAGGGAGGGCCTTATCCAACCAGCCAAGCAACAGTCTTTCACTTCTGCTTCTCTGAGGAAGTGAGAAAACACATGACCTGAACCAGCTGACACAAGTTACAGTACTTGTTCAAAGTCTACTAGGTGCAGTTTAGTAAGGGGCGTGCTTTTCCGCAGCGGTGTCTTGTGGTGTGCGTTACTCATCATGCAATAGCAGGTCCTGGCATGCCTTTCCCCTGACATAGTAATAGAGACAGACCACTCAGTCCTTCGGAAAAACACAGTACATGTGATACGATTCCTTAGCAGCCAGAAGCCTCTTTATGGCTCTGACACAACTACAGGTAAGGATTTCCGTCATTTTAATGAATGGTTTTTCTTGTGAAATGTGTATCAGGCATGCAGTTATTATGTTTCTCAGCATTCTTGCATTTTGTGATTCATAAAACAAACCAAAAACAATCAAACATTTTTATATGAAATATGAGTTATTAGTAGGATTCTTTAAAAAATTGCTATTTACATTTTTTAACTTGGTGCATTTTATCAGAGTACCTCTTAAGTACAAATTTCCCATAATTGTGGATCATTATCCTGCCTTAAATAGAGATGTTGCAAAGTAATATCATGTGATGAGGAAACAGTGTTCCAGTTAAATCTGTTTGGCAGCAAGACTCCAAATCTGTTTACCTTTTCATGTGCTGTAAAGCTCAGATTGGCACCCATAGGGAAGTATTCGTCTTCTTCTACTAAACGAACACTGGATTAACACAATGTGTGCCGTTGTTGTCAAATGATCCTTGTTAAAAGTTACTTTGGACGCTTTGGTATACAAAGGACAAAATAAAGGGTTTTTAGCACTAGGGTTTACTGGTGTTAATAATATTTAGAGTTTGGGAACAACATGCTGATTCCTCATAGAGGCCACGTTTGTGAATAAGAATGGCACATGACTGCTAGAAGCCAGTTTGTTATTTTATTTATCAGTTCCAACATGTGCTGAGAAGAGCAGAGAAGGAGGTTCGGTTTGGGACAAATTCAGATGAGGAAGTGAGACAGACCAAGGAAACATGATTAAGTGTATCTGCAAATATTACAGAAACTCGTGGCACCTAAAAATAGTACAAACATTTCCAGGACTTCTCTATGTTTTCTCTCCAGCACCAAACTATGAAGAGAGAGAGGATCAATAAGGAAACAGGAGAGCTGAGTGCTTCGGGCGAGTTGTCTGTATCGGTGGAGACGAAGGAAGAGAAGGTGGAGGGTTCTTCTGGAAACCCTCGGCTCCTTCAGGTGCTCAGAGAGCAGCTACAGGCGCTGGGAATTTACACGTACTCCAGCCATGACCACAAAACCGGACATCATCGTTTGAAGCAACTAGAGCAGCACCTGCCTAAAATCCTCCATCTCCACACACAGGTATAATGTCTCCATCTTTGATCTCACATTTTAATCTGTTTGCACAGTTCAGACCATTATATTTATTCACATTGTGACTCATTCTTTTGCTACTCTGAAAAAGAATCCTGCTCGATAATAATTTATATTATCTAAATGGACGAACAACATTTATTAGCTTAGCTTTCAAAAGGTTAAGTTGATGCCACAAGACAATTGGGTCTCCAGAACCGCATGAAATACCAAGAAGCTGCAATAGATGCTTGCCCTTCAGCTGATTTCATCATTAGCCTGTACTGAACCTCTACAATATCTCTCAGCAAACTTGAGACAAACTTCTGTCACATGAAATAAGAGTGCTGCGTCAGACTCATGGGTCCAGGTCTACCTTTGATTAGCTGTAACAAGAGTGCATGCTCTTTGCTCAAACTTTGTCACTGCTAAATTAAACCTCCCTCTTTTTTTTTCTCTCTCACTCCTGGATTCATGGTAATTCCATCTCTGCATATGTAACACTGCTGACCAGACTTAGAGCTGCAGATGTAATCAGCCTTTGGTTTGTACGCAGCTCTGTGTCTGCACTGGTGAATGAAAAAGTCTCATGACCAGAGATTTGACCAGATTTTATGGCCTCTCTTAAGAACAGCAAATTCAGCGTAATTCAATATCTTCCTATAGGATTACAAAGACTGCTTAGCATGTCATGAATTCTTTATTATCTTATTATCTAATAAAGACTTCTATTTTACTGTGCTTTACCCAAAATGACCATTTTAAATAAATATATTCAGGTCATCAAAAGCCATTAAATATGCTTTTCAAAGACATATTTATACCTGCTCGCCAGCTTTTTGAAAACTTATTGGAAAACATTTTGTTTGAGATCTGCAGAAACTGTAAATGTAGAAGAGAAACTATTTAAGAGACTGAACTGTCATCTTCTTATCCATTCCAGTGATAGCTTTGTGTAAACTTCTGATCACCACTGCTATTTTCTGACACTGGTTAGGTAGGTGCTAATTATGAACACTGACAGACATCCTATTACAATGACACCTGGCTATAGGGGGGACATATATAGTTGCCGGCTCATGAGTGTTGGGCTATTTTCTATACTCAGAGTTGTTAAAAGATGCTCTTCCTGGAGAATAATGGTAATTCATTGGCTGAAGCTGAAATTGTAGAACATGTTAGTACTGGTTTTAAATGACATTTTATTAAAACACACAGTCCATTGCTGTTTGTTGAGTATTCAGGCAATGTAACAAGAAGTAACTTAAAATACTAAGGCAACTTTGAGGGATATTTAAGCACCATGCCTGAGCTATTCTGCAGTGGAAGAAGGTCCTGCTTTAAAGCTTAGTTTTGGTAACTGTATGTTCATATATGGGTTAGTGGATGTTAAGCTGGAAAGGGCATGTCATGATGACGTACTGTGGGGGAAAATTGTTATTTTAGGAATGCTTTGATGTGAAACTTTTGCAGTCACTACTTATATGAACATTATTAGTCTGATACATAGCAGTCCAGTCATCTCAGCTACAATTTAATAACAGTCTTCAGAAGTGTAAAGATTTATGTCTGCCACGTGACAAAAATAACCCAGAAAGGGCTTTAGGAATGCCTCACAAAGGGTTCAGTTGGTCTCTTATTTCTCCAGACTCTAAATGAATTTGAAAGTCTGTAAAATAAACACTATGGAAGGTGGTCATCATCATCATCAAGTTTATTTATATATCACATTTAAGCGACAAGACAATTCAAAATTCACTACATGATAAAACATAACACAATAACCAAGCAAACAAAAAACATTACACTACTTTGGAAATATAAATAGATGTAATGGAAAGTCGCCTGTGTTCTTCTCTCAACTTCATCCTAAATGTTTTCGATCGAGTTAAGGTCCGGTGGTCAAGTTCTTCCTTACCAAACTCACTTCACAGGTCTTTCTGGACCTTCATGGTTATGCACACAATCCCCTTTGTAGTAAGCTTCTTGCCACATTCCAGCAGAACTCACAATTCAGCTGCTCAGCCATGGAATTTCATTCCACTGAGCTCTTTCAACAAAATTTAATAAATTTTGACATCTTGCTGGTAGTCATTCTTTTTTTTAGTTTTTACTGAAATTAGCTGATTTTACCACCTGGTTTGGGACAAGACAAATAGATTAAGGCAGCCTTTACTTGTCAAAACCACTTACATTTTGATTGGAAGTGGAACATTAACAATTTATTTTCTTGTATCAGTATTTGCTACAATGTGGACTAATATGCTACTACAGTGACAGAAATCAGAAATAAAGAACTGAAGTATTTACACATTTCACAAGAATCTCTTTCTCCTCTCTGATCACAGGTTTGTGAAGAAGGTGCCAGAGTTGATGGTACAGATATAAAGGGCCTTGCGGCCCTCACTGCTGACTCTGTCATACATAATATCTACAAAAGGCTAGAAGGACGGCCTGCAGGTACTAATCTGTGTTCATGTCAGCAGATGTGCTGCTGGTAATTCAAAGCAGAGGGACTTTCTCCCTACTTCTCTTTTTTTTCTTCTTGTGCTTTTCATCGTTTATGTTAGTCATAATTTTGAAAGTGGACAGCAAAAAAGAGCAAAACATCTTCCAACTGTTCAGTTTTATAATGATGTTCTGTCCAGATGCACTTTAGTGGGTTGTATTTGTGCAAGTTTATTTATAGATTGGATTAGGTTCTTTAGGGAAGTGCCTGGTTCTGTTTTCATGTCTCAACAAAAGTGTGTGTTGTTCGTATTTTTCACAATAAACTGTTTGTTGTGTCCTAATATTTGATCCAGCTGGTCAAACACATCCAAACTGATGTTTTGTCTACAGTTAAAAAAATAAAAGTAACATTTTCTACAAAGTTATATAACTTTCATTGAAGTAACCACCTGTGTTCTACTGAGTACCAGCTTGTTAAAATAAAGTCTTGTTCATGCAAAGGTTTTAAATGCCATGCTAATTTATTCCCTGAAAATGACTAATTTATGTGTAATTGTGTGACTCACCTTAATTTTGTGGTCAAGAAAATCTTTATAAAGTTAGAGTCCCACTGCCTTTTGGTTTTGCTTTAGTCTGTTGTGATTTTATGTCGCTGAATATCTTTTATTTTTTTAGAGCAGGCCCGTGAAGAGGTCGTTCACTTCTTCAAAAGACCAGATGGAAACACAAGTTGTAGAGCAGAGACATGTTCTGGGTGGCACCTGTTAAACTCCCTTCTGTTGCTCACATCAGACTCTGCAGTAAGTGATCCACACCAATTCTATGCTGTTATTACAGATAAATTACAACAACAAAAAAAAAAATAATAATAATCCATTCTGAATGTTGCCTTTGCTTTTATGTGTTTGCAGGAAGTATTATCTTATTTAAACCCAGAGCTGCCTGCTGCTTTGGTGAAATGTCTGTACCTGCTGGTTTGCCTTCCTGCAAAAAAGGAGAACACAGCCATAGAGCAGACCTTCCAGAAGCCTCTAACACAGGTCCGTAAGCAATGAAATGACACTCATTTTTTTATTATGTTCCACTTTAAAAGAGTCATTTATTTTTGTTTTCTTTATCAACAGTTGCTTAGGTAATACAAATTGCCTTTCTTCAGGTATATGATGCTTTCCTACTAATTTTCAGACAGTGGTTTTGTTATTCAATCAGTGTAAAATGAACATAAATTAGTGAACAAAACCTTCAAACTGGGGTTTTGTCTACAGATGACGAGGAAATAAAAGTAACTTAATACACAATGGTGCAAGTAATTTCTTTGTACTATTGTTTTGCATCACTCTAAATCAAAAATTATTATTACTGCTCCATGTTGTTTCACAAAGGTCAGTTTTCCAAAGGAAGGTGGGTGGATTACCTGAAAGAAAGTGAATCCTTCATGTCCAATTACATCACTGATGTACTATCCGTCTGTTCTTAAAATATTTTAGGACCACAGATGTTCTTCCTCCAATCTTTTCTAAGTTTCTTCATTATTTTAGGACAAATTTGACTGAAAGATTTTTGGTATTTTTATAATGTTATGATTCTTTTCTATTTTTTACTTGTCTCCACACAACAGAAGTTCATCCTTTGACTTAAGACATATTTTAAATGCTTTCTTGAATGATTCAAAACAATAGGTCAAAATTACAAAATCTTGTTCTTTTTGGGAGGACTGAGTCATGACTTCAGAGTTTTAAACATGACTGATGTGTTTAATTATATTAAACTCAAATCAAACCTAAATTTTCTGGTTTTAAGATAGATGATACAAATAATTGACCATCTGTCTATAAACATAAATATGTTTATATATATTCATTTCATTTCATTAGTATATATAAACATATTTATGCTATCAATAACTATAAAATAATACATTTCTCTTTTACTTATGCATTTAAACACTGAAGGAATATTCTGTCAAAGATAGCATACAGTACTATGGATGCTTCTGTTTTTATGTGATGAAACATCATTAATACAAATTAATAGTTTTTTTCTTCAGTTTTGACAGTATTGATGCAAGTTTAAAATAAATATGAAGTTTATTGTATTCCAAATTTGGGCTCAGGAAAGTCCAATTTTCTATTTTGGAATTAAAACTTTTGCTCAGGTTTTTACGAACTGGACCTAAAAAATTAATAATTCTTACAGTGCAACACAATTTATATATATTTGTGATATTGCACAGACATCTGCTGTACTTTCCTAGTAATATTTTTCCATCTGCATATGTTTTTGCAGATTTTCCTTCAACTTTCCAAGTACCCACACAACGTGGAACAGCTGGTAGAAACTGAGGAGCTGCAGTGTCTCATCATCGGACTCACATCATTATGCGATCAGACCAGTCCACAGTGGAGGCACCAGGCGTCACGCGTTCTCAAAGCTGTCTCTTCTGTACCAACAAACAAAACGGTTCCAAGTTTATTACGTAAGTTAACCAAAACTAATGATGATACGTAATGTTTTGTTGTTTTATTCATTGTCAATTAGGTGTTGACTGACAAAAGTTGAATAAAAAATATTTTATTTAAAAAGGATGTTATTGTGCTTGGTGTCTTTTAGAGGTGAGGTAACTTTTCTGAATACTACTACATATATATTGTAGCTAAATCTGCTCATTCATGAACTTCATCTTTTTTTATGGAAGGCTATTATCGATAATTCCAGCTTGATGTTTTATTTTTCTAATTTTCCAGCCCTTTTATTTTTTTGTGTGTTTTTGCATTTTTCTCCAAAGGCAAAAACTGTGTTCGTATATGTATCCAGAACCTGGTGCACATCAAAGCCAAAGTTTCAGGAGCACTGCTAGCTGAGGTGGCCGTGGCTGTGTTTAGCTTTGTAAGAGACACTTATCACCTGAATCCAGCTCTCTTTACTGAGTTTGACACCAACAACGGCTACAAGGCCCTGAAAAAAATCCTCAAACGGTAAGATTGTATGTTGTAGACAGAAAGGAGGAGCGAATGGAATTTAAAAAAAAAAACATCAACTCTGCAAAAATAATAAGGCTTTTGTTTCGCTAACTAAGCCATGCAGTGCCTTGCAGAAGCATTCACAGTCTTTAAGCATTAAATGTAGCTGTCTACCTAAACTGACAGGTTGCACAAGCTAATATCAGAGTGGTAGCACAGCATCTCCAAATAAAACATGATGGTGGCAGTATAACGGTTTGAGAAGCTTTTTTCAACAGTGAAATTGATCACTGCTAATCAACTTCACTGATGGAAGTAATTACAGGGCAATCCTGGAAGAAATCTGGAGTCTACAAAGACTAAACATAACCAGAGGCACAATAAAAGCATATTTAGGTGTTAAAGTTATGCACACTTAATTAAACTGAAACACTCAGAAAGTTGTGACTGCAGATGCTTCCCATCGGATCGGACTGAGCTTTTGCAAAAAGTCACATTTAAATCTTAAACATGCAAAAACAAACAAACAAAAAAAAAAACAATCATGACCTTCTATCAGTATAAAGTTACACTGAAGATTTTGATTATAAGATATAAAAATGTAATTAAAAATGATAAGGAGAGGAAATGCTTTTGCAAAGCACTATAGTAGACAGCAAGATGACGCTGAAAGAACTAATTGGTATATTGTGTTTTAAATGTGCAGTTATCTACAGACAGATTTGTTAACATCCCAAGTTAGAATGATGACAATTTTATTCATCCTGGCTATTTGTCTTTTTCCCTCCTGACTTTTCAATAATAAGCTGTGAAGAAGGCGTGCCCCTGGATCAGTTTCAGCCTGTAGACGAATTGTTGGCTCTGATCGCAGATTTCACTCTCCTTGGAAAAGCAGAGCTGAAAGTGGCTCTTTGTGTGCCCAATCCTCAGCCTGCAGGCTTCAAGTTTGATCCGCCACTCACTAAAGGTTGGTCAGTTCTTTCTAAGACCTTTTCTATTGTTATTCTCTTGCCAGCTCCATCTTATCATCTCTGCTTGTTTCATGAGGATAAACTATGAATTACTCCTTACAAATTACTATGTAATTAGCATCACATGCATGGCTCAGCAAAGATGGACTCAGGGAGGGGGAAGTCTACTCAAAGGAACCACACACTTCATCCCTACTTTGCACTTTTGCCCTCGTATAATCCAGCTAAACTGCATCAACCCCCCTCTGCTGATTTCCCACAGACCCTGACTTTTCACTCCCTGTACTGCTGCCCCCTTTGCAGTCTGCAGCCTCCCTCAAGTTAACAGGAAGCTGAGGTTATTATGTCTGGGATGATGAAGTGGAGGCTCCCCCTCTAACTCTGTTAGGATGCCCCACATCCATTCACCACTGGCCTAAAGCAGCCAGTCATCTATCATCGATGCACACACACTTCCATCCAGCACTCATAAATAGAGCGTCTATAATACACATACACAGATCGAGTTGCTCTGTAGCATCCATCACATCAAGGAGCAGATCTGTTTCCAGCAGAGGGACCTGGTGCTGTTTTTAAAAACTTAATGTGATACAGTTTTAAGAGTGGAAATGAATCCCATTATTAAATAGATTTATGTTTATTTACAAGCAAAAGTTTGCTTTTTTGCACGTTAAATGTAGGAGTTTTTCTAAATATTTTGACAAGGCACCAGACAAATGCTATTAGGGCAGATTATAATACATTCTTTACATTTATGGCTGGAAATCTGTTTGTTTTGATGCAATCAGAGCACATAAACGTTAGCTCATCTTTTGAATCTTGCATTCTGTGTATTATAAAGACGTTATGTAATTTGTCTTTAATATTAGCTGTTTGACCTTATCAGAGATAACTCTTACAGAGGAAGTTTGTCTAAGCTGAGCATGGATTGGTGTTATGCAGGTTGAATTACAATCTAATAGATGCATATCAGTCCATAGTGCTATATAAAAAAATAAGTTTAAAAAAACTGAAACTTATTTACAAAACAAAAGTTAACGATACATTTGAAAATCTCCAGGTTTGGCAGTAAAGAACCTTCCTGCCTTCCACCTGCTGCAGGCCTCTTTGGTGCATTCCCAGGATTCTCACTTCTGCTGTCAGCTGCTTCGAACCCTGCAGACGATCTGGGAGAAGGACCCGGCTAATTTTTTCCTCTTAGAGTGGACTGTCCAATCGATGGCCCAACTAGCGACCCGTATGTGCCGTAAACCGCTGCCTGTCCAGAAAATCTTCTTTTCTATGCTGGAAATGGTAGGGATTTTCCCCATGAATGACTTGTTTTAGATTTTAAAATTAGTCGTTTTAACCGCCTTGTTGTCTTTCAGGTGGTGTTTAAGTTGAGTTATATACCCCATGAGACACTGCGAGCCCTGCTAGGCGTACTCAAGAAGAACTGGGCTGGAACCGGTGGAGTGGCAAAGACAGAATTTAGCATGGTGGCAGTTCAGTGTTTTCACAAGTGAGAAGTAAAAATTTTTAACAGTATTCACAGAATAGTGTACTGTCTTTGAGTAGAATTTTTTTTTTTTGTTTTATTTTTTCATAAGTTTGTTCTTTGTCTGGATTCTTGTTTTTTTTTCTTTGACTCAGGTGAAGTAGAATGAAGTTATCCCTGGAAAAATGTTTTATTTCTCCTTGTTGTTTTCTCTCTACAGTTATAACAAAAGCCATCTCTCCTTTTTTGTAGGATGATTGTACACAGCACTATGCTAACAGAGGTGCTATGTGACAGGGGGTTACTTGAGCTGCTGCTTGGAGAACTTCGCAGGAGGGCTAAGATCCTGAGAAAGGCTGGTAATGTTTCTGATGTAATCTTTATACATAACAGCTGAAACCCATGCTACATATTTATCTTTTATATGAAATTTAAAAAAAATGCTAATCCACATTTGTTTTAGCTCAGTAAGGTGTGAAAGTCTCTTAATATTGTAAACTGAAGCCAAAAGTAATTTTTCTTAACTGCTAGCAGTTTTGAATGAATTATTATTTTTACTTTTCAGATCCTTTGCAGCTGCAGTCTATGGAGGAAAATGAGAGACAACTCACTACATGCATGCTTCAAGTTATTTCAACTCTTACTTTGCGATCTATTAAAAATACAGGTATGTTGTTTCAGTTAATTTTGACATTTTTTTTATAGATATAAGAAGTTCTATTTTGGATTTGATATATTTCATGAAAGTATATACATTTATTTATTTATTCATTCTTAGTTATAAATAGCTTTATTAGATTAATACAGTTCAACAGAGTTTTGAGTTGTACAGGTGAGCATAAATTACTGAGTGTAACTCAGTAATTTATGCTGAGTTACACAGAAGCTTTCTGCATGCCCTTTAGGTTTTTTAATCCATTAACGTGTAAATAACTATCTTATGTTGTATCCTTTTGCTCATCTAAATATAATAATGTATCATTAATTCAAGCGTTTTCCGTGTGTTTTCTAGTTTCATTGCGGGATCTCGGCATGGTCCCCTACATAAAAATCTTCTTGGATGACAATCAGTATCGGGGTCCAACTCTCAGCATTTTGGAGCAGCTTGCTGAAATCAACCCAGATGAATTCATGAGCACAGCAGTTGGAGCCCTCTGCTCCTCCACGCAACAGGAGCTCAGGTTGAAGCTGGACCTCTTGCAGGTATGCGGCACATGCACAGACAAGCAGAGATGACAGCTCACACACACACACACACACACACACTTATCCAGACGCCCTCAGAGGCTTGGAGATCTCAGCTGAACTCTAAATGCAGTTTCGCTTCACATTCAATTGTAACAATTTGTAATGCACTTAAAGCATGATAAGCTTGTGAATTTATTTTCTGAGCATGTGGGACTTTGATTACATTACAGACAAATGCAGATTGATTTGCTAAAACTGATTTAGCTGTTAACTCTGAACCGATTTGATTAGGCCAGCAGCCTTGTGCTGTGTAGCTCTGAAGATTACCACCTCTATTGGATCAGTGAATGGGACAAAGATCTCATTAAAGCCTAACTAAGTTACACACCTACTGTATGTGTCCATTTTTATAGATGGCAGCAAAAGGAGCACCCACGCATGAAAGCTCTTTGTGTCTTCGCGTGTGCTCGCGTGCACGAGGTGGACTGCGCGTGTGTGCGACTCTTTGTGCTAACGCGGTTATAGCAGGTGGCAATCAGATTGGCTACGACCTGGGTTGGCGAGTGTTGAGAGCCATTGTGATTACTCCAGTTTCATTTAATCACATTTTTCCCTGCGTTCTGTCTCACACATTACCTACCTGATGGATTAGCTCTCTAAATTCAATAAAGATAATGTGATTTTGTTCACAACCAAAAACTAGTTACTAGAAATGATTTATGATTTATCTGTATGTTTCATCTGTTTTTTATGACACTTTTTTAATTGACTAAGAAGATACGCTACAAGCCTAGACTTAGAGAAAAGCTTAGTCTTCTTAAATTTCTTTTTCAACCAAAAGAATGAATTGCTTGATTCATATGTGATGTAACTGTGTTTGTCCATTGCTCTCTCTCACTAGTCTGTGCTGAGAGTGTTGGAGAGCCCCAACACCTGGGACGCCTTTAGGAAGGCAGGAGGCTTCACTGGACTGCTATCTCTGATGATGGACATGGAGGGAGCTCTGTCTGATCCTCCTAATGGACACGTGTGGAAGACTCTGGGGCATCAGCAAATGCTGGAGCTGCTTCTCCTCATTCTGCACATCATGGCTCTGGCTGTCCATCTTCACATTGTAAATGCTCACCATTTTCAAACAGAGGGATTTTATGAGAGACTCTCAGATGCTCTTCTTCAACTGGGCTGCTTCCATATTGAAGGCCAAAAGTGGGAAGGAGAAAAATGCTCCTGCCCTCAGACATCAGATGAAAGCCAGTCTTCAGGTTTTTTTCGGTTTGTTGAGCTGGCAGAAGCCTTGGCAGCTCCTAAGACTTGCTCTGGTTCACCTCAGCAAAATCTGCCCATCACTCTTCAGTCGTGCATACGGCTGCTGTCTTACCTAGACCAGTTTGCCACAGGGACCTACTCTCCTCAGGCTTTAAAACTGGGACAAGAATCAGATGGAGACTGTGACAAAAATAACAAGACACTACATGGACCAGAACGTCATGAAGAAGTTAATTCTGGACCTCCATCAGTTCTGTCAGGTTCAGGTCCACAGTCCACAGAGGAGAAACTGGGAAGTTCCAAAAACACAGCACCCAGCAGTCCCACCATGAGTACAGTGACCCAGTTAAGGTAGATACTACTAGATTCCTTTAAATTTCTATGTTTGTTTTTTTTTTAACCGAGAGGTTAACAAAGACTGCTTGTTTATAATGTCACATTGAAAATAATTTGTTTATTTTTTCTGCTTTACAGTAAGTTTTCATGTGATCAGGTTATTCTTCATCCAGGCGCAGTCACAGTGATCATGACTCTCCTTCCACATGTGTTTGCTCCAGAGGACCCTCAGGTAACTGCAGTAGCTTTGGTTAAATAAGATACAATTGACACAGCCCTTCTAATTTACACAAAAAATTATGAACCAATTGTGAAATCAGATGTTTGTAAACAGCTTGGGCTGTAGCATGATTGACTAGAGCCTCCAGTTATGAGAGCAGTGTTGTTTCTAAGTTTTGCTTATTCCTTTAATGTTTAACCTAACATGTAGTGATCTTTTTTATTTAACTTATAAGATCCCATTTAAATTTAAAACTTCTTTTCAAGGGGGAGCTGGCTAAGATATGCAGCAGTAATTAAAACACGGTTACAAAAATGACACAATTAAATACAGACAAAAAAAGAGAAAACATTACATAAAAATAATTCAGTTGAAATGACAAATAGTCTAAATTAATTAGTTGGATCTTAGCTTTAAGGGATCTTTGTTTTAATTTTAGCACACTCAATAAAATAAACTTGCAAAATTGCGTAAAGACTTATATTTAGTTCAGTCTTTCTTCCTTTTTGCAGCTCTCTTTGGAGGTACAGTGCTCGCTGGCTCACCACATCCTGTCTATGGTCAAATCAGAGCGAAACCGACAGATAATGTGTGAGGGGGGACTGGTGTCCACTCTCCTGACTCATTGCCGCAGCATTCTGCTGTCTCCGAACCACCACCTGCATCTACCTGTGACGCGGATTTTTGAGAAGCTCTCCTCTCAGGCCATCTCGCACTTTGAGTTCAGGTGAGACAGGGCCTGTTACTGCGGTTTAATGTTTGAGTGTTTGTATTGACGTTTTCTGTATTTGGATTCTCTCAGACAGTTCCTGTGCTTAGGAGATCCTCTCATGTGTTTGGCAGATGAAACATCCAAGCAGGTTCAGACAGAAAGCAACCCAACACTTCAGACATCACATTCAAAGGGTAAACATTTCACTTAAAATAAAATGATTGTTGTTTTAGAAGGCCTAAAAGGCAAGTGAAAATATTTATGTTATTGATCTGTTTTTTAAGTCTGACAAAAAGTTGTCTTTGCCTCACCTTAAATTATGTTCTAATGCACGGATATTTTTTCCTGAACAAAATCTGAGACTGCTTGAATAAAACATTTCAAAGTCCTTTGCACTTTGTACTCATCTCGACATCTGGTAAAATAACAAACACTGAGAAATAAAAGTGGTCCAATTAGTCTTTTGTATGAAAGTTTTTGGAAACCTGGGTTTTAAAAATATGACTTTTTTCTGTATTTCCTAAGGTTTGTGTATCTACGCGCGAGGCAGATTAGGTCATTGCGTTATTATATGTCCCTGAGAGGACCTTTTATTTATAACTCTTCCTTCACTTTTAATCTTAATAAAAACCAAATACACATTTCATAACCAAGAAAACTCCAGGGATGTTTGTTAAGAAAACAAATCACATTTGCAGGTTGGGCTGCATCAGAAATGGGTTCTTCAAAACCTATTTTTCTCGCTTGCCTCTCAGAGCTCCTGCAGACATCTGGTCCCTTTTTAAACTTTCTCTCTTTAAACCAGATGAGAACGCAAGTGCTGAATCTTCACAGAAGATGCTGAAACGATCCTTCAGCTTGTTGCATCCTTCGACATCATTCGGTTCTGCCATCCCTGACCACCAGATTGTCAGTCTGGTTTCCATGACGGCACCACGCACCTTCAGACCACACAAAGTGTCTTCTTCACCTGCCTTTGTAGAGTTTGATATGAGCGAGAGTGGATATGGGTGAGTTGTTTACAAAAGAAATGTTGTTGCAATAAGATCTGCAGCAGAAAGTCAATGATTTAACTAACGTCATGTTTGCTTGTAGGTGTCTTTTCCTTCCCTCTATCGCCACGGTGAAAGGTGTGTCTGCTGATCCTATTGCAACTGGTGGAATTGGAGGAGGTAATTAATTCATACTGCTCAACTACTTTGTGTGTTATCTAGTGATATGTAAAATGTTAAATACCTCTCTCGTGTTCAAGAATGCAGAGGCTTTCCGCCAACATCCGGCCTGTCATTTACCTGCTGGTTCCAGATCAACAGGTTCAGCTCAGCTTGTGATTCCCACCCGATCCGTCTGCTGTCAGTGGTCCGCCACATGTCGCGAACTGAACAACAATATATCTGTTTGTCAGTCTCCTTCTCAGCTTATGATGGCTGTCTGGTCATCTCCACAGAGGAGGAAGCATTCACATACCTAGGTAGGAGAAGCAGAATTTAGTTTTTGTTTGTCTTTTTTTGTTTCTCAGAACTGTCAGGAAGCACAAGTAGACCCATCCTCTGTTTCTTTTTTTCAGATATGATGGAGCCAGAGGTTTGCTCTCCGACTTCTTTGCCCTCGTCTCTCAGGTTCCGCTGCTCCAGCATGTTGGTCCCTGGCCAGTGGCACCATTTGGCTGTCGTCATGGCCAAAGATATGAAGAAAAGCTGCTTGACCTCAGCTTACTTCAATGGAAAGGCAGTGGGAACAGGAAAGGTAGATGGGAGCTTGATAATTGAACAAATTTATCTAGTGTCTCACTTTATTTAATTTCTTTATACCTGTTTTCCTCAGATGAAGTATATTCAGCCATTCCCAGGTCAGTTTGTCTCCATGGACCCCACGGCTGTGATTGATGTGTATGGACTGATAGGGACTCCAGCGATATGGAAAGATCATGCGGCGTTGGTGTGGCGTGTGGGTCCCTGCCACCTATTTGAAGAGGTGTTAAGCTCAGAGACTGTGGCTGTGGTTTATAAACAAGGCACTGCCTACCTAGGGAACTTCCTGGCTCTGCGTAACATGGGTGAGTCTATGTTTCGCAAGAGATCTAAAACAAGTCATTTGTTTATTTTGAAGAAAATCTTAATTGTGCTTTGTTTTAAGTTTTTATAAAGTGAGGAGGCATATTTGTGTACATATTTTAGACAATCAGGTCTCGTCAGTTACTTTCATATTTTCTGTTATGTACTTTTTTTTTTAGATCAATAACTGAAGAATGCAGTTTCCAATGTTTCTTTGATTCATATCAAAGAAATGTTTACCTGTCTTGGTGTTACGGTTACATATTTAGCGCTTGTTTTCAGGCTTTGGTCCGACCGCAGAGTCTCCATCTCTCAGGCTTGTTTATGAGGAGAGGGTCTCTTTTGGCATCAACCCTGCAGTTTCCACTTTAACAAATGTGGTGCAGATTAGAGAGGATTACAATGAGGTGGATTGCAGACTCATTGCGAAAGAGGTATAGCTGAGACGAATTGTTTCTGAACACGATTCTGTTGTTTTCATGAAGAATAACAGTAATTTTGTGTAATTACAGATGGGGATAACATCTCGAGATCACTCAACGCCTGTTTTTTTCCTTCAAAACATTAGCAAGCACCTGAGTGGTACAGCTCGCACCATAGGCGCTGCTTTGGTTGGACGTTTTGGTAAGCAAGATAAGGTTTTGAAAAGTCTTTGAGTTTTATTTTTCAATCTTTGGAATCTCTTTTTTTCTCAGGTGTTCGAACTTTCATCCCCAAGTCTGCTTCCACTGGTTTTCTGTATGTTGGTGGGCCTGCCGTTGTTCTCAGTCTTGTTGCAATGGCACCAGATGATGGCTCTTTGTATGCAGCTATTAAAGTTCTTCTCTCAGTGCTGGAAACGAACTCCGCTATGCAGGCCGAAATGAACCGCATCAATGGATACAAGGTTTTTCTGAGCTTAGCAACACATCTGTAAAATCACTTTTGTTTCAGTCATGAACATTTTTCTTACAATTCGAGTCCGTTTTGTTGTATTTTGTGCTCTATCTAGCTATTAGCCTTCCTGTTGAAGACAAAGAGCAGTCTTGTTAGCCATCGAACCTTTCAGCTGGTTTTGTGCCTCGCAAGTTCAGTGGAGATGAACTGTGGAACTGGCTACCTGCAGAACACGCCTGCTTTCCAGGCTCTGCTATGTGACTTGGAGGTAAAAATCAGCACAGCTTTTAAAAGTTAAACATATGTGAAAAAGTTTATTTTATTTTTATTTTTACTGAAATAAAAACCTGATGCTTTTTCTTTATCCCTCATTTTTAGGTGTGGCAGAATACACCAGACAGTCTGGACTTCTCAGTCCTAAAATACTTTGCTGATATTCTGAAATCCTCCAGGTAATCCTCAAAGTTAATAGCATGTGGCTTGCTGTAACTCAGAGATTTATAAGTCCATATCCAGACTTTCAAGCTGTTACTCACAAAGCAGCTTGAAAGTTTACACACTTATGTCCAAAGCTTTCTCTGTGAGATTGCTTTAGTATGTTTGTGTTTTTGCCATTTTGACAAAACAAGGCCTTTTTTAATTGTATTATTGATAAGAAAGGACGTGACAGTTATAAAGAAAGACAGTAATGTTGTGATGATTTTACAATAGTTAAGTCCTCAGAAGCAAGTGTATTCTGTGCCAGGTTGAAATTTGGCAGAGTGGTTTTAGAGTTAGCATTATGACTGGGTCAGCACAAAATTAAAATCACAATAAGGTCATGCCTACCTTCACACTGAAATGAGCTTTTCAAACTTTGCCACGATCTAGCATTGTTCAGTTGGTGGTGGAGATCACGGAGACTGACATTCTTAATCCTATATGAAGAGGGCCTAAATATATTTAAATTTACTGTTAATTGTCACAGCCAACAAATCATGTAAAACAATAAAGAGGACCTTGTTCTGAATTGACAGCTTTTATTGGCTGTTCTGTCAATGCACAGAGAAGCCTGTCATCAATATCACAGAACTGCAGAGCAGAAAATAGTCAAGGGAACGTTCAGCAGAATCAGTCAGGAAGGCTGAGGAGAGGACTGAATGCTTATATGGATTGGTGAATTAGATTTTCTGTCTGCGGGAACAGATTGTGATTGATATCGCTGCTGTTTCTGTTTCCCTCATCATAACCGAGCAGTGACAGAAGGAATGCAGTGGTCCTGCACAGTGTGGGCCTGCTGCCAATGCTGCTGTTTGAGTTCTGTGATCCTGCGGTGACCATCCAAAGGGTCCACATTATCTCTGACGTCATCACTTTACTGCTGAAGGCTCACATGACTTCTTCAGACATAAGCAGGTAGAGTCTGAAGTTGTTGTTTCTTTAAATACTGACGATCTATTTTTATAACTTAATGCTTTCTGCATGTGTCTTTTTGTGTGATAAGACTTGGGCTTTTCCTGGTTTACACACTCCCTCCTTCCAGTGAAAAATATGAAGGCAGTGAGATAGTGGACTGTGAGGTTTCAAATGACATGTCAGGTACAGAGTTAACAATCCCATGCATACAATGACAATACATGTCTGACATCTGTGTCTAATAGAGGGTTGTTTTCTGCCGTTCAGGTCCAACTAGCATCGTCTGCATCCGTAACAAGATGCTGCTTGTAATTTCTGAAATTCTTCAATCAGACAGTCTTCAAAAATGGTGAGGATGAATACTCTTAGCTTTTTGTTAAGCGTCAGTGTATAAATGGAAGGTAGCATATGTCTTTTTTTGACATAAAGTCATATCCTGGCAGAAATACCTATCCAAATGTATTCTTTTGTTTTGTTTTTTTATCCCCCAATTAGTCACCAGGCCACAGTTTTCCAATCTCTCGGCAGCGATTGGTTCCTGCTCTTCCTTCAGGCCCACCTCCACCCAACCACTTTGAAACTGGGCCTCATCCTGCTCACACAGTTTCTGTCCAATCCAGGACAGCAGAGCAGCTTCAGAGAGGGAGTGATGCCAGGAACACTCATAGAGGGCATAGAGGAACCATTTGTTATCATGGGTAGACAAAATCATATTATTTTTTTAATTATGTTTTTTAATTTATCCCACTGGAATTTTGTGGGTTTTATTTAGTGGGTTTATTTGAATTATTTTTGAGATACAGTCCTATTTAGACTACACTTGTGATGCTACACTTTATTTAAATAATACAGTTCAATCTTGAATCAACTCTTAAGTTATAGACACAAAAACAAAACAAATACAAAAGAAAAAAAACAACAAGTGACTATTTTATTTTAGAAAAACTAATATTTCAGTTATTGTGCCATTTTGTTTATCTGCAGTTTGTGCTTTGTAAGGTACAAAAGGAGTCACTTGCAAAAGAATCTTTGTTTGTACCACTCGATTACCTTAGTAAGGTCAGGCCATTTTGTTAGTTTTGTTAATCAAATAGGTATATCATGGTTCTCACACCAGATTTGGATGATTTTTAAAAATAAAGCTTACCTTTTGTTAGTCACTGACTCCTCACCTTCTGTCCAGACAACCTTCGAGCCTGTCCTTGGTCCCAGGAGTGTCTCAGCACCACTTGTCCAGGTTTTGATGTTCTCCAGGAGTTGTTAGTCAGACACACTCACCTGCCTCAGGTATATGAAGCTCTTGCTGCTCTTCTACTTGGGAGAAGCATCAGTCACATGACAGCCAGAGAGGTGGGTTACTCTGCACAGTCTTGATTCCTTCCCTACAGTATCAGTTTTGTCATCATCCTTTCATTGAATCTCTCATACAGCTCGATTTGGATGATGCCCTGCAGGAATTAATTGAGAGCCAAAGGGAAGCTCCCTCTCAGCAACTTTGTGCTGAAGCTGCTATGACACTGCTTGAGCTGGTTAAAGTTATTATTTCTCAGGTTGAAAGATTAAAAGAGTCTAGATTCTCATAAATATTTTAAAAGAAAATTTTCAGTGAAGAACATGTGTCTCTGTTCTTGTTTCAAAAGCCTTTATCTACAGATGAATCGGACAGTGAGGCACCATGGGAAGTGCAGCTCCCAGCCAGTGTAATGCAGTTCCTTTGTCTCCTTCACAATCTCCGACCAAGAGACCCACTGTGGGCATCACCCAAGTTCCTGCGTTCACTCGCCAGTGTTGTTTATCCTGTGGAGATTAAAGAGGTTTGTTGTGTGGTTGTGGTTTCATAAAGCTCTCCTATAATTTATCATCTATGGAGTTTCATTGTCTGGTTTTCTTTCTTACCGTAGGTCAACCCTTGCAAAACAAATAAGAGAGAGGGCACATTCAGTACTCATCCAACGAGGAAGCCAGTGCTCGACTTCATGCGTATTCTGCTGATGGACAGTCTCCTAAACGTGTGTTCAAGCTCCAACACACATCCCACAGTTCTGCTGCTGGAGGTGAATTTCCAGCCCATGCCGTTAATCACCTTGCTGTTCGAAACCATGAATGTCAAAATAATTTGGGACTTTTAAGGATTTGGAGTTTGAACAGTTTTTTTTCATCTCTGGCTTGATCCCAACATGTCCTGACTGGTTTTATAATGAACATGTATCTAAACATAGAATTGTATTTTTTTAAGAGTAGATATATCTGTTTGACTGTTTGAGAGATAGAGAAACTCTTTAATATTTGCTTTCAACATCAGGGTATGTAAACTTCAGGCATGTACTATGCATATCTTATATTATTCAGTTTGTAGATTCCAGTCACGATCAAGTGATGCATGCTTTCTACAGTAAAAAGGCTGTTTTTTTTGTTTTTCTTTTTCTCTGAAAACTCTGCTTCAGTTTGACCAAATTCTGCAAAACTCTTTTTTCTCCAGAAGGTGCCACTCTATGCTCATTTACCAAACAAAACAGAGCTAAGATGTTTTTGATCGAATTGTTCACCATTAGGAGGAAAACAGCACATTTCCTGACTAGTGTTTTCACTCACATCATCTGTGCACTTGTCGTTAAATACAATATTTTTTACTTCTCGCCTAGTTTTGTCCTGATGGCACATCGCTGGAGCAAAGGCAGACTTTTCAATCTGAGTTGATGGAGCTGATCATGAACATCATTCATATGCTCAGCCATGAGGACGATAACAACACCCATCTCACCTCACAAGGTAACACCACAACACATTACTTTTATGCACCTAAATCTGTACTCAACAGAAATGAAATAATAACTTTACTTTTTTATGTTAGACTGCAATAATCAGAATGCCGAAGGAGAGATGGGTACTCTGATGGACAATGTGGTGTTCTTCTGTAGGACTATGCTACTGAAGCTTCACAGTGGAACGTTTGCTGGAGATCCTGAAAGTTTGCTTGACTTCCTGGCTGATCAGATTATGGTGGTGAGACACAGACAGACGGCTTTCACAAAATTTATTAGATAAATTCAAAGCAGCATGTCATTAACTTAGAGAGCCTTTGAGCAATAAGAGATACATCTTTAACATAAAAATAATGTAGATTAAGTTTTTCAGGCATCGTCTGTCTGATTTTAGGCCGTGGGGAAACCTCAGACTCAAAGAGAGAGGGCTGTGTCTGCCCTCTACTCGTGCTCCAATAAAGTCCTGCTTCACTTCCTGTCTCAACCGCGTCATTCCCAAGAAGAGAGGGATGTTGTCATCAGGGCTTTGCAGACCTTCATGGAACGCTGGGATGTTTTCATGGCAACTTACAATGCTAATGTGAACTTCATCACCTGCCTACTTCACTGTCTGCTGCTGATTCGCTCTGGCAGGTAAAAAAAAGTGTAAAAACTGTTAGAAAGATACAGCATTATATTCCATAGTATAAATACATTTCTTTAAAAATATAAACAAATTGTCAAAATATTTTGGGAGAGAACATTTCAAAAATATAAAATACACTCATACCAAAACTAGGGGTAGTTTTTAAGTGCTTATTTCTTAGAACATTAAATATATTTTGCCTGTCTGCTCTGTATCATACAAGTCTGCTGGCTCCCTTGATATTTGTTTGCATTTTTTTTTATTTTATGTATTACCTCCAGACTTTTCACAGGTTTTCACAGGTTTTGCACTCACAGGCTCAGTGAGTAACCAACAAAACTGGCAGGTGTGGAGTTAAAAATATGTTGGGGAGAGGAAACTCAACACACCAGATTGCCAAAAAATAAATTTGTTGTTGTTTGTTGTTGTATGAGAGAAGTATTTTCATAATTGACATCCCAAATAGTATAAAAGAATGAACCATTGATAAAAAAGTTTCAGACTGTTGACTTTTTTCCCTTTTGGTACAGTTAATTCAGAAGTAATTACTTCACATTTATATCATTACAATACTTTTACTGTGTAAAAGAAATCTTATGAAGTTGGTTTCTGTGAAAAGAAAAGTGTAAAACTACTGATTGTCTTTTTGTATTATGTAACAAAAAATACATGATAAATATGAATTAAATTGAGTTGAACTGATAAATAACAGATTGTTTCACCATGCAAAATAGATTTTTGATTTCAAATTGAGGTAAGCTGCCTTATTTTGGGGTTTTTTGTTAGGTTGGGTCATTTTTGACCTGTAGAACAAGGGGAGTAAACAGAATGTTAAGATCGCACGAGGGTTAAGAATGGACATGTTTTTTGTCGCTTTTTAAAACGTTAATATGCCTCAATAACAGAAACTTATGCCTTTTTCACTTAGCAAATCTTTCACTATATTTCTAAATTAACACGTATTCTCCTTTTGTAGCTACCCAGAAGGTTTTGGATGTGTGCCACTACAGGAACACAAAAAGAAATCAAGCCCTTTACCTTGCAGAAGTAAAAGCCCTTCCAACCTCAGTAACGGAGCAAACATAACAGAAGGTTTGATCCCCTCTTTTAGGGATTTTATGTTTATTTCACTCCTCAGAAAATACAAAATGTGTGTTTTTATGTGTTTTCTAGATGGCAAACAACTCGTGTCCTTAGCAGAGGCCTGCTGGTCAAAGGTAATATCAGAAAGACAACAAATGCTTGAAGAGAGCTACAAGGTTGAAATCTCAGCGAGCAGTATGACGGAGACGAAGCCGGTGAGCATGACTGAAATCAGCCCCCTATGGGAGGAGATGGCACACAAAGCCTGGCAGCTGTACACAGGTAAGCTCACATTCTGCAGACAGCACAGAGGGTTAATAAGCATGACTGTGAGCGCCCAGGTATTGATATTTATGTCTTCTCAGAATCTCAGAAGACAAAAGCAGCCAGCAGATCTCAGAGGACGCTCGATGCCATCAGTAGTGCTCTTCGCTCTGCTTTGGGAAAAGGTCAAGAGTCAATGAAAGCAGAGGTACTTCTACATTGCCTCACATATATTCCATTTTGTGATGTTTCACACGCAGGTTTTAAAGTATCTTTGCAGAGGGAAAGTACTATAAGGTTTCAGCTAACTCAAAAATAGTCCACAAATTTTGTCTTTCTGGAAGAGGCGATTGAAGAAATTTAGCATTGAAAGAAAACCACAAAATCATGTAGAAAACACTGAAAACACGTTAAAACTTGCTGGCTGTTACAAAAAGCTAACTGCAAAACACAGGCCACTCCATGTTCACAGCCACACGTGATGATAGTGCTTGCATCATGCTGTGGGGATGCTTTTTTGTCTATGGAGAGATGGAAACTGAAACAGAAGCAACATATTGCCTCGGGAGGGATAAATATATATTTTTACATTTTTATTAGTAAAAAAAAAAAAAAACCTTCCGTACTTTTTTTTCCATTTTAGTTTTGTACTACTTTGTGTTATTGTATTAATGTACATTTTAGAGCAAGGTTTCCACGTGAAATGAAACCTTGCTGATATATGATATGAATACATATGCAAAGTTCTTCAGCATAGAGTTTTTCAACTCTACATTTGTCAACTCTACACACAGTTTTCTCCTTTGCGGTATCTGGGGTTGTTATCTTCTCCCAGATCCCAGAGGACTGTGCCAAAAGTCCATCGAAAGACGTGTGCTTATGCTGGGGGCCATCCAGCCCTGCGGGAGTGTTTATTTCTTTAAATAGATTTGGATTATCACAGCTGATTGCCCCTGAGTGGGCTTTGTAATTGATATCTGTTAGGCCCATCCATAGCCACAGCACACCGTTTGCCGCTGAAGGTTAAAGACGCCTTTATTGTTGTTTTTCCCCCCCGAAACACGTGGCCCACATCATTAGTTCCCCCACAACGCTTAAGACGTTGAGCCATCTGGAGCAGGGAGCAGGGACATATTACTCAGCCACACAGGCATGAAATTACAGCGTCTGTGTGTCTGTCTCGCACTCCCCAAAAGTGTACGTATACGCTCTTGTTTGTGCAAGTGTCTTGCCCACAAAAATCATGCTGGCAATTACAGTGGTAGCAATCTGATGAAAACATTACTCATTTGATGTTATTCTTTATCATATCAGTTTCTGACAGGCTATCAAAGAAGGTGATGAATTGTTTTTCCATCTGAGATGCAGGGAGGAGGATGGCGGGAGGTTTTAGTTCTTCATCCTTACGGTGTTTTGCTGCATAAATGTTGCAGAATATTGGTGGTGTTTAAATTAGAGATGTGGAAACAATCATCAGCTATAGTCAGCTGCTCCTCTCACATTTTCATCAATCTTCTTGAAGTAATAACAGCCATTAATTAATTTGTAGATCATCAACTTATGACCTTTATTTAACAACTTGTGTGCTTTTGATGAGCTTCTTTGCAGCACAGTGAATCATCTTGCTCCAGTGTCTCTCAACAGTATACACACCCCTTTTAAAAGGGGTGTTTATTTCTTAACCATCTCACATGTTTAATCGTTTTGTACAATTCAAAATGAAAAGTAAACAAATGCAGTTTAAAGAAAAAAACTGCATTGTTGGAATATTCTAGTCTATAGAGTAAGTTCAGCATATTTTATTTTTCAGTGAAATGTGACCACTCTTACCTTGCAAAAGCTTTCCAAATTTCTCAAACTGTTGTGATGCATATGGTTTACAGCCCTCTTTTGGTCATGTCACAGATTTTCTGTCAGCTTTAGTTCTCCAACTCTGTATTAATTTTGAGCTAGCATCACTTTTAGCATCACTCATTGTGATCCTGAAAAAAATTAAATATCTCTACATCATCTGCTTCTATCTCAACCAAAACTGCAGTTTTATTTGAAGAGAAGTTTGATGCTGCCACCATCACCCATCACAGTGGGTTTAAGGTTTTTTTTAAAGTTGTGCAGTATTGTTTTTGTGCCAAATCCTTTTAAAATATGTCCCAAAAATTACATTTTGGTCTGGACAGACACATTCCTACACAACACCTTAAGACTTTTTTGTCAGCCCTGCATGTGATCTTTTGATGAAAATAGTTATGTACAAGTCTGAAAATTGTGGCTTTGCCTTAAGGATAAAAATCTGCAAACTATAGAAAGGTCCTGGAAGAGCTGTATCTCAGGTTGATGAATTTCACCACAGTTGAGGCAGGTGTAAGCTGAAGAAGACTGAATGCTAAAATTAAATCAAATGGTGTATCAGCAACACATTAGTATACGGGTGTGTAAACCGTTTTCCAAATTATTATGCAAATTGGATTTAAGTGTCATAAAGATACATTTTTTGTTGCGCTATTAAATTTGTAGATGGTATTGTGTGTCAGGGCTCTTTGAATCTCTATAATTAATTTCAGAGAGCTGGGTTGATCAGCTCTCTCAATTGAGCTCAGATGAGCTCAATTAAAGGAAATCTACTTAAGAAGGATGTTCCACATTATTAAGGAGGCCACAGGTTTCAAGCAATATGGGAAAGAGAAAGAATCTCTGCTGATAAAAATCATCAGATAGTGTAGTGCTGTAAGACAAGGTATGAAAACATTAGATATTAAACAAAAACTGAAGTTTTATCGTACTGTGAAGAGATTTATGGCTGATTCAGAACAAAGATGTATTTGGACAGATAAAGGCATAATGAGGAAGGTTTCTGTTTGACAAATTCATTGGATTAAGAAAGCAGCTGTTAAAATGCCCTTACAAAGCAGCAAACAGTTATTTGAAGCAGCTGGTGCCTCTGGAATCTCAAGGTGCAGTTCATATCAAAACAGCAGCTCTGGGAAGGTATTGTGATATCCTGCAAAAAAATTCATGCAGAAACGATCCACAAACTCACAAGTTTAATGGATCCAAGAATTGTGCAGGTGATATTAAAGAAGGGGTCCAATGTTAACAAGTACATTGGTCTGTTAAGATGTTTTTGATTGAAATAGCTTTTGGTTTTAGTACATGTGACCACATGTACTAAAACATTCAAAAAATGACCGTTTGCAGTTCTTCATTGTCCATAAAATGTTTAGAAAGTTTGCTGTGCATAATAATTTGGATCAGTGCATTTTGAGTTTTTTATTTTTGAAAAAAAAATACTGTTTTCATTGGGAGCTTTGTTCAGTAAAATCTGATTTGTACTGTAATAGTTCATGACTTGAAAATTATACTGACCATCATTTGGATTGACCGTTTAAGAAAATGTGAGAAAACATCACTTGCATAATAATTTGGAACACAGTGTATGTGTATGCATCTAGGCTATTACAGGTGTTTATTTATTTAGTGTTTATTTATTTAGTGTTTTCTTCATAGGATATATATCATTAAAGGTGGAATACATTGTGAGAAAATTTGACCAAAGTAATTTCTTTTACATCACAAAAACTTTTGAAAGCAAATGCTTCTACATTTATTAACCAAATAAATAGGTTTATTAGGTGATGGAGGAGAATATAAAAACTGATAAGCAGACTTTGTCCTCAGTTAAGCTTCAGTGCAATCCTTCCAGAGATTTATTTCATCAGTGAATGCAGTTTCCATAATCATATCTGTGTCCTCATATTAGAAAGATAATTAACAGCACTAATGATCACGTTAAGTTCATTACACATTCACTGCCAGCTCAGAATGAAGTTGACATTATGTTGCCTTATCATCAAAGGTGGCGTATTGTTGGGAAGTCATTAAAATGGAAATGAGCGCGATGTTCTGATGTTAATTGCAGAGGGAAGAGATGAGTTATGTATTTAATGCAGCATTTTAAAAAGCCAATGAGGTTCCTATCTGCTAAATAGGGTAATTAATGCTATATATTACTTATGTTTGTCCAAATGAAGGAATGAAATTAGAGACGATGACGCCAACTTGCTGTTTATTTGTCACAACGCGCCTCTAGTCTGCAAACTTCATTATTACTCATATTTCTATAATCTCCCTTCAAATTCCTCTTTTATTTCCTTCACGACGCAACTTCTCATTTGGATAGGCAGCCGGCCATTTAAGGAAACAATTTGTTTTCTCCGAAGAGCCTGTCAAAGTTTGTCAACTTTCATGAACATGTTCACTCTGTAACCTATCTAGAATTAGTACATCTGCTCTTGTGCAAAAGTGTTCTTGCCTTTTTACTCTGGTCGAAATGAACAAATTAATTCTTTCAGTGGGTTTATTCCACAGAACACAAAATTAGCATGTGTAAATAAAACTCGATATAAAGAGTTACTGCGTGCTCGCTCGCTCAATTAAATGGCTTTCCTGGGTCAGCTGTGAAGATGGACACATGTTGTTTCACTAGTCTCAGAGCGAGCACCGCTGTGATGATGGGTTTAATGAAGCAGTTAACAGTCAGAATATGATCCCAGTGTGTCTGAACATGAGCATTGTGCAGTGTCAACACACGGCTCTGTTTGGGGGGTTTTTCATTGCTTTTCTCTTTTAATCGTCCTTAAAAAAAGAAAAAGAAAAGCACCAATACACTCGCATGCTCACACACAATAAAGGTGCTCACACAAACCAACCTTGGCGCTGACTGTGGCGAGGCTCCGTGATATTAATGTTTATGTTAATTAGATCACACCAACAAATGATTACATTTGAACACAGGGTTATTGTAAGACTGTAGCCACTAGCTTGTTTTGCCCAGTGAATGCAATTTAACACAGATGTAATTGTGTGAATGCATTGTAATTGCATGAGGAAACAACAATGCCATTATGTATGTGTGCATTTGTTTGTCTGTGTTCGTGCTTGTGTGTGGGTGTGCATGCCTGTATGTGTGCAGTCTAAACCCAAACAAGTCACTGTGCTTTCCCTCTTTTTATTTGCAGCTGTTTTCACTCTGGTTTTCTTGCAGGAGTTTCTGTCCAACATGGAGTCACATAGGCATCGAGGTCACAGTGTGTTTGAGAACATGAAGACAAACCACTCACAGGTTGGACATCGTAGTTAAAAGTGTTTCAGAGATGAAAATAGGAGTTTGACAAAATTATTTGTTCCCTCTTTGTCCCAGTTGCAAACCACCAAGTGGGAGCTTGTGAGCTCTCAGTGGTTGCATGTGGAGGCCGAGCTACTGAGAGAGAGAGCCATATTCGGCCCTGGTCCAGGGGTGCTGTTGAGCCAAGACTGGGTGCAAGAATCTGCAGAAGGACCGAACCGGACCAAACTACGCTTACGCAGAAAAGTCATGAGACAATCCAAACGGGTAAGTCCTTTTAGATTAGAGAAGGAGAATCTACTCTGAATTTTATGACATGTACATCGCCTTGCTGCAGTATTTATACATGAATGACTTTACATATTACAACATCAAATCTATGTATGTTTCATTTATAAGTGATAGAACAACACATGGTAGTGCATAATGGTAACATGGAGGATCTTTTTATCGTCTTCATTTCTAAAGACTGATATTTTTTCTAATTTTACTTTGCTTTTTTCAGATTTGATGTTGGATGTCTGAACAGCAATTTTCAAGTCTTAGCAGATTTCTAGGTTCAAACTTTGACTCGGCCATTTCCAAATATGTATATATCCCAGTCTCCAGTATGTTTCTCACAATAAAATGTTTTTTGGCCAGAATTGCCCCGTATTTATTTCCATTCATGTCCCCATGAGCAATAACTGGAATTTCTGTCCTTGCTGAAGAAAACCATACCCACAACATGATACTGCCACCATCTTGTTCTATTGTGGGGATGGTGAAATGAAATTAGAGTGATCAGCTTTGGACTCATATAATTAGAGAAACTTCATCTGCATGTGAATTATGCCCCCACTTAGCTGGTAGAAAAAATTACATCTGTCTTCCTCCTGGCAGACGACAAATTCATATTGTGGAAGACTAAGAGTCATCCTTTAAATAGATTCTTCCACCTGAGTTGTGAACCTCTGCTGCTCCTCCAGAGCTACAATGGGCCTCTTGGGTGCTTCTCTGATCAAAACTCTCCCTGCCTTGTGTGACATCACCATGCATGACATCCACATATGATTCACTTTGCAATTCTGGACTACGATGTGTGTATCTATCTCAAGTTCCAAAGAAATACATTGAGGATTATGAAAATAAGTGTAATATGTGCTGCATGCCATTAAAAATGTTTTTAATGCAGGTTATGCCACTTTCAAATGTGACAAATGTTTTTTGTTTTTTTTTCCTGCAGCTGCTGGGTGCATTGGGTTTCGGCCTAAGGTCTGAGGAGTCCAGTCAAAGATCAGACAGTGATGCAGGTAAAGATTATTTTGAATTGCTTGCATTCTGAAATTTTACCACAAGATGTCACTAAGTCCTACTCATTTAGCTGTTTAAATCTTAATTTCTGTCCTGGACTCTGAATTTTTATTTTTATTTTCATAGAGTCAAAGATCTTGTGTGACTTTGATGCAGAGAGTAAAGAGGACGAAGCAGAGGCGGAACAAAGCTGTGATCGCCTGACGTTTTTCCCTGCTTTAAAAGAGACACCCTCATTTCCTGAGGGTTTATCTGACCCTTTCACCCCTAAACCCTGCTCACACACACAAGACTGCCCTGACATGCGTATCATCCTCAAAGAGCTGCACCCTGAGGAGAAGGTACCGTGGCACTGGATGACGTTTTGGTCTCTCAGCTCTGAATAAAAGTAAAACTACTCCCCGCCCTTCCAACACTCACATTCCTAATTATCTGAAGCAGACGAAGGGATTCCAGTAGCTCAGCGCTGCTATCAGAATTTCATCTTTCCTCATTAGTTAAATATTTTAATGTTGAGGCTCAGCACAGCTCCCCTCATTGTTACAGCGAGTTAGAAACTACGCACATGTTGACAGGGCCCTATGATCGCTCCGGCAACCAGCCGCGTCTTTTAATGTTTCTGACAGAAGTATTAATAAAAGCAGTAGGAGGTGATGCAAGCTGTCTTACATCCGCTTAGTGAATGTGTGATGTGTGCTGGTGTGTCCTGTTGCCTTGCAGTTGTTCAGCGCTCGACTCCTGCTGAGCTTCTTGTCAAATGAACACAGTCATTAGCTCTGAAAAATGCACACACACTCACAACCGAACATTCACACAAAGGGAGACCCACTCATAATTAGCTTGCCAGCGCCAATAGTGTGATTATGACAATAATGTGTGTGGGGAGAAATCAATGGTCTGACATTAGGCTCTCAGTCAATAAAAGTCCTCCTTTTCCCTCCTCCTTCCACATCGCTGGCTAAATCGCTCGCAGGCTGATAACACGTATCTGTCTGGACCACAGATAAGGAAATGAGTTTATTGTTATGTATTTAATTTTTGATGGCAATAAATTCAACTAGTTTAATCTGCTCATTATTGGTGACGGTTGGTGCTGACTGATGTCATCTCCCATGATATAGCCTAGCGAAGACTCACTCACCTTGACTCCTCTTAAGCACCTTCACATGATAAGTGACCGTATCCATCACGCCGTGTCTCTGTGTGTGCTTTAAGACAAGAGCTTCTGATCACTTATCAGCTTTACCATTGTGTGTGTGGCAGTGATTAATTCTCCTAATAATGCCCAGGCAGGACCTCCTCCTCGTCCAGTGTGTGGCTGCGTGTCTGGGGGTAGGGACCCTGATTTGATTAGTATAAATTGTGTGGGCCCTGCGGCTGTGTTGGGACCCCATATGTTTATGCTATTTTTTGGGGGGGTGCTTGTCTCCCAGTGGACTCGGTGCATGGAAACAGCCAGGTGCACGCACTCATTGTGAAATCAAGGGAGACAATAAAATTATCCACACATTATTACGATGCAGTTAGCATTAGCCGCAACCAGCACTGAAAGCAGCATGTGGATTCACTGTGGCTGAGGATGAAAAGGGGCCGGTCCTTCTCCTCCTCATCAATCAGATCTGATAATGAAGTGTTCAATGGTGTCTTTTTAATAAGGATTAAAATATGTGATTAAAATGATCAATCAAGTAAAGCCTGACCCGATATCTGATATGTCATTCCCTGTGAGAATAATGCTGTGGTGTGTATGGAGTGACTTATAGAAGGCTTATTGTACAAACTGTTGGCACCCCTAGTAAAGAGCTGTGTTGAACATTAAAATAAATTATTACAGTTGTATAATCTCAAATTAATAATCCAACTTTCAATTTAAACACATTTACTTAACGTGAAAAAATCCCTTGTTAAGAAGCTGAAACATCTATTCAATGTATGCTTTACTTTTCAATCCAAGTTTCCAGAGCCTTCTGATTAGTAACTCGCAGCTTCCTTGGCAGTCGCCGGTCACTCAGTGAGACGAACAGTGGGGAGGAAGATAAGGAAGATAATGAATAATATAAAAAAATATGTATAATTTCTGCTGCATTTTGGATTCCCAAATGTTTCACATGCCTACAATTGTTTGAGAGTAATACTAAGGAAAAGCTTTTCCTGTCATACAACCACAAACATAAACATATCATGAGACTGTGTGATCTGTATAAATGAGACTAATATTAAGCCTTTCTGCCAACTCTATAGATGGGTTTAGGGTAAAACAAAGGTCGAAAATGTACAAAAGCAGCTCTTTCCCACAGTTGAGTATGGTCGAGAGTCCATGATGCTGGGGGCCAATTCCTCTTCCTGGGGACAGAAATAAACTTTCAGGCTGATATTTAGTTTCAAATAATGCAACTACAAAAAACATTTAATTTTTAGGCTTCATACACACATTTACAAGGGCTGCTAACAAACGGTGTTCCTCCGTATGTTTCTTATCATGCAGATAAAGGCAAAGATGTGCGTGGTGATGGTGAGTGGCCTGAGGGTGACAGAAGGTTTGCTGCTGTTTGGAAAAGAGAGTCTGCTGTTGTGTGAGGGATTCACTCTGAACTCCACTGGAGACGTTTGCTGCAGGAGACACCACCCAAGCAGGTACAGTCACCCTGTGAGGGCTGCACACTTTTCTTTGCTACAAAAAAAAGGTAAACATGACATCTTCTGTGTGCGCTTCTTCCAGTGTAAAGGATTCCTTTATTTCCACTGTGCTGAACAAAGAGCTGTCATCAGCCACTTGCAGACGCTGGCTTTATGAGGATATCAAGGAGGCTCGCTTCATGCGGTTCCTTTTGGAGGTCAGCCATCAAATTAATCTCACAGATATTTTTGACATAAAGCAGCTGCAGAAATTTAAGCTAAAATGTAACCACCTGTCATACATGAGTGCTTATTTAAATTAGAATATACTTTTCAAGGCTCATCTGTCAGGTTAAAAGTAACTTTTGAAAATGACAACATTTAAGCAGGCATTAGACAGACTTTAAAAAGAAATATGCAGTGTAGGAAACACAAAAAATCACAGTCAATAATATTCATTCAAGTTTGATTGCTGCTTTGCATTTTTACATTTACATACATAAGCTTTTAATTAGAAACACAATACATAATCTACATATTATAACTGTATATGAGTATATCCATTTTTTACACCACTTTCTATTACCTAGTAGATTATGACAAGATTAAAAGTAAATAAAAATAAGAAAGATTATTTGAAAATAACAATGTGAATACATTATAAATAAATAAATAAATTAGCTAATTTTAAGGACTTTTAAACAATATCTTTTGAGCCGTTTTATCAAAGGACTTTTTTTACACTGAGACTGTATAAACTGTAATATTTGCAATCCAAACATTGCAGTTATTGCTTTGTGGAAGTTGAATGTTGTTTAAACCAGTTTTATTTTATTTCATATATAAGGCAGATTTATTTATACACCACATTTCATCAACATGACAAGTCAAAGTTCTTTACCTGATTCAAAAAAGTAAAAAAAAAAAAAAAAAAAAAATATTACATTGTACAAGCGAAACAGAGGTAAGCAATGACAGGCTGAAAAACACACTATAATTTATGATGTTCCAGTTTTTATCAACCAGCAGCTTGTAACAGATGAGCTTTCAGACTTGATGTAAAAGAACTCAGTATTTATTTGTGCAGTTTTTTAGAAGTTTGTTCCAGATTAGAAGAGCATTAAAACAGAAGGCAGCTTCTCCATGTTTAGTTGTGATTCTGAGCAACTAAACAGAATCACATAAACCAAAAGACCTGAGAGGTCTGGCAGATTGACATGACAACATCTGTGCAGGAAATAAGTCAGAAGTCTGACAGGCTACTCCAAAACATAATTATTACTTCCAGTTAGTAAAATTTTAAATATTTTAAACCTAAATCTGAAAGAGTTTAATTTGGGGCTTAGCTATATATTTTTAGTCTTTGATCTTGCATATTTACCAGGGGCAGTAAATATGTAACATCACATATGCATAACATTTATGTCCAAAAAGTAATACATAAACATAATATAACAAATGTTACCATAAACATTTTACTGTCTGTTTCTGCTAAACTAGGACAATACTATTGAGATTTTCATGAAAAATGGACACTCAGCATTCCTCGTATTCATGAATAAAGACCATGTCTCTGCATATAAAAGGTAACTAATTGAGACTTACTGGATATTCACAGATTTTCCAGTCAACAGTCTTTGATCTTTATTGTTTTTCTCTGGCTTCAGACTGAGCAGAGTGGTGCCGACATTAAAAGGCAGAGCAGTTGCTGATGTCATCACTAATGCAAAGTAAGTGTTAATTTTTTTAATTTTATTTCCATGTAGATATGTTTTACTGGTGTGATTTCCATTTGCTGTGGTGAGGCGGATACAGACTAAATGAGATTGCTACAAGGTGAAAGACCTGGTATCCATATGGCTCAGATTGAGGTTGAAACTCAACAGCTTTACTTGGCTTATCAACTTTGTTTTATTTGTGTGAAAACATGAGGAAATTCTTATGTAAAATAAAAGTACATAATTTAAACACACTAAACATTTCAGATTGTTTTTAATTGGGCTCTCTTCCACCATTTCTAATTGATGAAAAATTGAATTTGGCAGATAATTGATCAGTTCACTCTTTGCTTCTGATTCTCCACACATCCTGGGTGACTGCAGCCACTGAGTTCGGTGTCATCAACCCTGCAAATCTTTTCTTTTTCTCCGTCTCCTTCTCCTCAAACACTTCAGGCATTTCAGGTATTTTTTCTGTCTTTCCATCGTTTCTTAAATTTTCTCCTTCCTCTTCTTTACATTTTTTGAGGCATCTCTTGCACAATGTGCTTTCATGCACCAGATACAGCTCCTCTTTCTGCTCTAACTGTTCTTTTCTTATCCTCTCGCTTTCGACTTGGGCCTCCATACATGGATTTCTTTCCAAATTCAGTTTAATAAGGTTTTGAAGATTTGACACAAACTCAGGTACTTCAGTGAAATGGTTATCAAATAGGGCTAATTCTTGGAGAAACTCTAACCGCTCCAAGGTGGAAGGCAATGCATCTAGCTGGTTCAGTCCAAGGTTGAGACTCTTTAGGTTGGAGAGGAAGCCCAGTGAGGATGGTAAACCAGGAGACGTTAAGCAGTTGTTTGCCAGGTTGAGGTGGGTAAGTCTAATCAGGCTACCTATGGACTCAGGCACAGACTCCAGCTTGTTGCTGTGTAGATCGAGCCATGTTAGCGTCGCAAAGGTTCCCATGGTTTCAGGAAGCTTCTGGATCTGGTTTCGACTGAGGTCCAACTCATCCACATCGCACCGCTTGAGGAGAAACCTTGGGATGGTGATTAAGCCCATTTTGCTGAGTGTGAGTCGACGCTTTCCATCTTGGGTTATATTTATCAATTTCTTGGCAAGTTTCTTGATTTCTTTCTCGAATCGTCTCCCTTTTTTCTGGGCATCATATTGGATTGAAAAGATAAGTAAACAGATCAGTTCAGCCTTCTTTTTTTTACATTTGCTGCGAAAGGCTAATTTACAATGCTTTAAAATAATGCTGTGAAAAATTATTTACCGTCTAGAGATTTCCTATGACTTAGCTCTTTTTGTTATACTTAATTGTTTGTGATTATTAAAGCAATATTTGATATAGAATAAAGATACAAATGATTCCATTTATGAAAAGAAAAAATAATCAAACCCAATAAATCAAGAAGTAATTGAAATATAACTTGTCTCACAACATGAAGCAGGCTAACAAATTAAAGTGCAAACAATATATTTGATAATAGGTAGAAACAATGTCACCCCTAATCAATCTTAAAAGTGCTATAAAGCCAGTCCTAAGGCTTTGGGACTGCATTGAACTGCACTGAAATGGAGAAACAGGGTGAATCTTCCCAGGAGTGGCTAGCCTAGAAAGACTTTCCGAATTTCCTGTCAATGACTCATTCAGGAGGTTAGAAAAAACATCTACACATCTTCAGGCCTCACTGGACTCTGTGAAGGTCAGAGTCCATGATTCAACATGAAGAAAGAGATTGTCCAAAAAAGTTGCATCGCAGATCAAGTTCCAACACAAAGGCCCATCTATAGTTTTCCAAAATGTAACACTGATGATTGCCAAGACATTTGACATGCTTGACATAAATCTATAGATTCTTATTTCCTAATAGATTAAATTGTCACATTACAACTGTTTTTTTTAATCTACCAAACTTATATTAGTTTGTTATTAAAATGTCTTTGATGAACTTAAACATTTCAATGTGATCAAAAAAGCAAAAACAGAAGAAATTAATAAGTGGACACATACTTTTTCCCCCATAACTCTCTCTGATCTACAGCATCATGCAGTAATATAGGAAATGGACGTGTTCTGTGTATGTTAATGTGTAAGTATGCATGTGTGAGGCTGATGTGATTTATTCAAGACAAGGGCCTATGTATGGCCTGGGGCAGTGGGGAAAGCATGCACTCTGAGGAATGAGAACTTGAGCAGCGTGTGTGTCACAGTGTTGTGTCTGCATTAGAGTGTGCTCACCCTCGGTTGCCCATGGGGGTATTTAAGAGCACGACTCTCTAATTAAAGCTAATGCAGGGGAACAATAGGAGCGAGGCGACAGGGAGGAAACACACGAGGGCTGATGTTCTCACCACTCAACTGATTTAGTTTTTTGGCTCTTTTTGAGAAAGAAAAAAAAGTGTGTGTCTTTTTGATGGACAACCATGCAATGTGCTATATGTGTGTTTGTGTACACAAAGAGTCAAATCAGGACTTTGATAAATGATAGTTGTGGAGTGTTGGGAGTGTAATGAGGGCTTTGCTCTTCTCCCCTCCCTGTCTAAAAGAGCAAGGTGTGTTTCTGTTTGTGTCTGCGTAACACCCCAAGGCCCTCTCTCGCCTCATTCATCATCCTCAGGATGAGAGAGGTTATCTGCTGGTGCTTGTTCTTATTATAACCTCCTATAGGAAACTATTGCATGAAATTATTGCCTCCAATTAGATAACACATACCGAGCCAAATGCAATGATTGATTTAGTGTAGAGCTACAAAATAATTTTATCGATGTTAGGCGGTGGATAAATTTAAAATACACACTCACCATTTGAACACGTTTATTTTTTAAAATAGTTTAAACGTAATATTTAAACTGTATAAAAACACATTTTACTGTCTGATTAAAATGTTCTTTTTCTAATTTAATTAACATTATCAAAAATTGTTTCCATTTGATAAATATCAGAATAATACATTTTTGGTAGCTCTGCTTTTTAATTCTTGCTTTCTTTAATTCTGGGTTTCCTTCCATAACCCTTTTCACATTAGTTTGCTTGAATATCACATCAGACAGAAGTGCTATACCTGAGTCAGATTTGAAGGCCATAGTGATCTGCATGCATATTCTGAGTTCAGAGTTTTGTAATGGCCAATTTAAAACATTGACCTTGTTGTCCTTTATTGCACTTTGTAGACATCAAGTCAGTATGCTTATGGTTACTGTCCATTTGAAAGATCTATTTTTGCCCAAGCTTATACTTTTGGCTAATGTGTGATAAATCTTCAGTATTTCTGCTCAAGGTTCTTTTGTCATGATGTCATCATTTTTTTTCTTGATTTCCAATTCATGAACTGGATCCAGACGAAAATAGGATCCAGTTGTTCCCTGGATCCTGTTCCTTCTACATCAAAACACTATTTTATGCTGCCACACCCATACCTTATTGATGGTGTGCTGTTCTAAACTTCTCAAGCTTCCCTCTTTTCCCTCCAAATCTAACAATATTTATTGTAGCTAACTTCTTCAATTTTAGTTTAACCAGACCACATGACACGTCTCCAAAATTTAAGGAGACATTTGCAAACTATAACCTAGCTTTTCATTTCCCTTTTAAGTTGAAATTCACCCCAAATTAACAATTTTTTTGACAAACTCTCTAAGATGGCATCTTTATTTTTTGCGTGAATAATGAATTTTTTGTATACAGTTCTTTTAGTTTGGCATTATTTGGCCTGAAACCGTCTCACAGGCCTCCCTTAGTCAAACAACTCCTAGGCAGTAGAATCTTCCCAATTGGTTACAGTGTTACAGCTCGGTACAACTTCGCCTCATCCTCGTGTTTGAGTATAAAAGCACAGCACTCCCTGACAAAGTGGATACGTTTACAACAGTGCTTCTTTCTCTATGACCACAGACCCTTTTTCTTCCCGTATGTTGAAAATCAGCTTGATCTGGTTTTGTTTTAGTGGTCAAACTAACCTTGGTCTTTGTTTTCGTAAGCGATCCCTGTAAATGTTGCAGAAGTGGCTTGCACAGTACTCACTAATCCTTTCAAAGGGACATATAACAGTTTGCATACTGATCCTTCTTCCCCCAAACCAAGAAAGATTTATCTTGTTTATTACTGTTGCTTAGCAACTGAGGTGCTTTGACTTTATCGTCCTGTTACTGGCCCACAGAGAAGGAGGAGATTTCAGAAACAGCAGACCACTTTTACAATTTAGATCAGACGTGTTTGGATGGTTGTTTTCAGAAATTATGAAGCGTTCAGCGCTGTTGCCATTTGATATAGATGCTTTTTTTTTTCCAGCTGTTTGCATATCCTGATAAAATTATTTTTAACTAGGTAAATTCTACACTTTTTTGGGAAGATGTTGTTGTTGTTGTAATGTGAGCTTTTATCTGACTGAAAGATGGAACAAAAATGAATGATGTCAAAAGACGAGAAAATTCCTGAAGAAATTTAACCGGGGCCTGCCAAAGTGTGCCCGTCATTTGGAAGCCAGCGATTTAATGCTAAAAATTAGCATCAATGGTAAGCTTAGCTAAATTGTAGTCAGTACCCTGTGGAGAGTCACAAGCTACTGACTAAACTCTGTGACTAACAACATGCTTGTTGATTACAAGTATGTTGACTAACATGTACCATTCAGTTTAATTTCATATTTGTTTTCTAAGCTGTGGAGTAGAAAATCCTTTGACAGTGCAAGTCAACCCACTTTAGCTGAACTCACCTCCATAAATGCTCCTACAGCTGTGTACACAGTCTCTGTTTCCTGAGTCTCTCAGCTCTTTTCTGCTGCTGCTTCTGAACTCTGGCTTTGGTTACATTTAAATTATGTCTGCTAGGCAACAGAGCAAGCAAAGAAAACCTGTGCTGGTAAGGGCTGTTCAGTACTCACTCTCTGTTGCTAATTCAAAGTGTTTGCTTTTATTGTTCTTCAGAAAGACTCCAGTGGTTGAAAAGACAGCCCTTGTTAAATGGCAGGTAATGTAAAAAGCATGATGTTGTGCTCCAAAATGCATTACATCTCACTCGCTAAATGCCTGAGTATTATTCATTGTGGTATTTATAAAGCTTCACGTTGTGTGTTTTCCTTCTAGAAAGGCGAGATGAGCAACTTTGAGTATTTGATGCACCTGAACACGATTGCCGGGAGGACATATAATGACTTGATGCAGTATCCGGTTTTCCCCTGGATCCTGGCTGACTATCAGTCAGAGGTAGAATCCCACACATGTTTTAGACCAGAGGTCTGCAATCTGTGGCTCTTTAACCAAATGCAAAACTTCAGCCTTTCTGCTTTGGCTCTCTGAAACTTTGAGCAGAACTAACATGAACTCTTAACAATGTTTTAAAATCAAGTGTTGTTGTCGGTCTTATTAAAATTTTCTGAAAAACAGATGTTTTTAAAATAACCTCAAGTCGTAATCACCAAAATAACTTCAATGAATGCTTAAAACATATTGAGTATATTTCATATTTGAAGAATCTACATGAATTCCTGAGTTATTTAAGTAAATTTTATGAAAGTTTTTTAATTCAATTCTAAATTAAAATTATGTTTTTCTTTGATAAGCATGATATCCCAAAAATGTATGTATAGACAGAAAAAATCTGACTGAAATAAGACCTGACTTTTTACTTTATTTTAACCCCTTTTCTACGTTCTCAGCAAAAATCACCTCTATGATTTGATACTAACCCTATTTATGCTAAAGGTAGGTTTTATTAACTGGAGAAAATGGCAGAAATTACTATTTGGATCATAAATGTTGCTGAAGACTGTCTTTCACATTTTCATCCTGCAATGGATTAAAGAGTGTTTTTTCTTAATCCCTGACCTCAACAGACACTGGATCTGTCAAATCCCACAACTTTCCGTGACTTGTCCAAACCAATGGGAGCCCAGACAGAGAAAAGGAAACAGATGTTTATAGAGAGATATGATGAGGTGGAAAACGCTGGGGATGAAGGTATCTTGATTTCTTTTCATTTGTAAAGCCTACCATTTAAAAGTTTTATGTTTTAGAACCTCGTCTCTCTGTTCTATGTTTTTCTCTCAGTGGCAGATATGTCAGCACGTTGCCACTACTGCACCCACTACTCATCTGCCATCATTGTGTCCTCCTTCCTTGTAAGAATGGAGCCTTTTTCACACACTTTCCAGGCTCTTCAGGTGAGACCAGACACACAAGGGAATGCAAATTTTAATATTTGATATGTTTAAACATCTGGCTTAAACAAATGGGTTATTAGCAAGCTTCTGTAGAACCTAACCTAAAGGCTTGATAATAATTCAACTATTTCATTAATCTCCGCTGGAATAGAGATATAAAACATGCAAAACAATGTTTCCTTCTCATTTCACATTCACAGTTATTCACTTCTTTGTGGTCTATAAAATCCCAAAGAAATACACAGAAATTTGATTATTTGGTGGCAAATTATGAAAAAGAATAGGAGGTGAAGAGCTAAAGGACACACTACTCTCTCTGAAAATGAATGGGCATTTTATCAAAAATGGCATAAAATGCTGGTATTATTCTTAAAGGAATAACTATGTACTGTCATATGACTTACTGTTGTACTGTTTTGTCTTGATTTGTCTTACATGTGAAGAAAGTATGTACTATGTTGTCTTCAGTTACCCAAAAGAAACAAAGAGCTCTGGATTCTCATTGACATTCATCATTATGTCATTTTTAAACTTATTTTCAAACATTATTGAGCTAATACCATGGATCAAATATCAGCTGTTTTCAGTGTACTTTTTTGATGTGAAAGCAAATTATGGAGACATTTTTAATATATATGCAAATAATTACAAACAGCACATAAAAGGAACCAATCCAAATGGCCACAGATGTTGGCAATTTACAATTGAGCATCCAGTTGATTATAATGAAAAAGCATGCATATTTGATAGTCTGAATAAAGCAATAAAGATGTTCATCTGGTGAACTGGGATGCCTTTTTGTCTTCTAAAGCACATAACAGGCGTGCAGTAATATCCATAACTGAATTTGCATCTTTAACTGAGTTTACTGCTGTATATGCTATTTTCATTCATTGAGGTAATTGTTTTATTTCAAATTACATTCCCTCTCATGAGATCTGCACTGAAATTATGGAATTTTACATTAAGATGAAAAGCTCTTTTCTTATAGCAGGAAATATCCATGTAAAATATGGTTCACTGAACAAAATTAGATTTTTTTTTTTCAGCACGCTTGTCGAAAAGTTGAGCCCAGAAATGTGCTGAGAGTCTGACAGTGATGTTTTTCATTCTGCTGCAGGGAGGGTTTGACATCCCTGAGCGGATGTTCTTCAGTATAAAGAAAGAGTGGGAGTCAGCGTCCAGAGACAACATGGGAGATGTCAGAGAACTGATCCCGGAGTTCTTCTACCTACCTGACTTTCTGCTCAACTCCAACCACATCCTGCTTGGTCAGCAGCCAAATCCTTCTCTGTATCTATATCACAAATTGCACATGTGAGAATGCCAGAAGAGGGAAAAAAATTAAAAGTTATATCACTTTTTCTCATAATAATGGAATCAAAAAGTTCAAAACACTTGTTGCTGTAAATATCTGAACGTCTTTGCAGATGTTTAACAACAAATATCACAATTTTGAGTTTTTACCGTCAGTAAAATAAGTGGCACCCTTAATTTTCACAGTTTTTTGGTTATTTGTTCAGGGTGTTTTCACAATAATATTTGTAAAATGATTATTAAAAAAACTAAAAGTCCCATCTCTCCACTCCTGGACTTATGAGATGATAAATATTCATGAAATTACCCCCTCATATTTATGGAGCTTACATAAATGAACCATCACATGATGCTATTTCACACTTACATGTATAAAAGTTTTAATATTTTATTTCACACGAATCCAAGTCTGCAGCAAGCATATTCCATCAGTTAAATTTTGAGAAATATTTCAGGAGAACCTCAAATTTTGTCAGATTTGATTCAGAATTGAATCGAATTTCTTTTCAAGATCGAGATTAGACATGATGCCATGAAGCCATTGAGCATGGGCGGGTGGAGCAGCAGTCCTCCATCTCAGTAATAAGACACATGTGACCAAGATAATAAATAATGTATCTTCATCTTTCTTAACCACTGTTACAAACTTTATAACGCTTGTTACCAATGAGCTTAAAACAACATGACTAGGCAGCATCAAAGACAAATGTGCTTATTTGTATTCACTGAGCTTCATTGGGAGGAAATGTTTTATATCTGTTACATACAGGGAGAAAACATCAAGTTTATTATATGAACTACACTTATTCTAGGTATGAGCTGATTAAGACACTTTACAAGACAAACATATCCAATTTATATACAACTAAGCAGATTAGCTCTGAGCCAGTAGTGCAAGCTGTGAAGACAGAGTACAAATAGTTACTGGGAACAATAACTCCTGCAATGATTTTGTCTTGGAGAGAGACAAGATTAAACACAGAAGCACTGGGCCAAGGCGATCATTTGCAAAGGAAATTGATATTGACAGCAGAAGGGCAGCCAATGGGCCCCCTGGAGGAAGGTATCACAGAAACACCAGGCCGGGTGTTACCTCTATGAAGATAGAAAGCAGAGAAATAGCATGAAATTAATAATATATATTTTTCGAAAGAAAGTTGCAAATGCTCTTTTTAACTTCTGTTTTCTAAAACAAAACTGTAATAATAGTAGCAATCAAAGTATCAAAATATGCTAGATTTCCATGATTTATTTGCTGCTTTTCGTTTGTAGACTAAAAAGCATTGCAATGATTTTACTTTGACTTTGGAAATCATTGTCCAAAATTTTGAAGCATGTTTCGTCTGAAGTGGTGTACATGTGCAGTTTGGACGTTGTGTGAAAGCTCTGGTAGTCAGGCTGCAGAAAATTTGTAACAGATTGGCTTTAGCTGGTGGTCAAATTGCTTTATGCTACTGCGTTAAATCTGTAGGACGAACATTTGGGAGCATTATTTATAGTCGAAAATACTTTAGTATGATGAACTTTTAAGATTGAGCAATGCCAGGTGGTATTGGTGTAAAGCTAAGGGTCTGGAAAAGGAATATTATGCCCATCGTTTGGTTTGGCAAATCTGTTAATCTTTTAAAGGCCTTGGGGCTTTTTTAGAGTACATGGCATCATGGACTCTCTGAAATGCCAGGAGATTATAAATAAGTCTACAAACCTCCACCAGTAAACTGTGCAGGATAATGATCCCTAACATATGGTCAAACTACGACAAAGATGGTTCACCAGATACTAATCAACCTCCTTCCATCAACAACATAGAACTCAAATCTAAATCCAACAAAGATGGGATGAGCAAAGAAGAACTGCACAAAGACTTAGCAGCAGTAATGCCAACATTGCTGTTTAAAGTTATAGCTGTATAACCATAAATCATTCTACTCTCATAAAACTCCTACTAAAGAAAACAGTCAATAGGAGTTCAGTCTTCTGCAATAAAAGCTGAATTTATTAGAGTACTTTTTTACATCTTCACATGGGTTACTAATAAACGTGGCTAGCTCTGCATGCTTTAGGTTCTACTGCTTTGCATCTTTATCCAATAAGACTCGCATGAGATGGGGATCAAAAATCCTAAATATTTTTTTTAAATTCTCTATTGGCAACAGAATGTTTTTATTACACTGTTTTTAAAGCTCCACAGCTTGCAGGGAAGTTGCCTCAGTTTGATGCAATATATCCATATCTTTTCAGGTTGTATGGAGGATGGCACTGCTTTGGGAGATGTGGAACTGCCTCCATGGGCCAAAGGTGACCCCCAGGAGTTCATTAGGATCCATCGAGAGGTCAGTAACACCTGACCTCACTAGGTTTCCCTGCTCCAATTGGTCAATCTGACCAGTTCTAAGCGGGATTTTTCCCGCAAGGCCTGACGTTTGCCAATACTGTCTGATTTATTTAGACAGAAGGTTCACTGTTTTGGTATCTCTAAACAAATATCTGCTGTGCACATGACAGCATAGCTGTTTGCCTTCATTCTTTCAGCTACAATATATGAGTTTTTCATAGCACTCATTGTCTTATTCTTTAGATTCTTTCAGCTATTTTGTCTCATTGATATCTATGCTGCTCTCAAACATAATGCTTAGTTTTCTTTTTCCTTTCCAAGAAACGGCATAAATAGCCATGTTAGGTTCAGATTATGACAGAATGCCTATTTAAAGTGATTCATGCAGGCACAAGACTTTCTCTTTTTCATAAGGCCATTATTTCAGCCAGTTGTTAATGAGCTGAATGTTCTCTATGTTCTCTGTCAGCCTCCTGTTTTCTTTCCCTGTGTGGGGGTTTCTGTGTTTCTTTGTCGCTCTGATTTCTTTAGTGTGACCCTCCCTTTTTTCATTCCTTGGGTATCTATGATGGTTATCACTCTGTAATCTACTGAACTTCCCATATTCCCTACATTCTCATAAAATTAGTGACTTCAAAAGATTGTGTTTTTTTTTTTCTTCCACAGACAAATTAACTCAGGACAAAATATCCTTGTTGTAATGTTTTGTTTTTCACAATGGGTTTATTACAGCAAGGATGTAGCTGGTCATAATGCCCACTTTCCCTTATTAACTCTTTCAAACCAATCTCTGGCTAATTCCCCCCAAATCATTCTCTAATTCTAGTATATGGATAAGCTCATAACACAGCTCTACAACCTTCTTTTGTTTCCGAACTTCTAAATTGACTTTTGGAAGAAATCATTGTGCACCTGAATAGCATTATCGCCTGTGCAATCCGAAAGAAGTTTTGCATCTTGCAAACTTTGATACTACCAGTTTCAGTAGTGGTTCTTGTTCAACAATGGCAATTCTAGTTGCAACACAAATCTTAACTTCTGTTAAATCGTCTAACGAGTTGTTTCTTCTGCTCTAACTCCTGTTGCGTTTTCACTAGGCCCTAGAAAGTGACTATGTGAGTTCTCGCCTCCACCTGTGGATCGACCTGATCTTTGGATACAGACAACAAGGTCCGGCGGCAGTGGAAAGTGTCAATACGTTCCACCCTTATTTCTACGCCCAGAGAGGCCGACAAGATGCAAAAGACCCCATGATAAGGAGCACTATCTTAGGCTATGTCAGCAACTTTGGACAGATTCCCAGACAGGTAACATTGCAGTGTATTTGCTTATGTGTTACATGTTTTAATATATGCATAATATTGTCCTTTAAAGGAAAATTGTTGAAGCTATTAGTCTGTATATTTTCCATAGCTTTTCACCAAGCCTCATGCCCCTCGCAGTGGGTCTAAGAAAGATGGATTGACTCCCTCTCATCCAACTCCATTTTTTTTCAACCTGGATGCACTAAGGACACCTGCACAACCTTTCAGAGGTACAGCTTCACCATTACAGAGGGGTTAGATGGGATGTAAGATGTAGGAGTGTAATGTATTCAGGTAAAAATTCCTGTTACTAAAAATACAGTGCTTTCTTCTGCTTCTGTGGAGATTACATTTTAATTTTCATCATTTGCTTTTAAAGTAATAAAAAAGGTCCTAAAACAAAAGAGTTGGCACTCTTGTCTATGCTCAGTAATTTCCTTTGGGTGCAAATCAGATTTTTCGGATGTTTGCAGCAGCTCAAATTTCTGATGTTTTTGTTTGATGAAGTTTGATCATTTTGCCAGCAAAACCATTAAATTTTGGCTTACTGAGAGCACCCACAAACATTCAGATGCAACTTATATAACAGCAGTGTAACAGCTCCCCCAAGGCGAGGTATGATTCTTTGGGTCCCACACAGTTCCTTTAAGCTGCTTGAGTACTCTGTTTAGCCTACTTACGTTCACAATTACATATTGTCTCTGACAGCAGAAACAAACAAACTAACTGATAGTATTAAGTTTACACGCAGTTAAAAACAAGATCGCTTTTAATTTAAATTACTTAAAATATTTGCCAGATTTCTTTTGCTCCTGCTTACATTCTCCTGACATATAGAAAATGATGAGGCATGGACCGCTTGTATCTTCTTTTTAACCCAGGCTGTCCAGAGCTTTTTGGTATGGCTTGAATATCACAACTTAGAAATGCTGTCTGTTCTACAAACTGCATCAAATGCAAAGCAAATGTTGCATCAATGAAGTACAAATTGCATCACAAACTCACAGGTTGCGCTACGCAGATATTCTGTCTGCATTGATGAAGAATCGCTCACCACATCATGTCCAATGTTTAGAGTTACCAGCGGACAAATAAACTTATTTTCTCATTAATTAATCTAACAAATATCTCACCACTTGGGGCACTTATAGACTGTGAGCAGGGCATTGAACTTGAAACACATCTCTACAGTCATTTTAAATAATTGAGTATTCTAAATAAGCCAATTTATAGGTCTGTTCTTATATTTTTTCCCCTAGAAAAGAAATAAACAAATTTATTTTATTTTAATTTTTTATTTTTTTTTTTTATGTACTTTTTTATTTTATAGCAAACGAAGTACAGTGGAGCTTTAATATTGGGAGGATTACAAACCACAACAGTCCATGAATGGCAAAAATCCGCAAATACTTGCAACCCCCTCTAAAAACGCATACATCAGCCTAATGTATTACTTAAAACCCCAAATATAACTTAATATATGTCAATGCACGCAGTGAAAACTATTTTTGCAATACCTTAAGTTTTCATTTTGTCCACTCTTGTGGTTTCAGCCAATTAGCGCCAATCTGCTTTGCAAACGCTAGCCAATAATGTCCCAAGTATTGTGTTTAACAATTGGACACAATACTAACTGTTTTGCTACTATTGATATAGTCAGGAAAATTCAGATTTCCCTGAATATGCTATATCTCACTGTGTTTGTTGTACCTCTTTTAATTTATACCTTACCATTATATGTCTGTTATTATACACTGGATGTACTCGGGTCTCGAGGGAATGATTGAAATGCAGGGAGAACGTCCATAGATTAATTTATCCTACAGAAGGGTAGAAGGAGCTATCTGCTGGAGCTATGGAGATGACTCTTCAGCTGAGCTCTACTTAATAATCTCAATATCCCTACAGGCCCACTGAAGCAGAAGAGATGAATCTGCGAATGCTTAGGGAGAGATTCCTGCATATTACATTTCATATTAAATCTTGGAGTGTCTGATCTGATCAATAAAGAGATAGAGATGAATAGGAGGAAGAACGTTAAGACCAATGCAGACGGAGGTTCTTCCAGGGGATTTTAGACACAGATCTGGCAAATGGATGTAATGATTTCTGCCTTTTTCTGTATGAATAGGTCAATTACAGGCACAATTACAGCCTCTTGTAACTTTTCTCACCCACATCTGCCTGCTTTCATCCTGTCTCAGATGCAGGTGCCCCCCAGGACAAAGCTCTGCTTCTTGTAAACTGGGAGGAGTTTTAATTGCCCAGTTTATTCTGGTCATTTCAATGAAATTCTTTGCAAGTTTATGGACCTACTGAACTCTTTAATGTGAAGCTTTGAAGAGCTATTAGTTTTATTTGGCCTGATGTGTTCACCGATACTTGACAAATACAAGATTACCTTTTTGCATACAGCTTTACTCCATATCTTTATGATATTCATGCTGGGCAGTAATAGATTTTGTTTTGTAATTTCAAATCCTTTTGCTTTTACTAATAAAGTTGTTCTGGAACTTATTGCAGAGCTACCAAGAGGTCCAGTGGGTCAAATATTATGTCAAGAAAAAGAAGTTTTGGTTGTGGAGAAGAACCGGTTACTCATGTCGCCTCCATCAGGCTGCTTCTTCAGCTGGGGATTTCCAGACAACAGCTGCGCCTTTGGAAACTATGCCACGGAGAAGGTATGTACTGTACTCTGGCTCCCTTGAGTGCACACCCCTGTTAAAATGCCCTGTTTGTGTTATGTAAAAAAATGCTTTCTAAGCTTTTTCACCTTTAATTTGACATATAAGCCATACAGATGAAAATTGTTAAAAATAAAAACTACAAGGAACTGGCTGCAAACATACACACATTTTTAAGCAGTTTTTTTTTTTGGGGGGGGACAAGCCTTAATGGCCTTATTGGTTTTTTTGCCTTTAATGTTTTTTTTTAAATTAGCTCCTCCATTAATTTATAGTAAATCTGATTACCCTAAATTAAAGTTAACTTCATCTCTAGGATTTTTTGCAGAATTTTTTGCACATTTTCATTCTTTAGCTAAAGCCATGTTTTGTAGAGAGATCACAAAGGATCAAATTTATCTCATTGTGCAAATGTATCTGTCAGGGAAAAGGTACAGAAATTTTACATATCATATGTAGCTGCACCATGGGAAAATGAAGAAAGTTATTAATAACTGGAGAAAATATGAGACACCAGCGACTTTGCAAAATGTGACGATTTTACTCAAACCTTACAAAAAAGACAGGATGAACTAAGCATAGATTCTTTCAAGAGGATTCCGGCATCGTTAAAGGAGCTGCATTAATTTCCGCTTGTGTTTTATGTCCAACAGCAAAATATGTTTTGGTCCAAGTTTGATTGTATGGTCTGATTCTACATCTCTAGACAGGGACCATTTCCTGCATGTCACACTGCACCTGATTTTAAGAAAAGACTTTACAATGAAATGTGTGCACACAGGTTGTCACTCTTCTTCATTTCTTATATATTTTTACTCTAAAAATGTATTTCTCTTATAGCTGAACTGTATATAAAATATATCATGTTTAGGAAGAAGATTAATCTAAAAGTACCTGTCATTGTCTCATTTTTTTAAGATATACAAAGAGGTGTATATTTTTACATCTTTGTAAATCTATTGATGTAGTTGTTTGAGCTGCGCAAGTTAGGTGCTGCATTTATGTCTTACTTGCAAGCTCTTGTAATAGCTTCAATTAAATTAAGATAAAGAAAGATAAAGCTTTTTTTTTTTTCATTTGGCTTCAAAGATTGGACATGATTAAACTTTGTTACCGGAGCTAAAACAATTTTTTGTAAACCTCTGTACAGAGATAATTTACCCATCTTTATCATCCTCCTATGAACTCAACAAAGTCAACAGATGCTCTATTTAAGAACTATTGAATTTCTTCTGATTGACAATATTTGCCAATGTGAGCCTTTACACATGTTGTGCACATTTTATTTATGTGATATTTGTTCTCAAAAGCTTTGGGATTTTTTTTTATTGTTCCTATTTACTTTATTGGCTTTGTTTATATTGTTCCTTGCCTTATCAAGCAATAAAATTACAAGATTAGTTGACTATAAAAAGATAAAAACAATAGAATAATAATTGAGCACTTAAAAAGGCCTAAAACATAGAAATCAAATTTATTACCAAAATAATATTTTGTGATTTGAACAAAATGACTATTACATAATTTTCTCATGCTGCTCTTCATGCTTGAATTAACTTGAAAAATATTTGAATAAGCTGTTTGGCTTTTTTTTGTCAGAAACAGCAGAAATGTTTGAGATAATTAATTTGGCCCAGATGTTTCTGTTTTCAAATTTCAGATGTTTTTCCCAGAAGGATTTAGAACTTTTTTGTTAGATTTAACTCTTTCCACAGAACATACTGTAAGACATGACATAAAAACTATAGTATGAAATTGTGCTGTCATTATTAGCAAAACAGGTAGTTTAATATATAGAAACTAGAGAAAAAACATAGTTGGGACAGGAAGCAAAGAAAACAGTCAATGTTGAAAATCCACACATTTTGAAAGATTTGCTACTATATAATAATTAGGTCAGATTGTCATCTCACCTGATAATCATATCCACATTATTAAGTAGTTTGATTGAAAACTCAAAATTAGGGAAGAAGTCTACAGATATTTGCAGTCAAGACACTTTAAAAAAACATCTAAATGTATAAAATTAAATCAACAGAAGTTCCTTTTTGATTTTGTTTGATTGTTTTTAGTTTTAAGATAGATTTTTATTGCTACAGTTTTTATTCGAAAGGTTAAAAATTCTAAAATTGTTTCTATTGTCCAGACAAAGACTTTTCTTAATTTGATATCATTAACAGATAAATGAATATTTTCAGCACTTTGCAGTAAGTGAGAGTTTGTGTGACTGGGGAGAGACGTTGTGCGCCGCCTGCCCCAACACGACCACCGTCATCACTGCAGGAAGCAGCACTGTTGTGTGTGTTTGGGAAGTGGCTGTCAGCAAGGACAAACCTTCTCACATGAAACTCAGACAGGTGAGTCTATCTGCTAGTTTATTCACTCTAGCTATATAGCAGTGCTTCTCTCTGACTCTCTTGCGTTTCGCAGCCTTTATACGGTCACACAGACGTGGTGACGTGCCTGGCTGTGTCTGAGAGCCACAGCTTGATAGTGAGCGGCTCCCGTGACCTCACTTGCATCCTCTGGGATTTGGAGGAGCTAAGTTATGTCACCCAGTTGGCAGGACATGCGGGCAGCATCTCTGCTCTGGCTGTCAGTGATCTCACTGTAAGTCCACTTTCTCTTTGTCTTCTCTTTTTACGACCATGAAAAGAGCCCACAGCGTGAGGAAGGGAGGATCCTCACAGCTTACAGTCGGCATATCCTCTTTGTGTTTTGCTTGTTTCGTCCACTCCTATGTGTGCACGTTTGAACGTCAACACCTTTCTACTTTGTCCAAGGGTGAGATTGTGTCCTGTGCGGGTCCTCTGCTTTACCTGTGGACCATGAAGGGCCAGCTGCTGGCTTGCACAGGAACTTCCTCTGGGCCTCAGGCAGACATCCTGTGTGTCAGCTTCACACAGCAACATGAGTGGGATTCCAGGAATGTTATTGTCACAGGCTGTACAGATGGCATTATTCGGGTAAGTTCTCTCTATTTAGGCAAAATGCCTAGCAGAAGTATTTATAACTCATGCATGTTTTTTTATATATATGTAAGAAAAATTTATCATGAAGGTCAAGGATAAAGTTGCTGAGAACTTTTAAGCAAAGTTTAGGTTATAAAAAGTATTATGTTAATTAATCAGCTTTTAGCTGTGCTTTTACAAAAATGGCCTTTGTGTAAGACTGACTGTCCTGCTTACACATCGAAAGTGTCCTGACCAGCTCCTCCCTTTATTAAAACATGGAGGTGGCAGTATCATGTTGTGGGAATACTTTTTTTCCACAAGAACAGGAACTTTAAAGAAAGATGACTAAAGGTTCATTGACGGAAATCCAAAAAGAAAAGGTGTTGGAGGCTCAGTGGGAGCTGAATACAAATGTATGTCATATGTCTTTAGGATTTTATTTGTAAAAGATGTAAAAATATGCATCATTTTTTATTCCAATAAAAACATTAAGGTTTGTTGTTGTAATATGACAAAATTAGTAGTGGTTCAAGAGGTATAAATTATTTTGCAGAGCACTGTGTACAGTAAGTCAGACTCATTTCTCTTTACACTGTTTTTATATAGTCTACTTTCCACTGTTCTGCCATGTAGTCATTACTGTGATATTATCCTCACATATGCCCGCTTAAATGTCCACTGAAGTTATTAATGACAACATAAAAGTGGCATGTGTGCCGGCTGAGTGTTTTTACTCAAGATTAATATTACCACATGCCGCCTCCTTGCAATCAAAGTGGCAAAATCTGAATTGTGCTTCGCTTGGAGAGTGTGTGTGTCCATGTCACGTGCACAGCATGCGCACGCAAACGCTACCCTTACCAAATCATTACGCTGGTAGTGTGAGGTGGACGTATTCAAGTGTGAGCGTGCTTGTTATTATGTTGAATTATGGCAATAATTTTGCCACTCGTTATGTGTCTCTCATACAGATATGGAGGACAGAGTACACCAGAACACAATTACCTGGCCCTCCAGAAGAGCCCATGTCCCCAGGGCAGGGCCAGATAGAGAGAGACGGTAATGTTACTGACAGTGCTATAAGATATGAGTGTGTGTGTTTTATTTATAACAGTACAAATGTATGTGGTTGACTGTGAGAAAACGCTGAAACAAACTCATATGCAACTGTGGAAAAAGGGGTCATCCTCACCTTTATTAAATAAATTGTTATGATGGCGTCTAAGGGCTCAGCTCAGCGCTGGAGTCTGTCTTTTCCAGACGAGCGCTCCTAGTGCTTACCCTAGCCCTTGCTAGCATTATGGCTAGCAAGAATTATGTTGTTATAAAGTTATTAAACATAGAGGCAGTAAACACTGATGAATAATTCTGCTGACGTGCCTGTATGCTTGTGTGTGTGTGTGTGTGTGTTTCTATAATTTAGAAAGCAATAATACCCAGATCCAATTTAGCATACGTTGGTTACAGCCTCACGTCACCTCATAGGAGTATTATGATTTCCAATTACATTGAGACAAGTCTTTACGTAACCCTGAAGCTTTTATATTTGAGGGAATTTTCTCCCTTTTACTGCCCGCTGACTGCGGATGGACATGCGTTAATGTACAGTTTAATTGTTTTGTGAGGACCGCTGGGTGCCACAATGTTAAGCTCACTGGTTATTTTGGAGTAAGTGGATGTGCTCTCTTGATGGACCCGCAGGGAGCGCCTCAGGCCGGGGAAAAGGCTGGAGGAGATGTCTGGTGTTATGTCGGGAGCTGAGCAGAGGTCAGAGTGTGTCACAACGCCGCTCCAACGATAGCCCCGCCATCACCGCCCTGGCCATGTCCAGGTAGAGACACCACACGCCACATTTCAGCAGTGGAAATGATTGCATTTTGTATTTTTGCTGTGTTTAATTACTGTGATCTACACTGAAGCCCACTACTACTTTCCTGGCAGATTTGCTCTACAGTTATTTTAATTTAATCAATAAGTTTGTTTGTGGTTGGACATGAGACGGGCATTTCTAAACATGATAAAATTATTGTCAGATGTTTTTTTTTTTGATTAAAATACCCATATTCTTTTTTTATTTACCATTAAAAACCTAATATGTCAAGTTATTTATACCACTTTCAAATATCAACAAAAAAAAATCCATCTATTTCTTGCTATCACCCTAATCTGTAGCTTTCTCTTACAGAGAAAAATAATCTATTTATTTCCCCTGACTAGTAAAATTGTTATTGAATGTAATTTTTAATGATAAGAATCTTGTCAAATTTGCTTCCACTGGATGCTTCACGTCATGCCTACCCTCATTTGTGCAGGACTCATGCGACCCTGCTGGCTGGAGATGCTTGGGGCAGAGTTTTCACCTGGGTCTCCGACTGACCAATCGTTACTGTGGAAATGTCTGAGTACCATGATGCTCCATGAGGAAATAATCTGACAGAAAAACTCTCAGGTGTGACACTGGCTCAGCAGTACAAACTGTTTCACATTTGCTGTCTTGTAGATATAGTAGTTACACATCAAGTTATAGATAAAACAATATTTTCCACTTATAAGCATATTTAATTATGTATTTTGCTGTGTGAATAATGGATGCTGGTGAATATAAATAAAATCATGAACAGACATTTTGGGAGATCATTTCTTACGCCTCTCTTATGAAGAAGACCAGTGTTAGGTTGTTGAAACTTCTCAAAAGTGAAACCAGAGGGATACTGGCAAATGTTTGCTTTAATAAACAAAAAAGTACATGTAATAAATACAATTAAGCTTTAATAGATCAAGAAAAGTGACCATGATCTGTAGTTGAAGTTAATTTAAAAAAAAATTTGATTGGCTTCTACAATTTCAGTTTTAAATTGTAGAAGGGGATGTGTGTGAATACAGACAACATGGTGTGTTTAAGTGGTTTTATAGTGAATAATTACCGGTATAAAGTAATACATTATGAAATAATCATTAGGTAATTTTTTAGGATAATAAAAAGCAATGCACATAAGTTTGCATGTTACACTACAAGATGTTTTCTGTAGTGAATGTTTGTGGCGTGCAAGGTTCAGGATGTTTGTCAGACAGGAACTGGGTTTTGTTTTTCACAATGTGTTTTTACTTTGCTTCGTAATGCGGTACTTTGGAGAATTTAACTGTTTCCTCAGATCATAATTCTTGGTGTGGAATTTTGGATGTGGGGGGATTTAAAATGTGTTTGGGTCTTGTTGAGGGATGCTTTATGCTTGTCGCAGATTCTTCGCATGTTTATGGTTTCCCAAAGACAAATATGTCTCTTTAGATCCATCGCTGCGGGACTGACCACAAAATCCTGCTTTGAATCTCAGCCATTTAACAAGAGGCAGCTTGAAAGTTTATTCCTAATGTAACACAGCAGACCAGTCAGAGATAAAGTTTGCTTTGAACATCTCACACAGCTCTACTCAATCCATTATCTGCTAATGGTAACTCTAGAAGAACGACATAGATTCACAGCTAAGGTTGGACAATCTGGGGACAGGACAACTGAACTGTGCAGTTCACAAATTTGGCTAATGTGGAGAAATAGCAAGAAGAAGAGGTTTTACCTTTCTGAAAGAGAACAACACAAAAAACAGACAGAATAACAAGTCAGGGCATCAAAATCAAATACATAACAGGCTGAAATTAAACACTTAGAGGGATGAAAAGTCAAATAAGACACAGTAAAAAGTCAAATAAATCTCAGACATGTTTCTTTTTCAAAAGACAACTTCCCAGCAGCCCATGGTCTAGCAAACATCTGGAATAATCTTGTGTTTATGATGTAAAGCACTTTGAAATGCCTTGCTGAAATGTGCTATACAAATACAATTTGATTGATTGATTGATATGATTGAGTCTGAATTTGTCATCTGTGGTTTAGAAGAAAGCACATTCAAGTTCCAAATCCAGATCTAAATTCAACAGATAAGTTAAGGGAAGGCTTAAATACTAATGATGTTTCCCATCCAACCTGACCAAGCTTGAGTTATTTATCAAATAAGAAAGAGCAAACATTCCAGTCTCTTGTTGTGCAAAGCTAAATTATTTGTAACTGTAAGGTGGTTCTACATGGAGTTGACACAACTCCACTGGCCTGGATACAAATGTATGTCATACTTTTCAAATTTTTGTTTAGGAAAATTGAAAACTACATATGAGTTTTCCTTCCACATCTTATCTGTTACTTTGTGACAGTTAATCACATAAAAGGCAACAAACAAGTCAAATAAAAAAAACAATCATGCTGGATTGTGGAAACTCTGGAGTCCTGCTTGTGTTACGTTTGTTGTTGTGACTCTCAAGCAAATGCGCCACTCCTCTGTCATAAAGGACTGGGTCTCTCTCTTTAACCTTTGTGTGTGTGGCTAATTGTGCTAAGTGGAGTGGCTTAATAGAGTGGAAAATAGTCCTCATAATTTTCCCAGAGAGCGAGCATTGACCTTCTCTAAAGACAACAGCCATCTCCATTCTCTCTACACGGCTGGTTTTATGATATGAGATGTCAAACCACTGGGTTCCTCAGAATAATTAAATCAAATAAATTATTGCACCTAGGCAGAACCATCTTGTAGCCTAACCCAATTATAATGCACTGTAAAGCTAATTATTAACCATGATTACAATTAGTCTAATTTGAATAAATGTAGTCATTAGCGGGTTCATCCCAGTCAGTGTGAACCGTGGGGGATGATGGTCTCTGTCTCTCTCCCACTCACCGTAAAAGGAGTTTAGATGTGCATCATTCTCTTTCTGGAGGCACCTCCATCTTCATTCCACTCTTCACACTGACCTTCACAAACTGCCTTGCACCCTTCACCTTCCCTGGATGTACTGCTTGCTGGATTTAAAACATCAGTTTTACCCGCTGATTGGACTAATTTCTAGCATTTTATGAAAGATTTATCAAAACAATGACCTAAAAGGAGTCTTTTGCTTTTTGTGTCACAAATCAAATAAAATATACTGATAAAAGTCCTTTATGCTCTGATGAACATATCCAATTTCTTTGTTTTCCATAAAGAGAAAATGTCCAATAATAGTTATCTTTGGCAGAGAAACAAATGTAGTAATTTCTAATAATTTCCAGTAATTTCTAAGTGTGAGAAAACGAAAGTAGTGCTGCACAATATATTGCAAATTTTTTCATATTTGTAATATTAATGCACAGATTATGCGTATCGGGGGGGAAGTGCAATAAAATGATTGAATTACCATATTCAAGCACCATATTTTCAGGCTACCTAAGCCTGCAGCACATGGATGCTTGTACTATATTGCTTAAATCTAACTAGGAGGATTCTAGTGTTGAAAATCCAAAACGGGAGCCATAGGCAACATTTTCAATAACTTCGTTCTTGACCTGGAAATCATATACATTTTTCTGATAAAATAGGTTGGACTTTCATAAGCTGGAGCCATTTCAACCCTGTAGATCACAGGTTGTCAAACTCCAGTCCTCAAGGGACGATGTCCTGCAGTTTTTAGATGTGCCACAGATACAAAACACTGGAATGAAATGGTTTGCTGGGTGTTTTTCTACTATTTAAATCTGCATTTTTCTAAATTAAAGACTTCAGACCACTGCATATAATAATCTTGAGTTTTAATACAGTAATAACGAGTTTGCTTAAAAAGTTGATTGTTAAAGTGACATGATGCTGCGGTAAAAAAAAAATTCTAGACAATAGTTTATTTTAACAGTCTCATAGGCTTATAGACAATAGTTGACGGGAAATCTGGGCTATAAACAATAGACTCACTGGCAAGAGACCACGTCAATAAGCAAAGGAGTCCAATAAAATATATGTGCAGGACTTGACCTGCCCTAGCACAGTCCAAACCACTCACTTACCCTCAAACATGGCGTCTTTCATCAAAAACAGCTAAATATCATGCTCCTACTTTATAAATATGTTCCTTTAGATGCTGCTCAGGTCAGTTTTGGGTGCCCTCACCAGGAGGTGCTGAGCTGCCAGGTCTATAGCTTTTCTTCCTGGAAGAGTATCTGAGCATACACAGTGTCAGAGCTGGAGGGTGTGGCGTCAGGGCTGGGGGAGACTGGTGGCTGCTGCCGCGGTCGGACTAACTCCAGCTCTGCGTATGTCAGGCTGTCTTCTTGTGAGACTCGGGACTAGAGGAGGAACAGAAAAACAAGAGAGGAATTTAGCTGGCAGATAACGCAGATGAGAAACATACTCATCAGTATTCTCCCGCTAAGCATCTCATCAGCTGCAGAAACTATGCGTTCACTGTTTTTGCAGGAGCTTCGGGAACATTCAGTTTACTTGAAAACATTTGCTGCCAAAGGAGTTGTATTCAGCACCCTCAGATTATTCTAATTGCACTAATCTGATCCGCATGTGAATACTTACATCTCCGGTGCTTCTTTTCACAGCGAAATCTCAAGTAGGCTACAGCACAACTAGAGACACTGGTGGTCCTGAATTTGAGGTAGTTTGCCTCTCAACGTACTCGTTTGAGGCTTTCATTGTGGATATTAAACCAATGAAGCACTCTAAGTAAATAATTGAGTTTCTGAAGCAATAATGCTAAATAGAATTATCAAGCTCATAACTGAATGAAGCGACAGCAATAAACTCTGGTAGACAATCACGCGGTCGTGAAACATATTCCCTCTTGTGCGTATCACAATAACAAATCTGCCTTGAAGAACAAAATAAAAGGAAAAACATCTTTTAAAAAAATTAAAACTGCATAATGAAGCGCTGCCCGTGTTTATGGCATCCAGTAAGCAGACGGAGGACTTACGGTAGCAGATCTCCTTGGCTGAGTCTTCAACCTTCTGGGCTTCTGAGGTCTCTTTGGTGCGACAGGCGCTGCAAGACAAAAATGTGAGAAACTTAATTGTGTGAAAAACAACAGCCTGGAGATTTGAATCCACAAACGTCTCTGTGTGTTTTGAAGTCGACGTCTAACTCAAGCAAGATGTTGCTTAGAAGTGAAACAAGACCATTGTTTGATGATTTAGTCTGTCGGCGTAGATTTAAGTGTCTGCTCTTAGTTGCCGATATCTTTTTTTGTGGGCTTTGACCTCTTGCTGCCCTTTGGGACTTTTTAATACTTCCACATGTGTTAGGAATGAGTCATGAAATTTAACCGCAAGAAAGAGAACATAAACCGAACTAAGTTTTTTTTATTCATTCGGAGCTGGAGAAGTTTACTTCTAACAACCTTTTACTTTTATCCACATTGAGATCATGGCTTTTCAACAAGATCTACAGGGTAAATAGGCTGAATGCTGAAGGCATAAGTGGTTACGTCTAAGAGTTAAGACACAATCTTATACCTCTGATGGGTGGCTGAAACAGTGGCTCTTCAGATGGTGTCACTTTTGGTCCCCGGTCAACCTGCTGTCTCCTCTCTTTTCTTCGTGTTCTTGGGGGAGAATTGGAGCAGCTGCTGGAGCTGGTAACAGTCTCTCCAGAACTGCAAAGAACAGAAGATCCAAAGATCACCGGTAATTTTCCTGTAAAAAGTGTATGTTTCAGCCTTTTGTAAGTGTCTTAAAAAACATTGCTGTACCTGCTTTCTGGACATTTGACAAAAAGATAACTGGCTGTGGAGAAATCAGAAGAAAGATCATTGTGAACGTGATAATTTGTTGTAAGAACTACAGGTGACACTCCATTTTTTATTTATTATTCTTTACTTATTAGTAATTTTAGAGAAAAATTGTGGATTTACCTTTCAATCTGTGTCTCCTGTGGAAGTACTGGCATGTTAAAACGAGGGAGAACAAAAAGATGGACAGCAGGCCCAGTGAGCAGATCAACACGGCACACAAATACACATCTGATTCAGAGACAAAAAAATATTTCCAGGGTTATGCATGATTAAAAGCTATATGAAAGTCTAGAGATTTAAGACATTACCTGCAAATAAAACCCAGAGCCCCTCGCTGCTGCCATCCTCAGGAGTAAAGTGCACTGTAGAAACAAACATGTTGCAGTAAGTCAGCAGAATACAGCACTTAAAGAACATAAAATTTCCAAGTCTATCTTTATAAATCGCTGATGTCTGTGGGCACTGACCCAATGGAGCAGACAACCTCAGTGGTTTATGGAAATATCCAAACCACTGCTGTGAAGAAAAAGAAGAAAAAAAAAACTGCTCGAAAGCATTGGCCAAACCCACAGTGGGGACATCCACAAAGTTGCAGGCCTCACTGGGCAGCTGCGCTCGGATAAAAATGTTCTTTTATTCTGTGTATTCGCTTTTGACTGTCACTTCACTGTTGTTTTGTTGATACACATAAAAGATTTTCAAAGAAACATCATCAAATCAGATTAACTTCACAGTCCTTTCCATCCATCCATCCATCCATCCATCCATGCATATATAAACAACTCTGGACATTGGGCTAGAGGTGTGGTCCCCCCTGGTCAGATCTGTTTCCAGACCACTGGATTTCATTCAAAATCAAATCTGCTTGGTTTGCCATCTAACAGCGTTCTCTGTTTTTTTTTTTTTTTTTTTTTTTGCATTTAAAGTTGCATTTTGTTTTATGTTCTGTGTGAGGAATGATGGGTGCAACCCAGTCCAACATAAAGACATTTTGCATTGAGTTAAGTTCATTGAAGGAATAATAATTTAGAATGTATGGAAATAAATCCTGATGGCACATATTTACACATTTAATCTCTTGAGTCTGAACTTTGAGTGCTCAGCTGATGGAATAAAGACTGAAATGGTTGTTTTTAACCCATGCAGTCTGAGGTCAACAGGTTGGCTGGCAGGAGCTGTTATATGTACATATGTTATACAGATGTGTCTGCAAAATGCTGACTGTACACCAAATGGCGCCACGTTCAAGCTAAAACATATATATACAGCCCAGAATGAACATGTTTCAGCTGTTGGCTCATCTGCACTCATCCAGAAAGGAAAAGTGAAGATGTGGAAAGGTTGTAAATCTGAAGCCAGTGCTCAGAGAGATTCAGCCCATTGGTGCAAAAAGCAGCAGATAAAGTATCTCTCAAATGTTTGGTTTAAATGGCTTAATTGGTGATGTAATAAAGCAAACATTTGTCTTATTTGGCATAATGTTTGTTATATAAATAATTCAGAATTTAAGTGTTGAGTGAAGGTTGAAAACTGGAAACTAAGGGGTTCCCTGGATTACAGCTTTTCATTCCCCTCATTGTTTAGCCTTATAATATCAGTTCTTGTGTTTCCTGGCTCTGTGGTCAATGCATCTCTGGGATGCCTGAGGTTGCATGGCTTCCTAAGCTTTCCCTGAATATAGGGCAGGGCGTTGTCAGATGGCTCTGTCTGACCTTAACCTTTATGCTTTTCTAGCAAAAACGTTCATACCCCTTGAACTTTTTTAACATCTTAAAATGCAAACAGAGTGGCACAACTATTAAGAGTATTAATCAGATGAGTCGCCAACTGGTTTCTCATTTGGTCCTGAACTCCACAAATCTTGCCTTTGTGGAAAAGGAGAGTAGTAGACAACTACTGTTAAGAGAATATTTTTTGGGCTTGCCACAAGCCAAATATGGGTGACCAAACATACCACAAAAGCTACAATGAAATCATTAAGATTGTAACAGATTCATGTCACCAACGCCTAGTAAAAGCCCAGACATAAATTAGAAAGAGTGGCAAGACCTTTATCGTCCAATCTAAAAGCTGGAGCTTTTTAAAAAAGACTAATTGACGTAAATATCAGTATCGAGTTGTTCAGAAATACTCCAAAAGGCTTGCACCTAAAACAACAACAAAGGATGGCTATACTTCCTATCTATGATGTTCTTTTAATATTTACATTTATTACTACTGTGCACTGGTCTAATTTTGTGTGGCGAATTGTATTGGGCACACAAAATTGCAATAAAAACCCCCAGAGGTTTGTAGATATAAGATGAAAAAAATGTCATGATTCTGGTTTGTCTGCCTGCTTTGTTTTTCTCCTCAGCCTTCACCTCTCCACTCAATCTGATCTGGTTCACCTGCATGCTGCTGCGCTGCAGCGCAATCAGGCTCATGCCATTCACCTGTTCACCAGCAGTTAGGTTTTTGAAAGCGTTCAGTGTGAATAGACAGCCAGCGTTACATCCTTTGCCTAACCATGATCACAACCATGTTTCTTGTCTCCTGGATTTCCGTGCCTTGCCTAGTCCACGTCAGAAAACTTCACTGGCTTTTGATTTCTTTTCCTGCCTCTCGAACTCTGCCTCACCCCTGGATTTGTCTGCCTGAGATTAGCTTCACATGCCTGACCTCTGAATTCTGATCTCCCCTGACCTCATGACCTGCTACCAGTGTTCACCCTCTGGATCAGTCTCCATCTTGCAGAGGTGTTCTGTTCTCTACAACCAAGCCCTGAGACGACTGCTCACTACCACTTCCCTGAGGAACCAGGAATCTTCCCCTTTTCTCCACAGCAGAAGGTTGGTGGCTTTCTCTATTGAGCCTTGACATGCAAGATTAAGAGTCACAAAACTGGTTCTTTACCCTCAGAGGTTCCTGTCCTAGTGTTGGTGGTCGCCTGTCCCATACGCTGATTATCAATAAACCATTTGCTTTTCATTTTGTCTGGCTGAAATTTTGGGTCCTCTGTTCTGAACATTACAAAAAATGTAATGTTTTACATTACAAACAGCATAAAGTCAGCCATTTATACCCACACGAAAATGTAAAAAGTCACATTTTTAAAAATGTAGAAAAATGGACTTCACTAGATAAACATTCAGCAACAGCACAATGTTTAAGAATAAGATTTCCAATAAAAGTTCTACTTTTGTATCATAAATCTGATGATCCTGTCATGATCTCAGATAAAGTCAAGTGGATCATTCTTGTGGAGAATTATTCACTGTTGTGTGCTTTTTGAATGACCTCATTTAATCCTTCAGCGTCCATTTAATTTCGGTGGGGGATTTGACCATGGTTAGAGCAGCTGAAACTTAAGTCTCCAGGAATATTTCTCTGAGTCTTGGTGACTTAAATATAAGTGCAGTTATCCCAGAATGCTGACATCATTAGAGTTTAAGAACATTGCCAGCTCGGCACCATTACCTTTTCCCCCTCGTATTCATACATAGAGTTATACTGTTGGCTGTGTGAGATCATTGTTTTGGGATGGAAATGTCTGAGAACTGGGTTCACACTCAAGTCTAATTCCTCCTGCAACTACAAGAAAAACACTTAAACTTTCCTGCTCTTTCCAAAAAAAAAAAGAAAGAAAAACATGGAACAGTTTTGTATTCACAGAATAGAAGAATATGTCTCTACAAGATGCATTCAGTTCTAAACAAATTCTTTCAGGATAATTACAGGAGAAATCCCCCTTTGCTTTCTGCGATTTGTTGAAGAGCAGTGCTCAGCAGACACCTCTGTAGAGAGGCCAGATGGTGCTGGACACTTTTTCTATTAATATATGTAGGAATGTGAAATCATTTTTCATGTCTGAATTACAGTCAGCAATCTGTTTAGTCTAAAAAATAAAGTTATGGCAGTCAGATTGTATAACATTGTTTCTTCGCTTTCTTCAACTTTTATATTTTCCTTTTTTTTTTTTTTTTTTTTTTTTTTTTTACATGAAATTCTTAAGTGAACCGAACTGTTGGGCTCATTGATAATTCTTCGAAAATGCCAAAGGTAGTTTGTAAATTGTTCCTGTACTGTGTAAAATTCAGTGATCACATAAATAATTGTGAAAGAGAAGAAACTCAGTGACTGAATTAAAATAAAATTTCTTTAAAACTGTTCCAACAACAAACAAAAATTCTTAATCAAGTGTTTATCTACAAAAACTAACCCCTAACTTTATTTAAAAACTTCCCTAAATTTTTTCTTTCCTACACTGAAAAGGAAGCATAGAGTTTGAGCTGTTGACCACCCGCTGAGGTTGGTCAACAGCCCTGAGCTGTTGACCTCTGGGAGACCACCTCAGTGGTTTCTCCTACATCACAGAAAAAATGAAGGAAACCTGATTGGATAAACGGAGAGGGATGTAGCATTTGTTACTCGTACATCCATAAATACCCAATTAGCCATATGTGTCTTTACTTGTCATGTAAACTACAGGATTTGGTTTATTTAATGCCAGGAAAGAATTCCAAAACTTGTGATTCTACAAGGAAGGACTTTTGAAATGAGATCAAATTTTACACACAGTAAGTGACTCCCTTGGCATCTTTATGAAGGATAAACACAGATTAGTTGCAGCCAAGAGACTGAAGCTCAGAACTAGTCCAAAAGGGGTCAGGACCAAAGTGGACTTATGTGAACTTAAATCAGCTCCAAACACACAAAAAATACAAGGGTTGTAGGGGAGCTTGAGTCTAACTTCAGCAGTAAATGTACAAGAGGTGGAGTACACACTTGACAGATCGCCAGTCTACCACATGTCAACAGAGAAACACATAGAACAAACAACCTGCATACACACACATATCTAATGGCAATTTACAGACCATTTAACCTAACAGTCATATTTTTGGACTGTGGGAGGAAACCAGAGAAACCATACATGGGGAGAACATCCGTGCTCCCAGGCTGGGAACCTTCTTTGCTGAAAAGCAGCAGTGCTACTAACGACACCACCATGCAGTTCTAAAAGCAGTTTATTTAAACACTGTTTAATAAATGTTTGGACTGTCCTTGTGTTTGCATTGGGGAGTTACTTACGAAAAGCCATTGATTATTTTTACAGAAAATAAATTAAAGTTGTGTATCATTAATCTTGCTGTGTGAAACATCCTGATAATGGAACATGTAGCGTTAGCTGAGGATGAATATGGGCAACACTATAATATTTTGTGGTACTTTTCTATCAGAAACTTTGATTAAAATTGCTTCACTTGTTTGTTTTTTTTCCACAGTATGTGTATCACACAGACATATTGGTGGTGGTGGAACTTAATTTTTCTCTTCTTGGCTGAATACACAACAAAAAATCAAAGGTCCATAAATAGTTTCAAATAAAATTCTATTTTTTAAGCTTTGTGGTGTTTTAATGCTGTCTCATTGCATGGACATCATGAGTTACCTACTGACATAGGCATAGAGTGGCAAGAAATTGCCACACTACAGCAAATGTATCCATCATGGCATGATGAATACATGTAAAAATGTCACATTTTCTTTTATGTAGTTACAAAAAAATAAATCCTATAAAAGAATAGAATAGAATCCAAAAGACAAATGTGAATGCTTGGAAATATTTCCAGTTGTATAAAAAAACACAGTTATAGTTTGGGAACTAAAGGAACACATCCCACTGGTCAAGGTCGCACTTTTTTTTTTAACACTGTTGTCTATTAAACAGCAGACTGTGTATCTGAATAGATAGACTGACTAATGAAACCAGGTTGTTAAACTCCTTCGTCTAACAGAACAGAAAGCCAAAATTGCATGATATTGGGCAAAATAGGCACATTTATTTTAAAAGTTCAGATCAGCAGTGAGTACCTAAACTCATGTATCAAAATCTTTATCCAATCAACATTAACTGATTAGATTTACAGTTAATTGTGTTGTAAATTGTGGCTTCTAATCTATTGTAAGTTTCTTCTTTTTTCTATGCAAGTACTAGCTATCGAGGAAAAAGAGGCTGAAATGTATTTTTTAGTTACCTGTCAGCTGTGTGGTGCTGGAGCCATTGGACGAGGCTCTCCATGTGTTTTTGTATTTTCGGATCTCCTGAACTCTACAGCTATAAAAGCCCTCATCCGTCCCTGTGATATTGATGATGAGCAACCGGTACACTTCTCCCACCACACCATCAAATAAATGAAACTTTGGCTGGGGGAAGCGACGGCTGTAGTTCCCATACTGCTGTATCTTCTTGATTCCTATCCTTACAATCAGAAACTGGGAGGGTGGGAGTGCGGTTGGAGAAGTGGTCGGTAAAAGAGGCGGTCTGAGAGTCGGAGGAGTCAAAGGCAAGAAGAACCAGCGGAGAATGAGGACACTGTTGCTCCACTTTTTTTCAGACACCAGACAGGACAGAGTCAAGTTGTCTCTCTCTGTGACTAAGACCAAAGGCCCGGGGGTGACCGTCACGTTCAGGGTGTAGCATACCTCTGTTGGCAAAAAAAACAGAGTAAAGTTCACAAACAATTCATTCAATGCTTGTAACACTGCATACAACAGGAAAATTAGTGTTGGTTTTTAAAATGTCTAAAGAAAAATTCAGAAATATGAGTGTATTTGTATTCTTCCGTACCAAAATATTACTTTGCAGAACAACTTTATAGGTAGCTACAAGTCTACAAGTTTTAACAGCAAGGGACAAACATTTTTGGCCATTATCTTAGCAATGTAGCCCAAACTAAGACGATGTCTGGAAAATGTCTGGAAAATATTTTTTCAAGTCTTGTCACAGATTGCAATTGGGTTAAGGCCTGGACTTTGACTGGGCCATTTAGCATATGAACATGTAATGAAGTTGTAATCTAATCTACTGTGGCTTTGACTGCATGTTTTAGATTATTTAATATTCTGGAAGATTAACTTCTGCCACAGTCTGAAGTCTTTTGTAGCCTCCAACAGTTTTCTTTTTCAGGATTTTCCTGCATTTAGTTGCATTTTGTTAATGTGAAGATTGTCGGCCAAAAATGTATATTTTGAGGATGTTATCGCCTGACTCTCCTGATAACTTCTCCACTTCCACCACTTTATCCCAGAATTCCTGGATCTTCATCATACTATTTGTTCACTAACAAACGTTTATAAATTTTATTTCAGAATAAAGAGGGAGTTGAATACAAATGCACAACACACTGTTAATATTTTTATTTGCAAGAAATGAAAACGGTGTCGATAAGAAACTCGAGAACAAAAATACTCTTATCACTCTCTGAGAAGTCCAGAGAAATTTTTTTAAAATATCTTGAGAAATTATGGAGAAATTTTATTAAAATTCAGTTTAAAAATAAATGGTTTCCTCATGTATTACTTAAATTTGTTTTGTTTCTTAAAGTCTAAATAAATAAAAAAATTACCGCGTTCAAAAACACACTCCATTGCCATAGTATGTCAGACAGTCATTGAATGACTCAGCTTGCGTGACACTTTCTTGCTTTTTTCAATTAGTAAATTACAGGAGTTGAAAATGTGCCTCTCTTGGAATGGTCTGAGATCTTGTTTTTATCCCAATGTATTCCCCGACAGTTACTGCTAATTTACACAGACTAAGCTTGTACACATACCCACAGTGGATAGTGGGATTTATGCTGTCAAAAGCATAAAGTATGTCTGGCTCTGCTTATATGTATCACCAGAAGGGAATTTTGCCTGTACCGCTGAAAAGCAATTCTGGTCAAGAGGGAAATCAACAAATCATACATCCTGCACAACTGTTTTTTTTTTTGTTGTTGTTTTTTATTCCCTGCTTAGTTTTGTTTTCTTCTGATGGAAGCAGAGTCATGTGTGTCTAACACCAAATGTGAATCAATAAGTTTGATTAGACACTCTTATCAACTCCTGCAGTGAAGATGAGCTACAGGTGGGAAACACTGATCCTCTGTGCAGTAAAACCCAATCCCAGCAGGTGGTAGAACTTGGAACATCTGCTGCTGCTTTTTTTGTCTAGGTAAGTTGGGAATCTGCCCCAGGTTATGTCCAACATTACATAACGCAAAAAATCATAAGCTAGGACATAGTAATGTGCAGTTCAAGCTTCTGGAAAAAGCTGACTCGTCAACTTTAGAACAAAATGTGTTCTAAAGGACTGAACCAAACTTTCTTCAGTCTAAAACATTTTTGCTAAATAAGAATTACCTTTCCATGTGTGGCACATTCTGAACCCAGTCAATTTAAAAAAGCTTGGAAAAGTCATGCAGACTTTTATCAATTTGTGTGAAATATACATGTGATTTATGATTGTCTTGATTTATTGTCAAAAGCGAAGAGAAACATAAGTCTAGCACTTACAAGAATCACTTGAGATGCATGCAAAAAAAAAACATGCAAGCTTTTTTTCTGCGTAGCATTTGTAAAAAATAGAGTATTCATACTAAAAATGAACAAAGGTATCTGTTTTACATGTTGCTGTGTGCACCAATTGCTACTCTGTTTCACCCTTTCTTTCAAGTCTGCTGAGCTTCATTGCTGCAAACAAAGTAAACTTACCTGTGACCAGAGTCTTAGTCAGGACAAGGACCACTATAGAGAAGTACATTTTCCACAGTCAGCGAATCCATAAACCTAGACAACTGCACAGCACTTTCAAAAGCAGCTACATTCAAAACAGAGGCTGGCTGCACAAACCACCAAAGCCCTTACCCACCATTAACTCCTCTCCTCTTTCTCCTCTTTTCTCTGTAATATGAAACAGAAAAAGCTCTGTTCCCACTTAGAAACTCCCACTCTCTCCCTCGCTCTCCCCTCTAAACTGTCTCCGTCAACCTCTCTCTGTCTTTCCCTCTGTGTCCTGCTAAACGTAGGAAATGTCATTTCCTGTGTTCCTGAGAGTGGGTGTTGGATCAGGGCCCAACACCCCTGAACTTAGAGATGACGGCCATATCTAATCTTGAGGGTTTGCCCTTTGCATATTCATGTTTATGGTCATCTGAACACGATATGTGATCTCTCCGTTGTTTTCTGTTCGTGCACACACAGATGTGGGATGTCTCCATGTCTCCGGCTGCTGGATGGAGTGGCATGGGCTTGTCTCTGGCTGCGGTTGTCTGACTGTCCCAGTGGTATGAAGCCTGCTGCTTTATTGGGAAGGCTAAACTGCTGAGGCAGGGCTTCTACTGGCTGCTTTCAGCTCTGCCAAAGCCAAATGAAATCACACAACACATTTAACCCTTCAAACAGTGTGTAGGATTTCTGTAAAACCCATGGAATCAGTGGAAAGTGTGTCGGCTGTGTTCCTGGAGTGCTTTAATTCCTTCTCACCTTGAGAACTTCTTTTAAAATGCAAACTGAAGTGCTTCTGCAGTTTAAACTTAGGCCATCTATCACAGGTTTTGTGAATTAAAGGTTGTGTTTACATGTACTAAAATGACACTTCATTTGGGATTTCCCTCATGTTTTCCTTCGCCTGCGTCCCAAATTCAAGTGAGGGGCTCACTCTGCTCTGCCACATAGTGGTCAAAATTGGTTACTGCTTCTCAGGGATCCTCAACACATCAATTAAATACAAAACAATTACAGCTCTCGGCCAAACAAATAATGTTTTTATTTGTTAAATATGATGCAATCTGCAATCAAAGACTATAAAAATCTATGCTTTTGCCCAGGATTACTTGTCAAATTAGTTCTCATGTTTGCCTTATTTTGAACGGTTTGAAAATATTAAGAAATACATATTTCAATATGGGAAAAAAATATTCTGTTTTCAACAGCGTTTATCAGAAGGTTGCTCAGTACAATAAGTACTTTATTATTCTGTTGTGAGGTTCCTCTTCCCCTGAGTGTTTGGATATTTTTATACTCCCACAGTCTGGATTCAAATCAAAGTGTGAGGAGGAGGAAAACTGGGGTGGGAAACATTGCAACATGGGTTACCAAAATTTCCTGCCTGTAACGTGTTTCTTGTAAGTCATTTAAGGTATTATGGTATTCCCTAAAAAAAGGATCAAATTAACAAATTATGTTTGTTTAATCTTGAGGAACATACTTCAGAACTATTATACACTGTTTTGTATGATATTTCTGGACCATTTTAATCTGTCATCCCAGTCATGGACCAAAGGCTGATCAAAGTCAAGACATGTTACCAGTTTAACACAGGGTTATGAGGTTAGTCAGTTTAAATGTTACCTGCTGGCATCAGCAGGTAACAGATTTACCAGTAGAGGGATGACACAGTGCCACTGGTCCCAATGAGATAACCCCATGAAGGTCAAGAGGAGTGGATTCCCACCTGAGCCCAACTCAGTCTATAGAGCCATAGGCTGTCTGCCAGGAACCAACCACTCAGTAATGAGGCCTCAGTAATGAATCCTTTAATGGTTGCAAAAGTTTCAGCTATTTAATGGTTGCAAAGTTTCAGCTTTGCAACCATACTCCCCCTGGAACCCCAATACCCCACACAAACAATATCACACCAACCAGACTTATCTCACCCTTGCTCAAATTACCAAAGTGGTAATTTGAGAACTCCCATAAAATGGTTTCCTTCAGGTAGAATGAGTGAACCTGGGCCTAAAGAGCTTCCTGCCAACAGCCTATATGACCCAGGAAACCCCTAAACCAGTGCATCCAGATTCTTGCCCCCTGGGTGCCCAGGGGGCAAGGCAATCCACACCTCCACCTAAACACTACCCAAATTTCCCCCCATTTAAAGCACCTTCTCAACATTCAAAGAAAAAGCTTTAAGAATGCAGTCTTCTCCCATTTTAAAGCATTATAAAAATAAAAAAGAACATTTTGTGAAATCTTTCAGAAATCTTTTTTTTATTATTATTTTTAATCCTCAAAAGAAAAAAAAAATCACATGGTGAGAAATATCTGTGTTAAATGTGGTTTTTCTTGTTGTTTGAAAAAGTCCATGTAATGCTACATTCACAGCAACACAAAATCACTCCTAGAAACATCCATCTTATAAAACAAAGTACTGTATAACTTTAAAACAGCAACAATCGTATCAACTCCATGTGACCATGTTCGTTTTGAAACTCTTGCTGCATAGACAAACTATGTTGTATACCATTTGAAGATCTTTGACTTTGAAGAGTTATTTTATACATTGTAAGGTTTTCACAACAGGAGAGGTAAAACAGACCAGCCATTGTTTATAATGCAGAATAAATGCATATTATTTCATAAAGCACTTTATGATGGGGCAGTTTGCAATGTGTTTATGTAAGGTATGTTCACCACACCAGGAAATAAGATACAGATGTCACTGTTAACATGGGAGATATGTTAGCTTCTGACATTCAAAGTCAAATGGAATGGTAACAATAAATATAGAATACAAATACAAAATAAAACAGTTCATCTCTGAAAAAGACAGCAGCAGCAGTTTAAGAGCATGTCACAGTGACCTATACAATCACAAATAAATTTGTTTCGGATGGCAAGTTACTTAAATTTTGAATTGCATTATTTATTCACTGCATGTTTCAGGTGTTATAATATCAGAAAAACTTCTTTATTTTAATGTCAGTCTTTTTTTCTACCAGTCAGACACCTCCATGAAATCTTCTAATTCACTTATGGCAATAATGTCACGAGGCTGATACTCCAAGTTAGCTGAGTGATCGTTTTCACAAACTGAACTTCTACCAAGCGGACTGTTTGTGTCACATTCGGGAAAAGTGTTGCATGAGTCCCGTGTGCTGTTCACCAAGTTGTATGTCTTGGTGATGTCATTAACTGTGTCCATGTATGGTGTTTTCTCTGGACTGTAGCGATGGCCCTCGGAGTTCTGATCAATTTCAGGAACTGGAGTTCTGCAGCTGTGGTTTTCTCTTGAGGCCTGCTGGCTTTGGTGTAGAGCTGCTGGGACTGAGGAGCTGCTTTCATGCACAGAGTTGACGACAGCTGCCTGGTAGTTTTGTGGAGAACTGTGCTGGCCTTGATAAAACCTAAAAGGCTTACTAGCAACTGTGGTGACAGAGGAGAGGGACTGTGATTGCTGATTGACTGGCAGTTGTTGTTGTTGTCCTTGAGACTGTTGGTGTTTTTGGTGAAGCTGAGGTTGAGAAATATTCTGACCAGTCTGGCGCACATTCAGCTGAACATATTTTCCTGTCTCAGGATCAAAGAAAGTCTTTGTTTTTACTTGAACAGGTACATCTACGACAAAGAACTGCCCAGACCCCAGATCTTGCAGTACCTTCCGCTGAGTCAATGGATAGTTGGTTGACTCTACATGGTATTGTGTCATAGGAGTGGCCGGATGATTGACATGATGGAGAGTGGGAGAAGAGGATACGTGAGCAACTGTTTGAAGAGCTGCAGGTTTGGAAGCAGGGCTAGAAGCATGAAGAGACACAACAGAACGAGCATGAGGCGAAGGACTGGGGATAGAAATGGGGCCGGTGGCATGAGGAGAAGCATGAAAAGAGTAATGAGAGGATTTGCGATCTTTATGAGAGGAAGGCAAGCTGGATCCAGTAGCTGGAGCAAGAGCAAAGGCAACAGGCGGAGAAAAATGGGGGGAAGCCACAACATGGGGTTTGGAGGAGCATACCTCATTTGAGGAGGATGATGAAGAAGGAAAACTGGAGACCTCTTTCCCAAGTCCTACAGGGTTTCCTTCTGCAGCCTTGGAAAGTTCTTTCTTCATCCTTCGAGAGGTTAACCTTTGAGCTCTCCGTAAGGCTTTTTCACTTTTCGGTGGAACAGCTGGAGGTTTGCCCAGAGACCGCGAGACATCACTGCTGAAACTGCATGCCGATTCAGGTCTGTCAAAATCAAACAGGCCATGCATGTCGGTCAGATCTGCTGCACTCGTCGCAAAGCTCTCCACATCCTCTGACATACTACTGATGACAGAGCGAGATTCATCATCATCCGTTGCCACACTTCTCCTAGAATAGGGTCTCATGTGAGGGATAGTGTTTGAGTAATCTTGTAATGAAGACTCGCTGATAGCAGCAAAACGACTAAATGGGGTCCCTGCATTTCGTCTGACTATCTCCTGGTCATCCTCTGCTTTATCTGATGCTCCATCAAATGTTGAACCCATTGAGAAGTCCTCTCCAAAGTTCTTATGGAAGCGTGGTTTGATGGACTTTGTGAGAGAGGAACCTCTCATGGTGTTGTCCTTCACTCTGAACATCAAGGGCTTGGCTCCTGGTGCAGGAGACGAGGTGTTGGAACGGGGCAGAGTTGGAGCTGGAGATACAGCAGCATGAGGTCTGTAATGTCTGTGGTTCAAGAAGTCATTGGGTGATTCAAGTTCCTCTTGTTTCTTTTTCTGTTGTTGTTGTGGGGACAACTGTTTTTCTCTGGATATTCTCTCTCTATTGGTTGAGGTGATTGCAAAATACTGGAGAGCATTCATCTTCTGTGCTGTTCCTTTGTCCATCTCTTGACAGTCTCTTGCTTTTACATTGAGAGATGTTACCTGCTCATCATCTTCCATCTTGTCAGCTTGACTATCATTATCTGTTTTAGTTGGTGTCAAATCTTTAGCATTCTCCTGTTTGAAATGTTTTTCTAGTCTCTGTTCTCCCACGATTTCTTCCTTTTCAGCAGCTATGTAATCATTTTTCAACATTTTCTGTGATGCAGTTTTCTCCTCTTCCACAAGACTTTCATTCATTGGCACTTCATTCAGATGTTGGATTTTGTTAAGTTCTTGTGTCTGTTTGACACTTTCCTTCTCTGAAATGAAGACATTTATTCCTTCTCTTGTTTTTCCTATTGTTTCCTTTTCAGTATTGCCAACTATCTGCTCTTTTCCTGGTTTAACTTGTCTTTGCTCCTCAATCAGAGATGCTATTCTTTGCTGCTTTTTTTGTGCAAGCCTTTTCCGGTGCTCTTCTACATCACTTTGTTTTTGCTCCTTCTGTGCAACTCTCCTCTGTTGCTGCTCATGTATTGCTTTTCTTTCCTGCTCATCAGACTCTCCTCTCTTTTGTTCTTCTGCTGAAAGCATCCTTTGCTTGTCCTCTTGAGAAAGTTCCTTTTGTTCCTCCTCTATTTCTCTTCTTTGTTTGTCCTGTTTGGCAGTTTGCCTTTCTTTTTCTCTGTGTTCCAATTGGGAATATCTTTGATTCAGTTCTGTTGCTTTCCTTCGTCGGTCATTTGGACTTTGAGGTGCTCTCCTTTGTTCCTGTTCTGTTTCTCTTTTTTGTTCTTGTACGGTTCTCCCCTTCTTATCTTCTTCTGCGGCTTTTCTCATTTGTGGGCCTTCTCTGAGCCTTCTTTCTTGCTCCAATTGTCCAGTTCTCTTCAGCTGCTCTTCAACTGCTAAACTCTGTTCATGTAAAGTTTTTGTCTGTTGCTCTTCTTTTGCAATCCTCCTTTGCTGCACTTCTGCTTCTCTTCTTTGTTGTACTTTGTGTGCATCTTGTCTTGTTGGCTCTTCTTCAGCAGTCCTCCTATGAAGATCAATTTGTGCAGCTCTCTTTTGCTGCTCTTCTCCTGCCCCTTTGTGTTGTTTTTCAGGAGAAGCTATCCTCTGCTGCTGTTCTTCTGCAGTCCTCCTTTGTTGCTCAAATGGCGAAGCCCTCAATTGTTGCCTTTCTGCTGCTCTTCTCTGTTGCTCTTCATGAGCAGCTTTCCTGTGTTGCTCCTCTGCAGTCCTTCTTTGTTGAACCAGTTGTGCAGCCATTTTTTGGTGCTCCTCCATTTCTCTTCTCTGTTGTTCTTCATGAGCAGCCATCTTTCTTTGTTCCTCTTCTGTAATCCTCCTTTGCTTTTCCTCTGCTGCTTTCTTTTGTTGTTCATCATATGCTGATTTCCTTCTTTGTTCATCTTCTGCAATCTTTTGCTGCTCTGCAGCTTTTCTCTGTTCCTCTTCTTCTGTGATTCTTCGTTTTTGCTCCAGTACTGCAGCCCTTCTCTGCTGCTCCTCCACTTTTCTTCTCTGTTGTTCTTCATGGGCAGCTTTCTTCCTTTGTTCTTCCACAATCTTCCGTTGCTCTTCCTCTGCTGCTCTCCTCTGTTGTTCTTTTTTTGCAATTCTTTGTCGTTGCTCCAGTTGTGTGATCCTCATTTGCTGCTCCTCTGCTAATCTTCTCTGTTGTTCTTCATGTGCAGCTTTTCTCTGTTGCTCTTCTGCAATCCTTCTTTGTTGCTCAAGTTGTGCAGCCCTCCTTTGCTGTTCCTTTGCTGCTTTTCTCCGTTGTTCTTCATATGCAGCTTTCCTTTTTTGCTCTTCTTCCTCCATCTTCTTTCGCTGCTCCTCTGCTACTCTTCTCTGTTGTTCTTCATATGCAGCTTTCCTTTTTTGCTCTTCTTTCTCCATTTTCTTTCGCTGCTCCTCTGCTACTCTTCTCTGTTGTTCTTCATATGCAGCTTTCCTTTTTTGCTCTTCTTTCTCCATTTTCTTTCGCTGCTCCTCTGCTACTCTTCTCTGTTGTTCTTCATATGCAGCTTTCCTTTTTTGCTCTTCTTCCTCCATCTTCTTTCGCTGCTCCTCTGCTACTCTTCTCTGTTGTTCTTCATATGCAGCTTTCCTTTTTTGCTCTTCTTTCTCCATTTTCTTTCGCTGCTCCTCTGCTACTCTTCTCTGTTGTTCTTCATATGCAGCTTTCCTTTTTTGCTCCTCTTCCTCATTCTCTCGCTGCTCCTCTGCTACTCTTCTCTGTTGTTCTTCATATGCAGCTTTCCTTTTTTGCTCCTCTTCCTCAATTCTCCTTTGCTGCTCTTCCGCTATTCTTTGCTGTTCTTCATGTAGAGCCTTCCTCTGTTGCTCTTCTTCTGTAATCCTTCTTTGTTGCTCCAGTTTTGCAGCCTGTCTTCGTTGTTCCTCTGCTGCTTTTCTTTGTTGTTCTTCATATGCAGCTTTCCTTTTTTGCTCCGCTTCCTCAATCCTCCTCTGCTGCTCCTCCGCTACTCTTCTCTGTTGTTTTTCATGTAGAGCAGTCCTCTGTTGCTCCTTTTCTGCAATACTTTGTTGAGCTTGTTGTGCAGTCCTCCTGTACTGCTCCTCAACTGATCCTCTCCATTGTACCTCATGTGTAGCTTTCGTCTGTTGCTCTTCTACTGTCCTCCATTGATGCTCCTCTGCTTCGTGAGCCACTAATTCTGTCTTATCTATGGGGGAGTTCATAGAATCTATCTGATTTGGATCTTTGTCTGCATAGACTGTCATTTGGGCATTCAGAGGTGTTTTTTCTTGTCTTTCTTTGTCTCCAAGTTTGAACATTCCAGTTCTTTGGTGCTCCCTCTCCATGATAGGAAATACTAGCGATTTGGACTCTTTGTTGACGGTGGCTGTTATCTCTGTCTTACTTGATAAGCTTTGGGTTTTAACAGAGTGGTCTTGTTGGTAATCAGTAAACACAGGGCGTCTGCTGTGACGGGTCTGTATTAGTGGGAAGAACCCTTCCTTTTTGTTGGGAGGGAATTGCTGAAGCGGCTGCTCTTCTTTATCCTCTGAAACAATCACCTTTAATCTGGCATAGTCTGCAATAGCTGATATTTCTGGTATTGCAGACACTCGTTCTCTTGGATTCGGCTTAGCTTCAGAATGTGTGTTTGTTAAATTTTGATTACCCGAATTCTGTCTTTCCGTTGCACAGGACTCCAACTGGTTCACCTCATCATAAGTTCTGGTAGGATTAGATTGGCTTGCCTCCAAATTTATTATTTTGTTCCAACTCTCCATGGAACCACCAGGCTGTTTTGAAGTAACTGTATCATCGCCAGTTTCCAAATCTTCACTTGTCAAGTTCTTACCATCAATAATTTCTGAACTTGACTGATCTGTCTTTTTTTCACTTGGATCCACAGTGAACACAAAGACATCACTTTGCAGTTCAGTGCCAATAAATGTCTCGTTTGGTAATAACTTTAGGACATCATTTACCTTTAAATCCTTTCCAGCTGTGATATTAGCAGGAGATGTGTTGCTTGTCTCTGCTGGTCCTTGCACTTGAAAATAATCTGCTTCCACCATCTGTACACTAGATTCTGACTTTTTGTCTCCAGCTTTAATGCTCTCCCTGGTTGTATTTACATTGTTCTGTTTCTCATTTTCCTTCAATGAGTCAGACAGTTTCCTTACGCTGGATAATACATACTGTACAGCTAATTTTTCTTCCAGACTGTCTTTCATCTTCTGCTCACTGTTTTCATGAATCAAGTTTTCAAAATGATGCCCATGATTTGAAATTTGCAGTTTTCCTTCACTGCTGGATGTGACAACCTGATTCTGTTCAGACACAAACCCTGCATTCGGAGGAACAGCTTTCATAGGACATTTTTCCAACATGTCCACGTTATCTGTTTTACTTGCACTTGGCACAACTCTGACGGCAATGTTATCAATATGCACACTCGTAACTTCTTGATTGTGTTCTTTACTGAATGTTTCAGTGGATTGATGGCTTTGAGACACCATCCTAGTGTTATCCACGCAGGAATCATTGAAGGGGCTTGGTGGAGAAAAAGGGCAGGTGTTGTCTTCTGGTTCAGCCGCACACTGCCCATCATTGTTACTGCTTTTGGAAATATTTTTAAATGTTTTCATGTTGTCGTTCATTGGCTGATCGTTTATGGCTTTGTCAATTTTATCATGGGATATTTCATTGATGAAAGGCTTTTGCATTTCATGTTGACTTCCCTTGTCTCCTGCCTCTGGGTGGCCAGAGGTTTCTGACCAATTTTCCTTTGGCATGTTAACACTTACATCCTTTGTTTCTTCTCGAGTTGTGTCCATTTGGCGGAGAACTGGTTGAGTTTTGGCCAAGACTTTGTCTTTAGAAGGTATAAACCCGGCTTCTGGTTGTCTCTTCTTCTGTAGTTCTGCAATAGTAGCACAATCGCTGAGTTGGAGATCTGCGTTTTCAGCTGATATTTCTCTGTTCATTTCTTTCCCGTTTAAAATTTCTTTCACATTATCTGAATAGTTATTCTTTTCAAGAGAATCTTCATTTTCTTTCATAACACCGGGACTCTTTTTTGAGTCTGTTGCCTTCACTAATACTTTTGCTTCTTCTAGGCTGGAATTCTCTCTACCTGAATCTGATGTATTGCTCTCTGCCTTTACTGAATTGGTCTGATTTTCAGTGTTGTTATTCTGTGGGCTACTATTGACTGTTGGGTTTCTTTCTACTACAGTTACCATAATCCCCATAATCTGCACACTGTCATCTCTTACAGAGGATTCATTTTGAGTCACACAATCTTCTGATTCTGAGTCTTTATGAGCTTCTTCTTTAGCAGCTTCTGCAGTCACAGGTTTGGATATACCACTAGCTTGTGCTATGCCTTTCGTTTTGGTGAGAGTTTCATCATTTTCCACTTGTTGCATTTCCCCGCTCAGTCTTCCAAATGTTTCTGTGTGATTTTCTTCGTTTTGTTTGTTTTCCACACAGATGTTAGTTGTGCTCACAGAGGTACCTGTGGGGAGGATTGTTTTTGTGGATTTTTCTGAATGATCAACTGCTGCTTCACTATCTACTGTATCTGAGCTCAGAGATGAAGCAGACTTGTCTGGTTCTTTTTGCACTCCTGAAGGCTCAAGCTGATGCTTTGTTGTGATTTTGTTGGACACTGTGGTTTCATGCTTCTTAGGCACTTCCTGTGATGAAGGCCTCTGTCGAATGTTAACACTCTGACCACTTGCTGATAGCATGGCCGAGCTTTTGCCCATAAAGCCTTCTGGTAAAGCAAATCCCTTTTCTTTTATTGCGGAAATCTCTTTTTCAGCATGTGCTTTTATTTTGGAAGTCAGTATTTCCTGCTTAGTTTGAGCTTTTTCTCTTTGAGATAAAGCTCTAAGTGGAGCAACAGCCATGTCTTTGCCTTTGTCAATTCGCTGATCAATTAACTTTCTTTCATGTTTAGCTGAAACAGATTCTTTTTGCAGGGAAGCCTTGTCTTTAATAACATCATTTTTTTCTGATTTCTGACCACTGTCGTCCTTCAGTTTGTCAGATACATTTTCTGTGTTTGCTTTATCACATAAATTTGTTAGAAAAGAATGAGCGCTACCTAAATGTGGTTTATTTAATGGCTCATTGCAATCACTCTCTTGTACTGTCTCGTTACTGTGTTTAAAGTTTCTACCTCCCTCCTTATTCGCTGTCTCTGGTGTTAAAAACGAATCACTAACACAAGGTCTGTCAATTGATGTCAAATTATTTCCTATTTCAACTTTGTGTTCTTTGGCTTGTTCGTTATTTTCTACAGCTGACAGTTTGGTGCTGTTTGCAGATGTTGGATATGTAAAACCATATTTTTCCCTAAGCCTTTCATAATCATCAGTCACTGCATGAGTTTGTGTTTCCAGTGGGTGGTTCTGTTCTTTGTTCCTGGCATTTTCACCAGTATTAGAATCATCATTCTTTAAAAGACCTTCTTCTTTGGTGAAAATAATGTTTCTCACTTTTTGTTTTTGCTCTCCTCTCATTTTCTCCTTTGTTTTAGGTAACTCTGTTTTGGCTCTTGCTAATTCTATCTTAACTTGCTCAACTCTGTCTGGTTCCTGTCTGGCCTGTTGTGTTGGTGCAAGCTTGGCTGTGAATTTAGCTGACCTCTCCAGCAGGTTTTCTGTTTTTGATTGCTCAGATTCCTTTTGCTCCAGGTTTTCTTCCAGTTTTGTTTTTTCTCCCCGTGTGTCTTCTGTGCTCCCTGTACATGATGTGGCCTTCTCTAAATTAATATGACATGCATGACTTGAGTCTTTCTCATCCCTACCTTCCCTGACATCCTCGACTTTCATGTGGTCTGTTTTGACCTCCAACACTTCTATTCCCATCCTCTTCACATCTATTGTTTTAGTTTGCAGGTCTTTTATCTGCTCTCTTTGTTTGCCTCTAATCTGTTCTTCTTTAACATTTTCCATATTGATTTTCTCTGCATACATCTGCTCTCCCTCTGCTTTTTCTGTGCTCTGCTGTTTTTTCTCTGCTTGCACGCCATTGGCCTGTTCATGTTTAACTTGGTCTATTCTGACCTGCTCAGGCGCCTCGGTCTTTGCCAGTTTGGTTTTTTCGTGTTCCTCTTTTAGCTTCTCCTTTTCAGCTTGTTCTGTTTTGAGCTTCTTAGGGACTTTTTCTGTAACATTTGTTGGCTCGTCTGTTGGCTTCAAAACCCTTTCTTTTTCACCCGTAGTCTGTTTCTCTTCTTCCTGATGAAAATATGTGTCTCTTGCCTTTTCTTTTTGTTCATTTTTTCTCTCTTCCCCTTCAATTATATGATCATCTTTGACTTGTCTTACATTTTGCAATTCTTGCATTTTGACCGTTTCTAATGCAGGTTGCCTTGACGAAATAAACTTTGCTATTTCTATTTTTGGTGGTTCTGCAGGCTCCTTCTGTTGGGTTTTGGTCATTTCCGCTTGGTGATATTGTGGTTTCCTGTGGGATGCCATCACCTGTTCACATTTCGTGTCTACAGTCTGCATGTTCTTTACCTGATTTGTCATTGCGACAGTCAATGTATTTTTTTCAATAAATGTTGGATTTGGCTGATTTTTCTTTTCAAACCGAGGTTTAGTTTGTATCTTTTCATTTGGAGCTGGTATATTTAGTTTAGTCTGACCTGTTGTTATTATGTCCATTGTTTTGTCTGACGTAGTATTTTGTTGGCCTCTACCATACTGATCAGTAAATCTGTTATAATTCTGTCTTAAATTGGCATCCTTTACTTCTTCTTTTTCTCCACCATGCAAATTTTCTTGCTTTAAACGTTCTACTAAAGACTCTGTCTCATGTTTCATTGGGGGAACATTTGTTTTGAGATGGATATTTTCTGTATCTTGGACACTTGCTTGTCTCCAATTATCCTGGGAGGACACATTTTTGTAATTGTGTGTGTTTTCTTTTAACTGGTCATATTTGTCCGCCTTTACGAACACTCCTCCTTGCGTTGCATTCACTTTGCCTATTAGGTGTTCTCTATGTTGAATGTTGTCAACACTCAATCTTGATGTGTCCTCAGCTGAGTAAGACTGCTTGACTTCATCTGCAGATCCATAAATATCTTGCCTGTAGGGAGTAAATGATGCAAAACATTTATTCAGATTCTGCCCATTTCCTAGCAGCTGATTGTTGGAGTAATTTGAAGTTACAAAACCACTGAATCCAGAGCCATGGCTTTGCATTTGAGCTACCTGGTAATCATTTACAGTGTTTTCTGAATAGTGGCCTGAGTTTACTCTAGTGGAGTGAGATGTCTGGGCAGTAAGTGATAGTCCGGGGGTGTGATACTGGTTTATAGCAGCATTTGTACTTCTTACTGGTTCTGTCTGGAGACAGTGAACATCTGAACTAGTAAGTGCACTTTCGTGTGGCTCCTGGCCGTAGGGCTGCTGGTTCCTCTCTGCTGTATCTAAGCCTTTGAACTTGGTTGGACTGTAGGTGCTTTTTACTCTTTTTCTGTTGTCTTTCAGGTTGAAGAGCAGACTTGTGGCTCGAGATCTGTAGCTGGACATCCTGACATCAGGAGTTGCTCCTCGGCTTTCAGCTCTCACTGGAGGATGCTCTACTGGTTGAGGGGAGACTTCATGCTTGTGTAAGCCGGATGTGTCTACATCCTGATGTTTTTGGACTGAAGGTGTGAGCTGCTGGCCAATTCTAAAGGAATTTGCTTTGTTACTGCTGACAATGTTCATCTCTGCTGTCAATGTGTTCGTTCCTGAGGTAAACCAACTTTCATTCCTACTGAATGTTTCTTGTTGATTAGTCGTGTCATACTCTGACATCATTTTAACCTTTTGCTGCAGAGCTTTGACAGAGCTGATGGTGTCTCTGACACGTCGAGACATCTCAGTAGAAGGTGACGCAGTTGACGGACGGTGAGGTGGAAGTTTGTTAGTCCCCAGCCTCTGTGTCCACTTTCTCTGAGGATGATGAACCGCCAGCTCTGACTCGCAGCGTTTCTCCACAGCTGACGCTCTCTGGACCTGAGAGGAAGTTGAGGTGGAGCGTGGAGCCGTCAGAGGAACCGGATATCCCAGGTGATTTCGAGGTTGTCTGATGTCTCTATGACGGCTGTGTGCTTGATTTTCAAGAGAAAGTTCATTGTACATGGGGGTCTGATACCATTTAGGAAACTCTGAGTAATGCATAAAGCCTGAGACTTCTGCTTGCTGAAACGGAAACCTGTTGTAATCTCTCCATAACTGGAAGGGACTGAACTCACTGTGGATGAAGAAGTTAGAGTTGCAGTTGGCCTGTGCAGAAATGATGTGTTTCGTTTGTGATGACCTCATGTAGCTGTGAGACATTTGGGCCACTGATTCTGCTTCAGAGGAATAGAAGTTTGGGTCTCGACATGAAAATGGCCCGACAGGATGGAAATGATGGTTGAAATTTTGCTGGTATGAGAATTCAGAAAGTTCTCTCTGAATACTCATGAGAGCTGATTTGTCCCAACTTGTCCCATCATCCCGCTCTCTGATGTTATCTTCCACCCCTGCTGCATCTCTGTGTCCATCAGAGTTAAACGCCCTGATGAGAGACGAAACTCTCGAGTGGCTTCTGCGTTGCTGTGAACTCAACTCTGTGGCTCCGTTGCTGTGGAAGGACAGCTCCTCTTCCCTCAGAGACCTGCCCAGCTGTGAGGTTTCCACTAAGGATTGCTGGAATGTGGCAGAAACCATCCCCTGTGTCATGTCCCCATAAGCCTCCCACTGAGCATCTCTCTGGATCTCTGCTCCATACATCCCTGCTGTGATCCAGTCTTGTCCATATTGCTGCACACTGAGGTTAAAATTCTCCTGCACAGCTCTCTTTCGGTCCTCCCTTTCTCTCTCCTCTCTGTCTCTGCAGAAAGCCAGCTGTCTGTCTGAGTAGGCGCTAGGCGAACACAAACTGAGGTCAGAGTCATTATAAACGGCCTCATCTCCAATGCAAAGGCTTCTGAATGCTCTGTCCGTCAGATTGCTGACCTCTCGATCAGTCTCATCCAGGAAGGAGCCCCCACTCGATGTGTCACTGAAGCCTCCATCACTGTGCTTCCTGTGCCCACTGCTCTTCCGCCTCGAGCGACGCTTCTCAACTGAGGTCATGACGCAAACTTACAAAAACAAAATATATTGCTTTTTAGTCGTTTGGTCATTCATGCAAATATAGACCTTAAAGTTTCAATCTGTTTCAGCTGGTGGAGCTGCTGCACCCGAAGTTTGGGGCCTCTGTTCAAGATTTTCTGCAGAGGCATTGTTTGTTTCACTATGGTTATGCACAAATGATCCTTCAATCTGCTGCTTTCCTGGAAGAAATAAAAGAGAAGAGTATCAACCCAGATTCCACTAACTCCAAAAAAACAGAACTTTGATTTGTAAAAAAGCTAAATTGTTATGCATCTAAATCAAAAACACTGCATTGCAACCAATTCCCTCCCAAAGCCACCCAATTATCAAACAGAGAGCCCCTGTGCGTACATCGGTCAATAAATAAAGTTGTTCTGCAAAAGCTCCTGTATTTACAGCTTAGAATACTTTAAGAGCTTTGAAGTTATTCTATAAAACAACATCAAAATACTAGTGTGGCAAAAAGCTACCCCTGCACATCACCCTGAACACGCTACTCCCAATGTTAAATATAATGGTGGCAGCATCATGCAGGGATAAGGTGGAAGCTGATAAAAGATGGTTAGAGATAAATAGAGGAAAATCCTGCAGAACCCCAGTCAGAGGCTTCAGAATAAGGCAGACGTTTTCCTATCAGACAGCCAGACCCACAATTAATTAATTCTCTGTCATTGCAATGTTTTACTTATGATACGTGATTTTCTTTCCCGTTTGAACTAAGCAGCAATGTACTGTATGTGGTTCTGAAAACAGCCCTGTAAATCCTTTCACTCAGTCACTATGACCTTCAGGGACATGTTGTGAAGCAAACCAGCCTGTTGCTAGGCTCAGAAAAGACGGACTCACGTGAGTTATTTTGAGTGATCAAGATGCATCAGTGCAGGTTGGACAGGGCACACATACAAACACACGCATACAAGTCGATATTGCACCTGAAGAAAGATTTTGATGCAAATTTGGCAAAAACTCTAAGTTTGGACAAAATGAAGTGTTTAATTTACTATTGACAACAAGAATTTGGAAGAAACAAAAAGACATTTGTGGTTTGGGAATAGTGACGTATGACCTACCCAAACCTAATCTTGGAAAAGTCATTCGTTTATTACACAGAGAGCAGGTGGAAAGTAGATTTTCCTGTACCAGAAATACTTTAAAGGTTAGGCATTAGAGGAAAGATTAGAGAATAACTTCAGATAAATTTAGCAAAATTCAAACCTTGTTTTATATGACACTTAATGAGGCCATAGAAATGTTTAATACCAAATGAATCAGGTTTAGTGAGTAATATAAAGTTTCATGATTAAATTATTGTCTAGATTTACAAATGTTAACTATACACTACATGGCCAAAGATTAGTGAGTTTAGATTTATACCTGTGTTATATCCACTTTACTTCATTGAACTTGCAGTTTCCACTCATCTATATTTACAATTGAGATATAAAATAATAACAGTATGCACTAACATACCACCAGTATTATATTTGCCTCTCTTGAAGTCTCACTTTAAGACATCATGCATGAATGTTCCACTAAATATTAATATATTTTGAGGTAACTTAGTATTACCATGTGCATCATGTGCCTAAATAAGTGACTGCCAAGCAGACGTCACTTTGCCCAGAATATCCGGCGTGAATCATTAATATTCTTTGATCTGGAGGCCTTTCATTTCATGCACATCTTCACACATGCTCGGTTAGCACTAAATCTTTGACCATTTGCCCTAACACGTTAGTTTTGATTTGAACTTTTTACTGCTAACTTTAAATTAAGAAAACAGTCCAAAAAAATAACTCTGCCTTTCGACAGCAGTGCATCAATATTAGCAACAAAAGCCACATTCTTCATGAAACATGAAATAAAATCATGCAGAGCTATGACAAGTTTCCTTACTGTCGGTGTTTTATGCAGCAATAATCTTCCCGTTAGCTGTCAAGATGATTTCTTTTCATTCTTGCATGCAGCAGGTTTATTTTTGTCCAGTGACGAGCTTCCAGCTCTAAAACCTGACACCAAAGAGGAGTAAATTTCAGCTTTGGTCTGAAGGCGAACTGTAACGGCTTCATAGCTTCTTAGAACAGAATGGACTAAATGCATTTAAATGGCAGCGAGGTGAAAATAAACATCAGTCAGATGAGGTTAGGATTAAAGAATTACTTTTTTTTTAGCATTTACTTAAACTTCTACAACTCAGATTTTACTCAATTCAACATTTCTCTAATGTGCTTTTTTAGATTTTTTTTATATGAAACAATACACAGCAAACCTATAATCTTACCTTCCAGGTTTATAATCCATAATTTGGGAACTGTTTATTATGTCCCTATCAATCTAATCCTGAACTGTCACCTCACACATCCACTCTCTGGGAGAGCCAGGCTCTTTCTATTCAGAATAATCCAAATCCAGTTTGAGGGCCACTGTGAGATCTCAGAGGATCTGACCAGCAGCAGGCAGTGGAAGTCAGGACTGGAGATCAGACAAAAATAGAGGAGCTGTCCCACAGAGAGTGTCCACCATGAGGCCGTAGAATGAGGGCTTGAGCTTAGCATGTGGCTCTGTGAGATCCTTTGGTGTCGAGTGTCAGACGGATGAAACAAACAGCCTCTAAACTATTTATAAATCTGGACAGCTATGTAGGCCATTAGCAGTGGCAGCTAACTGTGAGTAAACTGGGGAAGTCGGTGAGAAGGTTGAGTAGGTGAACACACAGGGTGAGGGGATAAAACTACATTTTCTAAAGATGTGTTGATGGGTGAAGGGTAGGTGAGGGTTGCCCCAGGAGGGTTGTAATTCAGAGATATAAATAGCTCAAAGAATCACTGTGTAGTCCTCTTCACCCAACAGAGCAGACAGGAAGTGGATGGGTTATAAACATCTGGCCTTCAGTCGCCACCCACAACATCACAGGAAAGGTGGTTGAAGCAGAAGACAAAGTGAGATTTTATTCGACAAAATTAGTCTCACAACTTTTCACATTGCTAACAACAAATCTCAACATAGAATTTGACAGATAAACATAAAGTTGTGGATAATTGTGAAATGGATGGAAAATTATGGTTTATAAAATCGGTGCTATACAAATAAACTGAACTGAATTGAATTAATTGCATCTTCCTTTTGGCCGCTTTGAATAATGTTCTCCTTAATAAAGCAAATTAAACATATACATTTTTACCTATTTTAAATAATAGATTAACTATCTGTCTATAATGAACTTTTGGTTATAGCTCTATTATCCCAACCTGCTTGAAAGATCTACATAATTTTCTCCCTGACCCTTCTGGTGTGTTTCTTGCTCTTTGTGTTGCTATTTGTTGTCTAACATTCCTCTGTTTATTAAGTGAATTCTGAAGACACCTGTTTGCACTGGTCTTTGTTTGAGTTAATAAAACTAAATGTGAATAAATGGAATATACACCACACTCTTTGGGTTTTATTTGTAAAAAATAAATAAATAAAAAAATAAATAAAATCAGTCAATCCACTTTATTACTTTGAGTTGGTCTGTCTATCATCTAAAATCTTAATAACTGAGGAACACTGAAGCTTTTGGTTGCACTGAGTCAAAATGTGAAGATTTCTGAATAACTGCAGTTTGTGGATATATTTTAACAAGTTCTTGGCTTTTTGTGCTTTAAAGCAGCACTTCCAGGAATGTAGTTTTCACACTAACTCCCCGCCAACTGTAATTAAAGATTTATTGTCAGATCTCCCTGACAACAACCTTCCTCACCCCAATAAAAAAATATCATAGGGCTCAGAAAGGGGAGGAACTGTGCCTCCCTCTTTAACTCCCATCTTCCTCCTCTCCAACCGCCCGCTGCTATAATAGGAGATCGCTGCAGCGGATTGCTCTCTGGGATTGTTGGCGGCGGCTGCAGAGCTGCCAGGGTGGGATGATGGACACACACACATGGGCATTAATGGAGACACACTTGTTCCCGTATGCATGCACAAGCAGCACACATACAAACTCAGAGTGCAAGAGGAAAGGCTGAAGAAGTAGAATAATGGCTCTTTTCCTTTTAAAACATCAAATACGTTCATTTCTCACTAATTAAGAAATTACTTTTCATTAATGATGACTTGTTTTACCTTTTCATTTTTCTATAAAGCACTTAATATTATGCTATCCAAATTTAATCAATTTTGTAAAGCAAATTAAAAAAATAAAAAATAAATAAACATGAAATAACCCACTGACTGTATCCCTTTTAAACATTCAGGTTTCCTAGAGAAGCCTGGGATTCGCTCATGAAGTACAGACAGGATTCCTGCTCACTGAGTCCCTCTAGTGGATAAAATAAGTCACACATCTAAAAAGATTTCACTGCAGAAAAGACTTTTTTGTAAAAGCATGTCAGGTTATTGCACCTTGCAGTTCTGCCTCCTCCCTTCTAAATAGTTTTAGTGAGAAGCCACTGAGCCCTGCGAGCATTGATCACAAACGCTGATGATGCTCCTCCCTGGGCTGAGTCAGGAGAAAGGGAGAGCTGTGGTTATGTGGCAGACAGTAGACAGGCACATTACTCGCTGCATTAAGATGTGCTTTGTTTGTATAATCTCCATTCAGACATGAACTCCACTGATTCTAATTGATTGTGTTATTGATCAGCTCTGTTGCAGGAATTAAAAGCAGAGATGATGTGTTTGGGCCTTCAGAGGAATAGGCCTGACTGTGAGTACGGAGTTATGTCTAACTTTAAATTTTGTGCAAAGATTTGCTGGGTCTTCTCGAGTGTGCGGTGTCTCTGTTTGTAGATGCAGATGGTTGCGTGAGCACATTTTACTGCTTCTTTGCGCGACAAAAAAAAAAAAAAACTATTTCATTACTGCAACAAAAGAAGCCCATTAACTGCAATGTAAGAACAGAGTTCAGCTGCTGTCCCCCAGCATTCACAGTGTTTGTCTGCTTTTCTGGACGCTCTCCAGCTAATTTGATATAACAATGCTCGGCAAAACATCCCCAGGACTTTTTTTTTTTAGGTGACGGAGAATTATCAATGATGCCACATGCACAAGCTGAATGTCAACAACCAACTTGACTTGTTTATGAAATATTAAAGTGGTGAATTATGGGAACCATGCAGAACTTAATGATGATCGGAGTCATTATGACTCCAGCTTCCTTTGTTTTGGCAAATGATTAAATTCCACAGCTACTGTAGTCAATTTTGGGGAGATTGAATGTGTTTTTGGTGCCTTTTGTATGAGGTCTGCTATCCAATCTGCCACATTGTGAAGTGAAGCTGATTTAATGTGTTATCGTTAGCTGCCATGTCACTCGGCTTAACACGGTGGCTCTCCCATTGACTTGAAACAAAACCATTATGTCAGAACAAGATGTTTTCAGTGAATCCAGTAGAGTACCTGCGACAGAAACCAAACATGCACTGATAGGCATCTCATGTTTAAAACTTTAGTTTTTTTTTCAAACTAATCAAGCATTTTTTTTCTGTTATTTGATGCTTCGGTAAAATGAAAATCTTACTGAATCTTAAAATCCGGTACATGAATGCATCACTTTATTGTTATAGCTGTAAGATATTTACAACATGCACACACAATGGAGTTATAATAATTATAATAATAATAATAATAATAATGAACTGAGAATTGTGAGTGCTCTGTGTACAATCTGGTACGACTTCTGACATTATCTCCCTCTACCATGTCACGGGTGGGGGTGTCTCCTCATCAATTATTGAACTGGTACTTCATGGTAATACATAATTTCCCATCAATTATTCACGATAATGTGTGTGTAGTTTACTTAATTGTGTTATTGACTATCAAAAGTAATTTCCTGGAAATCCTCAAGGACGCAAATTGAATCAGGCAAACTACTGGCCGTTGTGCTCTGCAGTTAAGTATAATCAGTCAGATCAGCTGACCCCGTTATTCAAGAGACGGGAAAAAGAGAAGGTGACAAACATGGACAGAAATTTTAAATTCAACATAATTAACAGAATGAACTTTTTTTCTTTCTTTTTTTTAATGGATGGAATTTATTTAAAAAAATGTTTAGTAGCAGGAACAGAGAGCGTTCCTAAAAGTAAATAAATGATAAGCGTCCTCTCCCAGCTTTAAGAGTGGCTCATAAATAATTTATCAGAACAGATGGCTGGAGCAAGAGGCAACAGGAGAGGAACATGAGTGACTACATCTTTAATTGTTTTAAAGAACATGTCACAACAGGACTAGTGTGTTCCCTGTCTGCTGCCACTACAGATGTGCTAACAGAGAGCAAGGGATAACTGAATCCACACACTGACAATGTCAATTACTTTTTCTTTTTTTACAAGGAGCACAGCTGATTATTACTAAAGTGCACTTTCACTTTAAATTCATTTTAAAAAAATCAATGGAGTTCATTGTTTTGTCTCACTACTGACTTAAAAAACAATCATCAGTCCCACCATCATTTTATCTTTATAAAATGATACACTCTTCATGCACTGACATTCCAAATGTTAAGAACTGTCCCCACAGGATTATTTAAATTCACATTATCAAATAGGCCTCTGCTTCATACATACCGTTCTATGTTATAGATAATATAGCCCAAGAGTGCATGTAGATGGCTAAAGGTTAAAAAACACAGTTTTGTCTTTTCAAGCGCAATAACCCAGTTATTCAGCGTTTCTCACAAGGATACTTTACAATCAAATAAATACATTTATGTTTGCATCCATACAAAATGTCTGTCCCAGAATTTTTCTGGAGTCAGCCAGTAGTTGTGCTTTTGTTGCTCAGTTTGGAGCAGAAAAGAAAAAGAATAAAGGAGGCAAAAAATCACAGATTATCAGCAACATCCACGTTTGTGTCCAGCTCCTCACTTCTTTTCCAGAGGTTCCTTGGAGCAGTGAGGATGTTTGTCGGGACTACCGCTCAGGATTGGAACTTTAGTAGCTGTGCCAGGACTGGAGCTGTCTCCCCCTCTCAGGCCGCCGCCGGGCACCTCGATGGCGGGTCCCACAGAGGGCCGGACCACCCCGGCCGAGCCCACACCAGAGAGGACCCCCACGCTGGCTCCTGGTGTGGCTGCGGCTCCGAGCAGGTTGGCGGATTGCAGCACGGCCTCTGAATGCTCGCGGGCCTTCATGCGGAGGGCGGCGACGCTGGCTGTGCGGTTTCCCTGACAGCCATAGGGAGGCAGGAAGGACAAGCCCATGGGGTCAGAGACGCAGCAGGAGCACAAACCATTCCCTGAAAAATAATAATAATAAGAGGAATGTTAAATTCATAATGAGTTGATAAATGCAATAATAGGATCATCAGATGGGTAATGAGAATCATATTCACCTTTGAGCGTAGCGACATGTGAGAGGGCCTGGGCGTAGGTGGCAGAGTTGAGGAGCGTGCCTGGAATACATGATGGAAAAAATGGACCACCTGGACCCACCGTCCTGTTGATGCTGGAGACAAGAGACAAACTGCACCTCAATAATACATTGAAGACTATATGTTTATTATAAAAATGAACAACGTCTTAACAATTAATATGATTTTTAACTATTTGACATCAAGGCATAATTTATTGTCTATAACAGGGTAAATGTTACTTACACTACCTCATGTAGTTGCAAAAACTAGACCAACCACATATATACAAAAACAAATTCAAAATAAAACTTTAAAAGACTGGTTGAAGAAAACAGTGAGGGTCCATCAGAGATACCCATTCTGATTACAAATCTCCAGCCGTTTTCACAACATTTCTGTGTGTCTTCCTTTACCTCTGCTGTAACTCCAGAGGTTCTTTCTGTTTCCTGCCGTGGTCCACCGGAGACTGAGAGTTGATGCTGCGAGACGGAGGGGTGCCATCGCTCAGCGGCTCCTTCCCTGCTTCAGGTTCTGAACCCCCTCGCTCTGTTTTCCTCCACTTTGCTCTGCGGTTCTGAAACCAAACCTGGAAACCAGTAAAGCATTAGATATTTTAAGGCTTTTGTCCATATTGACTGAGCATATCTAACTTCCCTTCACAGAAATGCATATATATTGTGGATTCCCAAATATAATAGATTTAAAAAAACATGCAATCATGTAATGAGTTATAAAATATTGTTCATTCTCTATCAAACTCACTTAAATAAAACTCCAAGAATATGCACTTTAGTTCAGTTTGCATAATCATCAGTTTCTCAATTTAAATTAATTTAAAATCAAGTTCAAGAAGGGAGGAGATATTAGGAACATCCAATTTTATAATATGCGTCTTTAAGACACTGACAGACATTGCTGTCTTCGGCAGGTGTGATGTCAACTGTGAGGAACAAAAAAACAGTGATTCTTTTTTGTTAATTAATTCTTAACATTAATTTTAAAATAATAGCCAAATAATTTGGATCCAAATCTATCCAGATACGGACAAAACCAGATTTCTCTGACAAATACTGCCCGATAAAGAAATGGGCCTGAAGAATTAAAAACAAGAGAAAGTTACATCATAAAAACTGAATAATTTTTTAAAAAACATTTTGAATTTGAAATATCACACCAAATTCTCTCTTTTGTGCATCATACCTGATAGCAAAAAAATAAAAATTCCATGGACTAAAAAGCTCATGGCAGAAGTTCACTGTAAACAAAAAAAACATATTTGACCAATAAAAATGCATGTATACGTAAAACATAACAACTGATGCTTTAAGGAAAATATTTTATTTTTGAACTAGTAATGTATAACTGTATTAAAGAGTCATTTAAATAATAACAAAAATTTTTAACATTGCTTAACCTGCTCCATATGAAAAGCAGAACTGTGTAATTTATAAACTCTCTTTCTCTTACAAGGTTCATGTGGCTATCTTGGATTCAGTACTACAGATTTATTTTTTTTTAAAGGATCATTTTTGTCAAGTAGAGGGTTTAATAAATGTGTGCATCAAAAATTATACATCTGGCATCATAGAGTTTTAAAAGGCTAATAGCACAACATTGTTAGGCAACACACAAAGAGAAGGGAACAACACTCGACTGCATGTCTCTTTAAATATGTGATCACAACTTTCTAGTCTCTTTTTTTAGTTGGTCTTTTAGTAAAAGCATTTTCACATCCAAAGTTTATATATAGTTGGAAACCTTCAACATGACCAAGTTTGGACACGTATATACGACAAATCCTTACTTCTCCTAACTTTTCTAGTTAATTTTAAAATACAAGTAGCTTTACAAGTAGTTTTAGAAGAAATTTGATCATGAGGCATATGCCCCAGTAAACTGGGTTTGACATACATGTGATTATGACTGTGTGTCTTCATGCTGCTCCTGTCAAGTATAATATTGAGTTTTGTAATCAGAAAAGCTGAATCAGATGAGCTCAGTCGGTATGAAGTAGGTGTCTGAACCCACCCAGTGCTCTAATTTCCCACCTTCCCCTAATTCATCCCCCAAAAAAACTTCACGGTCCACACAGCAAAGAACACATATAGCCAAGTTCTTGGGATCTTAATCGACTGAAGGTCAGTGCCTATAACAACATTTAATTGAGCAATTTTTCATTATCATATTTTAATGACTTCCCACTGACAGTTGTGCTGCCCGAGAGAGAGGCAGCTATGATGAAGTCGTTTATTTCCCTATTTAGTGATTGTTTGACAACATCAGATTCGATTAGGACTTGGTTCTAGCAGGCATTAATCATGATGTGTGAATGGAGGTTAGAGTCTGCGTGAATGCGCTCTGCATCCTCCCCATTGTGGCGGAGGGTGTAAATGATGTCAACAGCCAAACAAAACGCATGCATTCATTCTGTGGAGAAAGGCACAACATTTTCGTGGCAGGACAACAATACATCCAATGGACTTATCTCACCCCTGCACCTTCCAGCTAGAAGTCGCGCCCCCCTCCCCCTCTACCCCCTACACGCACCCATCTCTGAATGGGCTATAATTGCTCCATTAATCTCAATTTGCTGCGTGCTCTTAATGCGGGGGAGGGCCCATTGACACTTTACAAAAAGGAGAGGAGGGCAACAACACTACAAGAGAAAGGAAATTTATTTTCTAATAATAATGTAAGTTTAATATCCCCTGCATAGTGCGGTGGATTCATGTTCAGATTTAATAATAGGAATGCGGTAATCGGATTAGGAGGGGGAATAATTTGTTTACAATCCCTAATTTACAGCGCTGGATTCCATTATCAAGCCCCGCCATTGGGTTTAAGCGATAGTAAAGATGACCCTGGGGAACAAAAAGCCAAACTATTATATTTCCTACAATTAGATCTGCTGCGCACAACAAAACCCAAAAGCAAATCTGGAATGCGGGGAAATTACATACAGGACGCCTAACTTAATTACATCTGGCCAAGTTTATAACGGCGCACATGTGCAGGACAGGAGCCGAATATCAATTGTTACATTTTGAGTCGTGAGTGTGAGACAGAGTCAGAGAGAGTTTGTGGGGAATCTGACTTTTTGTCCACTCTTAAAAAATAAAAAAATAAAAAAGAGAGAGAGGAAAGAAAAACAAACAAAAAAAAAAAAAAAAAAAACAGTGTGAGCGTCACCGAATCTGCACGGATGATGATGTGTTCCTGCCTCAGCAGACGCGGACAAATTAGTGCCGAACATCATCGCTGCTTAATTATGAATGACCGATTAATCAAGCTAATCTAATATTCACCATTACGTTGATGTTATTAAAGTGTATTGCTGGGATGACAGAGTGGCTTCCTTCATCCCCCCACTCGCCAGTCTGGTCAAACTGTGTCCGGTGACAGGACACGGCGGCCTGCATGCGGCTCACCTGCACCCTGGCCTCGGTCAGGTTGATTTTCATCGCCAGCTCCTCCCGGGTGAAGACATCCGGGTAGTGAGTCTGTGCAAAGACAGCCTCCAAAGCCTCAAGCTGCATCAGGGACAAAAAATAAGGTTGGACACAACTTTCAGTTCAATATTATACAACTAATTTAATGTCCATTATGTTTGTTTGTTTGTTTGTTTCTTTCTCCTTCTCTTCTTTCTCTTTCTTATCTTTCTCTTTTTCTTTCTTTTTTTCTCTTTCTCTTTTTTTTCTTTTTTTCCTTCCTTCTTTCTCTTTTCTTTCTTTCTCTTTTCTCTTTTTCTTTCTCTCTTTTTAAAAAGCTCAAACTTTTAACCGTCTACTTTATCGATCAATCTAAAACTGAATATGCAATAAAGAGTCACGGAAATGGGTTTGTTTTTATCTGATCAGCTTGAACCGTTGAAAGACCCTCAACTTTATTCATGTCAAGGTTGAAACTCCAGTTTTAAAACTTTGCCAACTTTTCATCGACTTTTGCGTCGCAGCGAATTTTATTTTTCTTTGCTCGTATTTGCCCTGCAGCCGTCCACTCTGTCGCAGATTTGTCCTCATATCTTCTAAAAAGAGAGAGAGAGAGAGAGAGAGAGAGAGAGAGAGAGAGAGAGAGAGAGAGAGAGAGAGAGAGAGAGAGAGAGAGAGAGAGAGAGAGAGAAAGAAAAAAAAGTTACCTGTTGTAAGGTGAATGTTGTTCTGTTTCTGCGTTGCTTCCTCCGCAAAAAACCATCGTCGAAATCAGTCGGGGCGTGGTTTCCAAAACCGCCGGAATTAACTGAAATCATAAAATACGATAAAACAATAAATAACAGAAACAGATGATTAGCATTTTTCATTTTATAAATGTTAGAAACTAGTTTTGTAATTCAGCTTTGTGTGTGTTTTATTTTATTTTTTTTTTTTCACTTTTTTAAAGCAGATGAGGTGGGAATTTTGAACTAGTACATTTGTTTTTAATTAAACAATAATAATAATTTTAAAAAATATATGATAAGGCTCCCAAAAATTGGCCAACTGCTCATATTGTGTTTCCATTTGTTTCATGAAACATTGATGCGGAGAGTCTAAAGGGAACCATGACGGACTAAGAGCCATGACACTCAACATCTGTGCCCGGGACAAAGCGGGCCCCACTGCCCCGGGGCCAAACCACCAGCGCTTCTCACTAACCCAGCCAACAAACTGCCACAAGCAGAGAGGGACAATCCCGCTTAACCCTTTATATCCACCTTTGGATTTATGACAAACACAACGCAGCCTGCATTTTATTTATTTATTTATTTCATTTGAAATATTATTGTTATTTTTAAATAAAGCAAACGATTTGAATTAGTTTATGAAGGGGAATTAAATCCACTGGAAACAGCAGCGACAGTAATAACGCTTTTGCAACATTTATTTAGATGATGGAAAGAATAGAAGAAAAAAAATAAGGCGGCCTGCTAGGAACAGATTGGGCGCACAGGCGCTCAATAAAACTTCATTAGTGGAAATATTTTAGAGCAGCTCACACTTTGGATGAAATCGACAAGAGAAGGGTGGGGGGCGGGGGGTACGGGGAGAAACTCACGCGTGTTGGAGCGACAACACTCTCCGTCAAGTTGAGGCGGGCAGTGAAAGTAGAACATCCTTGATGGCGAACCTCGGAACCTGGAACACAGAGAAAAAAGTTTCAGCCTCTTCCCAACCCAGACGTCCTCAGTGCTATATCACTGTGATCTTGCGGCAGATTAAAACAAAACGGAGGAGACGGATTCAGAGCTGAAACCTGAACGCATCCTACCTGCAAGTGAGGATGCTGATGAGAGTGAGTTTGCGCTCTGGAGAGAGAGAGAGGCGGCTGATGCTGCGCTCCCACTGACTCTCTGCTTGGGAGTGTCCAGATCCCTCCTGCTCTCTCCTCTCTTTCTCCAACACACACACACGCACGCACACACACACACGCACACACACTCTCTCTCTTTCGCTCTCTCTCTCTCTGGGAGTGTCCAGATGTCTCTATAACTGTATAACTGTCTACAGAGTGTTAAGGCTTTCAGCTAGTGTCGCAGAATCTCACGCCTAATTGGTCCTAATCGGATTATCACGGCTTTGTCTCTCTCACCCTGAACCCCTGGTGTGTGTGTGTGTGTGTGTGTGTGTGTGTGTGTGTGTGTGTGTGTGTGTGTGTGTGTGTGTGTGTGTGTGTGTGTGTGTGTGTGTGTGTGTGTTGTGTGTGTGTGTGTGTGTGTGTGTGTGTGTGTGTGTGTGTTTATGTTGTGTGTGGAAAGGCTGAAATAAAGGAAGAGGAATAGGAAGCGGGGAGACATGCCCAAGGTGCCTAAAAAAATTCATCACAAGTGATTGTTATTTCAGAGTCAGGCATATTCCCTAACCATAAACATCCGCACATACCCGCTGCACTTTTTATTTGGTTCTTTCATATATTAAAAAAAGGAGGATGACTGCTTTTGGGTTTTAGATTGACTGTCGGGCGGGTTAATTGCTCGTCAGGGTGTGTTAGGGGGTCCACTTTACAAGGGCTTGCGCATGTAGAGCACTCACAAGGCCAAATTTTTGATTTTGTTCACAGCAAGGGGTCCCGCGATTTATTTCGCTTCCTCAGATAAATGATCTGCTGCGGGACCCTTTCAATTAGTTTTAAAGCGCTTCTGGGACGGCAGAGCGCAGACGCCATGCGTCTCTGAGGTGGAGACAAAATGAGGCTTCGAGAAGCAGCTGAAATTTAGAAGAGGAGTGCGGGATTGGACTAAACCACATAAAGTGCAGAAAATCCCGTCTAATGGCGCGTAATTGGTTCTGTAATATCATTACAGGCGGATAATGGCCAGTTACAGGGCCCCGCGCTATTAAGGGTTTCCCTGGCGTGCAGCGTTTATGTTATTAAAGGGGGAATATAATGATATTTTAGTTATTAAATGCGCGTAATTAATTTATGCACCACTGAAAATAAAGTTGTTATTATGACCTCGGTGAAGTGCGTGGAGAAAATTGAAATCAAATAAGAGTTGATAACTTTAACCCAACATTTGGTCTAGACTATACTCTGACAGAAGCGCAGGCCTGAATGCGATTGTTTCGTGTCAGCGACTTTTCTCTGAATCCCCAGATGATTATTCAAGCGCCTGTGACATTACAGAGCTCCGTGTCAGGGGGCAAGATTTTATTTGTATTTTTTTTTATTTATTTATTTTTACAATCAGACCCACTCTTGCTAATTTTGTGACCAGAACCTGCAGATGATATTTCCCAGATAACTTAAGAAATAAGTTATCTTATCGTCAGAGAGCCGTATAAATAAAATACGGCTATCTGCTCAGGGCGCCATAGGTGAGGAGACACCTCAAGAAACTCAAGCACTCAAAAAAGTTATCTTTTTTTTTGTAACTTGTATTTCTGGTAAATGACAGGATTTCTACAGGTTCTTGAGATGGAAATTATCTCAGTTTTAGGCCTCAAAGAAGAGGTGGAGATTTTCATTGTCTATTGTAAAATCAAAATCAATTTAGTCATAGCTGGGATTTATGCACCACTTGCTTTTTGTTGTTGTTTTCTTTCCTCCATTTGAGTTGATGTTTTACAATGTGCAACATTTCTTTACTTAAAAGGAGAGATGCATGGCAGCAGGTTATAGCAAAAATCCCCAATTGCTCCCTGAAGCTCCTGGACATCTGATCATAATCATTTATGATTCAACAGTTTATGAGTTGATAAAAAAAAAAAAAAGTTCATTACATTCATTAGTCAAATCTCACTAAAACCGAGCGAAACAATCAAACTAGTCCTACACAGTTCATAAAAGTATTGCTTTGCCTACATCAATAATGAATACAAATCTGCTTAACAGCCTTTTTTTTTGCTAAATGTGGAAACACTTTATAACTAGGACATTTGACAGACTGATACAATCTAGTAAATATATCAAATTACACCATGCATTTTCTCCATGCATGGTGTTGTCGGTCTGGCTAAGGAATTGCTATATTACACCACGACAGAATCATTTAAGGAGCAAGTAACTCTGAAAGAAGGAATTTATCAGCCTATTTTACTGCAAACCTGAGCAGAAATCTGTTCCATATGCTAGTCAGTTGTTTAACAGAAATAAAATCAAAACATGTCACCTCACAGTAGAATACCACTTATTTCAGTGCCTGCAACCACCTATTGATATGTGTTAGGATTGTTCCTTCTTGGGCTTCTGGAGCAAAAATATGCAGCCCTGAAGAACGATGGTTCCACAATGAGCATTTTGTCCTTGGTTTCATGTTGAAAGCTGAATAAAAATATTACAAATAAAATTCTGACATGTTAGCCATGTCTCTAAGCTGATTTCTAATTTTTGTTTTTACAAAGAATTTTGAGAAATGTAAAAAATCTGAGATTAAAGTGAGAATTCTTTTTTTTTTTTCAGTGAGTGTCATCTTCTTCCTAATAGTCGCCATAAAACATTACTTACCCTGATTCAATGTAACCACAAATGTTAAGAACATATTCAAGTAAATTCTGACCCACTTTTCTTTTTGTATTTTTTTTACATAAAAACATGAGCTTACAGATGTTTACTGCACAAAAAATATGCAAGAAAAGACAGGAGATTCATATTAAGTTAAATATAGTGACTAATTTACAACCGTAATTTGAATTTTACCTACAAAAAGGCAGGTAGATTTTTTTCCCCCCACATGAAGCAACTTAAGGTCCATTTATTCAGACAGATCGATCAGTCAGTCATTAGAAAATTCACCAAAATCTGCTGTACAGTGATATTTATAAAGTGGCACACTTTCCCCTTGATAGAAAAATATCACAAATCTAACAAAAGTGAGGTGGTTTAAGTGGAAACAATTCACCTGACAGCATATGAGGTAATATGGCTTGACAATATGACACAAAAATGAATTCATAGACAGCCAGATTGAATTGAACAAAAATCATGGAGACATGTGCAACAACGCTACAACTCAAGTTTCAGACAGTAAACTGGCTTTCCAAGAAAGAGTCCCAAAAGCACCATTTAAACGTTGTATTCCTGATTGATATCAAAATATTATTATCGCTGTTTGGCGAGTATTTCACAAACATAAAAAAACATAAGCTTCATCATATGAGGCTAATAGCTGGAAGTTTTTTTTTTTTTTTTTTCTTTTCCCTCTAGTTGACAGTCATTCCTTTGCTTCAGCGAAAGTTCCCCTTCAGCCTCCAGATGCCCTCCTGACCACAGGTCCGGTGAAAGTCACAGATGCTCCTGAGCAGCTCTCTGAAGATGGGCGCCTGTTTCTGGGTCAGTCTGGGTTTGAAATACTCCAGCACCTCCTGCGTGGTGGCCTCGCCGTCCACACTCGCCTGGAAGGCCACAAAGTTGCGCAGATCCACCAGCAGCTCGTCGTGCTCAGTGGGGGGAGCAGGAGGAGCGCTTGTTCCTGGAGCTCCAGGGCCGCTCTCCTCCTCTTCCTCCTCTGCTGCTGCTCCCTGGGAGGAAGGCTTAGCGATGTGGTTTCGAGCTTTCATCTTGGCCAGCAGAGAACTGGACGACAGCGGCGCTGAGTTTGAATCATCATCTGCTCCTTCCCCACTAAAATGAGCTCCTGCAGTTGGCTTCTTTGAGACAGACTTCGTCACAACAGCAGCATCCTAAAAACAGGAAATAGTGAAGTGAACACACAAGTTTACAAATTGGAAATCGACAAAGTACAGAAACGCATGATGCCAATACCTTGCATTTAACAGAAGCGGCGACAGGCTGGGCAGAAGACGTGACTAAGAGTGAATTCTTCTTCTGTCCAAAACGTTTTCTGAGAGGAAAAAAAAAAAAAGAAAAGCAAAATATAATGTTTGTTTGAAATGGAACAAGCAAAGCTTCTGGTAAAGCCAGCAGAAATGAGGACACTTACTTAGTAGGCGGAGGAGGAGGTCTATTGTAAGGCAACCTGCACTGCTGCCGAGAAATCTTAAGGGCTTTGAGTGCATCTTGAGCCACCCTGTTGGCTTCTGCTTCCACTAGAACATAGTCCGGGTTGGATGACTCCATGATGCTGTCATGTTGCATCACACTGTGGATACCTGAGAAACACCAAGTAGGATGAATAACCCAACCAAACAAAAGATACCCATCTAATACTACAGATGCGCATTGAGCCTACCGGCTTTCCTAAAGAGCTTTGCCAAGACGTAATCGTCAGATTTCTTCTGGTCTTCTGTCGAAGTCTCTTTGTTTTCTTGTTTATTGAAAGTACGTTTCTTCACCAGATGAGAGATCCGGTGGCCTTCGAAGCGAGCATCCCGGGAGTGCTTCCGTTTTTTACGCCTGTGTTTGTCCGTACCCGTGGAGTCACAGTGCTTTCTTTTTTCCCTGTGCTTTCCTCTGTCTGTGTCTCTGTGCTGGTGGCAGCTGGTTGAGGATGGCCTTTCGTTTGCTCCCTCAACTAAACCCGAATCATTACCATCTCTTACAAGAAGCATATTTGGAGAATTACTCATCTCTATATTTTTTGCATTTTGGTTTGTGCTCCAACTGTTCGTTGGCTTGTTTGATTTACCCTGAGAGTTTCCACTGGATGGAGACATGCTGGAGTGACTTAATAATAATGAGTTTCTGTTCTCTGCACCGGATTCTCTCTGTTTTTCTGCAGATGGTCTATAATCATGGCTGACGGAGGGTGAGGACTTTAACCTGTCAGGTTTCTTGGGTACTTTGACGTCAGATCCGGTGCCTGTTTAAAGACAAAAACGTAACTTGGTAAGTTTGTTTTTACATCTTGTTCGGTAGATTGTTATAGGTACATCTCCCTTAAACAGAATATCTACAAACACTTCATTCATTTTTCTAATTCAACTCAAAAAAAGTTAAACTGATACATTATATTGTGATGTATCTGAAGTGTTATTTGCTAACTTTAGATGAATATGGCTTTGAAAATGTACTTTAGCTGAAAATGTTATTATTCTATTCGTACAATTTCAAATTTTAGTAAAGAAATATTAAATGTTGACTTTGCATAAGTCATGTCATCTGCTGTACTTGGCCCACTGTGTATTTTCAAGACCAAAATTCTGAGCCACTATCTATTAGGACATTTTGGACAACTTCATTCTTCCCTCTGTAGACAAGTTTTATGGAGACATTGATTTCATTGTCCAACAGGGCTTGGCTCCAGCCTACACAGTCAAAAGTACCAATACAGACCATGGACACTGTGATTCACTGACCGACAGACAGAGACCTAAATCTCACCGATAATCTATGAAGTATTTTCAAGAGGAAGATGAGAATTATCAAACACAACAATACAGAGAAGATGAAGGTGGCAACTATAACCTGGGCTTCCTTAACATCTCCACATAGCATCAAGCTAATCACCAGCTTTGATGCATGCAAAAAAGACCTGAAAGAATATACTCTATAATACTTATGGAGTATATTCTTTTCTTCCTTTTGTATACTTTTATACCACAATCATCAAAATGATCAGTAATAAATACATGACAAATAAACACTGCATTAAGTTTATACATAACTTGCACTTTTTCAGGTGAATAACTACAGTAAATTACCCTTTTGATCGTCTTCTAACAAATTTAAATGTAGCAGCATACAGTTTTTACATTAAAAAGCACCATAAAACATTTATCTGGTAACAGAATAGACAGTCAGACCTGCAAATATAGCACTTGTCTCTGTTCCCTGCGTTCCATCGGGATCAGCCAAAGTAAAAAGCTCGTAGATGTCATTAGACTTGAAGAACCGTCTTTGTTTGGGATCCTTCAGAATGCGATTGGTGAGAAATTGCTTGAAGATTTGCCTGGATGGCAACACATATAATACAGAATTAGACACTTGTATCTAATTAGTTTTTCCTTTTTAACTCAGCAGGCAATTTTGATCATGTCACCGCAGAGTAGTTTGGCTGATGGATGAGAAAATTAAATAAGTTCACTGCTGCAGGTATCAAAATAGAATCCCTGCAGCTCTTCAATCTGCTTTTTTTTCCAAGAGCTTCGCACTGACACAAGCCAAACACAGCAACAGTTTCAGACTCCTCAATTGGCCATTTAATATTGCAGGAAAGCGTTTCAATTACTGAAAAGTGGGACAGTGCAAATAGTAAAACTGAACTGAGGTAAACGGTAAGAAACGGGGATCTGTGAGGTCAAAGGGAACAAAACTAAACATAAAAATGTGTTAAAATCTCAGGCTTTCTGGAATCTATTTTGTGTGTGTAACAGGGTGATCACATGGATGTTTAAAGTATGCATTAAATCACCTGTGGTAGATTTTCTCTTCAATGGTCCCTGCAGTCAGTAGCCTGTAGATTGTTACCTGCTGCTTTTGACCTATTCTCCACGCTCGTTCTCGAGCCTGTGAAGGACAGATCACATTGCATCGAATCAAGCCGACAGTCAGAATGGAAGACAGAAATAATCAGTATTGAGAAGCTGTAAGAGACGAACACATAAATATAAATATCTGGAAGAAAATAAAGACAGGTAAAACAGAAACAAAAAGGGCCAAATGTTTGATCTCAGCATCATGTAACACTGGTAGAAATGCCATCCGTGTCCATCTGTCTTACATTAAAAAAAGTTTGCATTCATTGGTATTCAGCACATATGACTTTTTCAATCAGATTTAGGTCTGGACTTGAACTGGGCCATGATTACGCTTTCATCTAAACCATTCAGTTGTAGCTCTATGGGTTTGTTTAGTGTTGCTGTAGCACTGAAAGGTGCATACATTCCCAAGAAAATAAAACTGTAGTTTGTTGTGAAAAAGTTTAAGAGGCATGGCTACACTAGAGAGGCTCTAAAGGCTCACCAGAGTAATAATACAGCTGCTAAGTGTTTTATTTGAATTCTAGTATGCATGTGTCCAACCTGTGTGTCGGTGCTGGGGTTCCAGTCTGGGTCATAAATGATAACTCTGTTGGCTCCAGTCAGATTGACTCCCAGACCACCAACTTTAGTGGTCAGCAGGAAGATAAAAATGGATTTGTCCTGTAACAAAGCAGGGCCAGGGTAAAATGTCAGTGGTTAATAAGCAGCATTTCAACACTTTTTACACATTATTGTGATAATCAAAAATTACATTTCATCACAACATTTCAAGCTCCTGACTTTAATAAAGTAGTGCATCCTTTTAGAGCACTAAGCAATAATTAAAACACATTACAGTTCCAAAGTACCTTTAAAGATAAACATGTGCGTCGAGCGATATTTCCACTTATCACACACAGATTAAAGAAGAATTTCCACTCTGAACAACAGATTGCACATCAATTAGTGTCTCCACCTCAGGCTGAGCAGCGGTCCACTGCAGCACTGTGTCCCTAAGGACGGGATTTTCATGGGAAACACTCAGAGCCATTAGGGAAGGTTAATCCTTACCTCGTTGTAGCGAGCAATGAGCGGCTGTCGGGAAGCAATTGCGGTCGTACCGTCCATTTTCAGGTACGAGTAGTCCTTCTCCCTCACAAACACCTCCAAGATGTCCAGCATCTGTACATGAGGGAGACGGTGAAGAAGACGGGGAGGGGAAGAGAGCAGGGTTTGAGGTCTGGATTAGCTCTAAAAGGATTAGAGCAGATTAATATTACATGGACAGAGATGCCGACAGGGAGGGTCTCAGGTTCCCTCTGAGGTTTAATCTCATTGGTATCGACTGCAACAGCTGGGGCCTCTGTCACATGCACACACTTCCTCTGTCTACGACACACTTACACCAGGAAATGTGACATCACGATCTAATAAGAACAAAAAAGATTCTGCAGGGTTCTGAAATATTTTTAATTTCTAAATTTCTTACTTTTCCAAACAAGAGAATTTTGGATACAAATGCAAAACTTCTTAACAAAAGTGTTTACAGTGGTCAGGGTTTAAAAAGAGAGAAATGCAATGACTGACAGATTTTGAACTTTTTCAAAAGAAAAAGTCTAAAAATGTAAATATTATTCAGTACCCTCTTTCTTCCTCCTTACTTAGCCTGACCTGAGAAATGCCTAAAACAAATTAACAAAATATTTGTGTTTGAGTTCCTGACCTGTCTAGACTGAGTGAAGAGCAGGACCCGCTGGCCCTGTTTGAACCAGAGGCGCAGCAGTGACTCAACCACCATCAGCTTGCCCGAGCGTTTCCAAAAGCCAAAGTGTTCCTCCTCGGTTAGCTGGTCCTCTGGGATTCCCCTCAGGATTCGGGGCCCGCCGGAGAAAAGGTCTGGGTGGTTGCAGATCTTACGCAGCGCAATCAAACCTGAGAAAACCTACAGAGAAGAGAATCTGTTAATTTTAAGGTTGTGCAGTGCTGTGCTTTTAAACAAATAAGCCCATTTACTTTAGTCAACAGGAATGAATTAAATTATTTACTTACAGACAATAAAGGCTGTGTTTCATGATGAGGGCCCAGTGGTCACTGCATTAGTAATGGTGGTTAATGGACTGAGAGTGACCACTGAATACGTCTACAGGGGGAGTGTGTGTGTGTGTGTGTGTGTGTGTGTGTGTGTGTGTGTGTGTGTGTGTGTGTGTGTGTGTGTGTGTGTGTGTGTGTGTGTGTGTGGTGTGTGTGTGTGTGTGTGTGTGTGCAAACAATCTGGTCACCCCTGGCTTTTCAATCACGTCCAGTTGGTCAGTTGTGATAAATGGGAGCTTCTATCTCATTTATTAAATTATAAAAGTTAGAATATTTCAGAAGTTAAATTCATGTGAATTTTTTATTTAATTCCTCAGTGTTGCTAATCTCCACAGGCTTCAGTTTAATTATGAATCCAAAAGCCTAAGAACCCAGAATATCAGAAAAAATAAATAAATAAAAACACTTGTTTGCCTCACATTCTTGGCTCTGATCAAGAATTCAAGGATTTTTTCCCCTCATTTTTACAAGCTGAACAAGACAAAAATATCCAGCACTTCTAGTCTGAGAACAATATAAAATTTTGATTAATTCAAATCAGACAAATTTAAGGGACACAATCTTGGGTATAAGGGACATGGTCATGTAATTCCTTAATTTTGAGCTGGATTCAAAATGAATACTTTTGTAAAAGAACTTGTGACAGCACCAAAAAAAAAAGCAGATTGGTACATCTTTGTACATTACAAAAAACATACAAAATACATATTTTTTTCTCTGAAACTTGATTTATCTTTAGTCTTAATACATAAAGAAAGTTCAAATCACAAATTTACTGCCAAAGAAATTTGTTGTCAATATATTAACCATTAGGCTAACTATCCTCAGGAGAATTTTGTCCAGCAGAGGATAGTGAGGGGAGCTGACCTGACAGACCCAACTTGCTCATACCTCTCACCCCCTCAAAAAATGTTTTCAGCTGTTGCCATTAGACAAATGATATCAGGAACTTTAAGACATTAAACTTCTGGTGAGAAGCCAGATTTATGCTTCATGCATAAAGGTTGTGTGCACACAAAGAATGTGCAGCGTCATATTTTACGCACAAGACGGCATGTATAAAAATGAACTTTTTAATCGCACATTTTCGCTGGCGTGAAAATGTGCCGCAACTCCAGACAGGTTTGATTATTTTTAAGGTGATCACAGTGTGTACATGAATTCAAGTAGCTGTGCGAATGTGTGCCACGTAAATGTGGAGCCCTTCGCTTCTGATGGAGAACATCAGCAATGGAAGGATTCAGAGGGAGCGTGTGTTCAGAGACCATATTGATCTGCTGGGGAATGTTGATGATGGTTTATTAGCATTTAGATTGCCCATACTGATCATCCTGGATCTCTGAGCAAAACTTAGAGAGCCATGCGCCACCAGCTTTGTGACTGCGCCTTTCTGGACAGAAAGCATCTTTATTCTGTAAATGTACAATTTATGCACGATTCCACTATTTAGAATAAATACTCAAATGACTCTCTGACATGCTGTCTGCCCGGCTGAAAGCACTACTGTTCAAATAGGCGTTTGCACGATCCCTTTATTTTTTTTTTTTTGAATTTCTTTTCTTTAAAATGTATTACTTTTATTTTTGTGAGGTTACCTTATGTGTCCTGAAAGCACCTTTTAAATAAAATATATAGTTATTATCATTATTATCAATATTTATACTGCTACAAAACAAGGACGATGTCGTGGTTACTGCTTCACGTGGTGGCAGACTTCCGGGTATTTATACTAATTTACATATGTATTTATGGAGGCGACAGGGCGGACCAGCTGCTGCTCTATTTTGCGCAAATGAGGATGTATAAAGGAAAAGTGCACGGCCACGTGCACACGCACGGCTTTATAAATCCAAATTGTTTTGTGCGCTGCATTTTTCTCAATTTTTCCGTCCGCTAACTTTTAGTGTGAAAACTGCGCACTCTTTTATGCATGAGGCCCCAGGTTATTTATTAAGCTCCATTCACTTTATATATTTTATCCATTTTGTGTTTTAATCCATTTGTGTTGCATTTATTTCATATTTTTTCTACTTTCTCAATTTGTTAATATTGTTTGGTATTCAGTAAAGTGGTGAAATGTTCAGATTTGATGATTAATTCCAGCAAAAAGCAAAGAAGAAAATGTTTAGCTCTTAAAATTATATATGCAAGATTAGAGATTTAAGGAGAACGCAACATATATCCTGAATAAGATAGGTTTTAAACTTTTGTGTTTAAAAAAATAGAGTTGAAAGACGTTCCAAAAACCAGAATTATGATATGTGATATTTTATGAGTTTTAAATGAGACTTACCTGCATGTCACCATTTAGTATTTGGTAGACTTCTTTGGAATCTAAGAAGCTTTGATAAACCTGCCGCTGCTCCTCTGTTAATCTGCAGAACAGCACCTGCACACACAAGCACATCAGGACAGAGTAACAGTGAATGTCCACTTTAAAGGCCCCTGATGAAGTGAATTGAGTGAAAGGAGAAATTAGTGGGAGCAATGTGATTTTGTTTTTTTTAGTTGTTGAAGAAAACACCTTCCTGTGGGACTGATTTAATGAGCTGAAGTGGACTGAGCAGTCGAGCAGCATCAGCCACGAGGACAGACCAGAGACCAGCCACTTTAATGAATACCAGCTTCTTTTACTTTACAGGGACTTTATTAGCTGGCTTCACCTGACAGGAGCCATGCAAGGTCATCAGACGCTCAAAGACTTGAAACGTAGCAGAGAAACAGTGACATAGTGGAAAGGATTTAGGTTTGAGGAGTACCTGTTCGTTTTTGTCAGGCAAGGAGAGGTTGGCCTTGACGTCGTCCTTCATTCTCCTGAGCAGGTAAGGATTTATTGTGTCCCTCAACACACATGCACACTTGAACGCCGTCTGGACCTACAAAAAAATTACAACCGGCAAATCTCAGAGATGAACACACACTTCGAAACGTTTCAGATTTCACGGTTTGAGTGGCTTGATTGTCTTGTTTTGTCCCTCACAGGATGGCCAGTAAACATTGACCAGAACACATTTACTCTCAGGGGACTCACGCCCTCCTCTTTCATCCTTGGGACTGATCAGCTTTATTGGAAACAGAGGGGGAGCTCCCAGTTCCATCCCCAGGAACCCCTTCTGTAAACATTCTGCTACACTTTATCTAAAGCTAGCACTAAAAGCCAGTTAGCCTTTTAAACATGAACTCACTCGGGGGCCTGCAGGTGGATCAAAGACACCACTGACGATGCTGGAGGGGAAAATAAAAAGGAGGGATCCGGAGCTAAATGGAGGTCAGAGAGGGAAAAAATCAGAGGAGGGCAGTAGAGGATCCAGCGATCTCAGCACAAGCTGCTGAGTGGAGCCACACGGGGCTGCGAGCAACACGCTCCGATAATGGATCCCATTTCCATACACTCATCAAGTCCAGCCCCAAACATGTATGTTTTCGCTCACATCTGTCTGTACATACGCGCTTTTTATGTAGCATCGAGTGGCTGCTCTGTGACTTTCAAGATTAGGATAAAGCAGCAGAGCCTTGCCCTCTCTGACCATTTAATAACATTAATAATTAGTAAAGGTTTTTATTATCGACAGCGGAAGAAGCATCAATAGCCATCTTAAATAATTAAATCTATACAGTCAGTGGGTTATTAACGATTAGACGCTAATGACAAAGAGCTACAATTTAGCTCGCTGGCTCTTTACTTTATCCTCTTCCACTCTCACACATTAGGGAAGAACTCAAGTTCCTTTGCACGGACCTACATTATCCAGGCTTAATAGCTCTGTTGCTCCACTCTCCTTCCTTCTGACCGGCTTCAGTCCAGCCACGCAGAAGTGTGCAGAAATGCCTTCATGTGAGTTTGCTTGTCACCTCTCCTCGTCATCATGTTAAAAGGGATTAAACGCCTGACAGACCACCTTCATCATACAGCAGGGTCATGTACCTGGACAGGTGATGCGTTACTGTATCCTCCCATAGTTATTGGCACAGAAAACTGCTCCATGAAGACAGGAAGTGTCCCTAGTTTGCCAGGGAAGACGAAGTCAAACAGAGACCACAGCTCCTTCAAGTTGTTCTGCATCGGTGAGCCGGACAGGATAAATCTGTGAGGAGTGCGAAACTCCATGGAAGAAAGCAAGAATATGAGTCCATATATTAACGACACAATTAATGGTAGAAAACTCCTCAGGGCTTCTTATTGTCTCACATCACTGATCTGTTAATGCTTTAAGAAGAGCAACATCTTATCGGTCCCACTTTTGTCATTTTTCTCTCTCCTTTACTTGACTTACTTTCACTTTAATTAAAACAAATAAAGATAAACCAAAATCTATTTTATTCTTAAAATGTACTTCTGATTGTGATGACTAGTGAGTTTGCTGATAGGTGGAGGGTTATCTGTTTAGTCAGTGTGTAAAGATGCTTTCTGGCAGAAAGAGACTCTAAAGTAGGCACAGGTTGGTTACAATTTGATATGTTTTAATTATTTTTGTAAAATCAAAACATCTGAAATATTTTTCACCTAATCTAGGTTGCCTTTCAACATTCTCATGATGGCTTCCTCTTTTCACACTGAAAATGTATTTATACTGGAAGGAAGAAACTTCAGAACATTTCCTACTACCTATAAAAGATGGAACCTCACTGAACTTTGTGCCTCCTTATTAGTGTGGATGTGATACCTGTTTGCAGGCGACGGTGACACCAGCGTTTGGGTTCCTGATCTTGTGGCCTTCATCCAGTATAACATAGTGCCAAGCATAGCGCTGTAAGATGTCTTGCAAATTTCTCACTGCTGAATATGATGTGATCAGGATGCCATGACCCGCTGCTATCTCTGGAATCAACTTTTCCTGCAGCATAGAAAAAAAATATATATATATATATATATATATATATATATATATATATATATATATATATATATATATATATATATATATATATATATACTGGATAGCTCAATACATAAGGCATCAGTATATCACCCGAGAGGGCAGGGTTCGAATCCAGTCTGGGTCCTTAGGCAAGACCCTTCAAGCTACTGCCTACCTCATACCATGAGAGATACTAAGTTGCATAACATGCCGGCTCAGACGTCGCCCGGCCAAACAAGGTCTGCGTCAGGTGTTGGGGAACCAGAGCACCTTGATGACAAATGGGCTACTGGAACAAGACGGAAATGGGCGAGAGATGAAAATGTGGATCTGTTGGAATGCTACTACTCAAGTAACCCTAGTGAGAGAGGTTACATGCAAAGACTGGGGAAGGAATGGTTACTTCGACATCCCCAGTCAACACTAAGCACTAAACAACTAGTAGCTCAGTGTTCCAACATCCGCAAACGGCAACTGCTATCACAACTTGAGATTGACGAGATACAACACAAATGCTACGGCAAAAGGGAGGAACCCGGATGTCAGGACTGTGGGGACTTAACTACAAGTCCCCACCCAGTGAGGGGATACACGGCCCCAACGAGCGAAACAGAGCTGAACGAGACAGCTGCTGACCTGAGAGAGAGAATCATGACCCAAATGACAACCAGGCCTCCCCGGCGCCAATTACAACGGCTGAGTGAAGTACCATCTGAAAGTCTCATTGAGAATGTGAATGCAGCATTGAGAACGATCCCTACCAACACCATAACAGAAACCAATGAGCTGATCTACAACTCAGCATCAGTGATCCTTGAGATACTTGGCTATAAGAGCAACCATGAGACCCAATACCCACCATGGAAAAGACGGTTAGAGGCTAAAATCAAGGTAACAAGGAGGGAAGTGAGCCAACTGTCAGAGCTCCACAAGGGTGCAATGAAAGACCAGTACCCAGAAAGTACAGGCAGATGCCCATACCTGAAGCACTCGAGACTGCCAAACAGAGGCTCCAAGCCTTGTCCAGCCGCCTAAAGAGATACACAAGGGAGAATGAATCCAGAAGGATTAACCGGCTGTTCTCCACTCAACCAGCTAAGGTGTACTCTCAATGGCAGGGTAATAACAACAGAGCAGACCCACCAACGCTGGAGACTGAACAATACTGGAAAGGCATATGGGAAAGGGAGGCGTCCCACAACAGCAATGCACAGTGGCTGATCTCTCTACGAGAGGACCACAGCAACCTCCCTGAGCAAGCCCCGGTAACCATCACTGTGACAGATGTCCAAGAAAGAGTCTCAGGTATGAAAACTGGACAGCACCAGGGCCTGACATGATCCATGCCTACTGGCTAAAGAAACTCACTGCTCTCCATGAGCGAATGGCAGCCCAATGAACCAGCTGCTACAAAGTGGGACTCACCCTGAATGGTTAACTGAAGGGCGGACAATCCTAATCCAGAAGGATCCATCAAAGGGTCCAGTCCCACCCAACTACCGACCAATAACCTGCCTCTCCACAACCTGGAAGCTCATGTCAGGCATCATAGCGCCAAGATAAGCAAACACATGGATAAACACATGAGCACGGCACAGAAGGGTATCGGTGTAAATAGCAGAGGAGCCAAACACCAACTCCTCGTAGACCGCACAGTTGCCCGAGACTGCAAAACCCGACACACCAACCTGTGCATGGCTTGGATTGATTACAAGAAAGCCTATGACTCAATGCCGCATACTTGGATCATTGAATGCTTAGAGATGTATAACATCAACAGGACTCTGAGAGCCTTCATTGCAAACTCGATGAAGCTGTGGAAAACCACCTTGAAGCCAACTGCAAACCACTTGCACAAGTGTCCATCAAATGTGGCATATACCAAGGAGATGCTCTGTCCCCGCTACTGTTCTGCATAGGCCTGAACCCCTCAGCCAAGTTATCAACAAGACTGGCTACGGATACAGACTCAAAAATGGGGCCAATATCAGTCACCTACTCTACATGGATGACATCAAGCTGTACGCCAAGTGTGAGCGAGACATCGACTCACTGATCCACACCACCAGGATCTACAGCACTGACATTGGGATGTCATTCGGACTAGAGAAATGTGGTCGGCTGGTCACAAAGAGGGGGAAGGTCATCCACACAGAAGGGGTCTCACTCCCAGAAGGAACAATAGCAGACATAGAGGACAGTTACAAGTACCTAGGTATACCACAAGCAAATGGCAACCTCGATGAGGTCACAAGGAAAGGAGCCACAGCTAAATACCTCCAACGAATAAGGCAAGTCCTGAGAAGCCAGCTCAATGGCAAGAACAAAATCCGTGCGATAAACAGCTATGCCTTGCCAGTAATCAGATACCCTGCTGGAATAATTAGCTGGCCAAAGGAGGAGATAAAAGCCACAGATATTAAGACCAGAAAGCTACTAACAATGCATGGAGGGTTCCATCCCAAATCCAGCACCCTGAGACTGTACACGAGCCGCAAAGAAGGAGGCAGAGGACTAGTGAGTGTGAGAACCACTGTCCAGGACGAAACAACTAAGATCCATAAATACATCAGGGACAAAGCCTCAACAGACAATGTGCTCAGTGAATGTCTCAGACAACAGGGAACGGAGGTTGAGGTGCCAGAGATACCATCATGGGAGGACAAACCCCTACATGGGATGTACCACCAGCAAATAACCCAAGTGGCTGATATCAGTAAATCCTACCAATGGCTGGAAAAAGCTGGACTCAAGGACAGCACAGAGGCCCTCATCCTGGCAGCCCAGGAACAGGCCCTAAACACCAGAGCAATAGAGGCCCAGATCTACCACACCAGGCAAGACCCAAGGTGTAGGTTGTGCAAGGAGGCCCCTGAGACAGTCCAGCACATCACAGCAGGGTGCAAGATACTGGCAGGGAAAGCGTACATGGAGCGACATAACCAAGTGGCAGGCATAGTGTACAGAAACATCTGTGCAGAATATGGACTGGAAACCCCAAGATCAAAGTGGGAAACACCCCCAAAGGTGGTGGAGAACACCAGAGCTAAGATCCTGTGGGACTTCCAGATCCAGACAGACAAAATGGTAATGGCGAACCAACCAGACATTGTCGTAGTGGATAAACATCAGAGGAAAGCCGTTGTGGTAGATGTAGCAATACCAAGTGATTGCAACATCAGGAAAAAGGAGCACGAGAAACTAGAGAAATACCAGGGCCTCAGGGAAGAACTGGAGAGGGCCTGGAAGGTGAAGACCACAGTGGTGCCTGTGGTCATCGGGGCCCTCGGGGCAGTAACCCCCAAACTGGAGCAGTGGCTACAACAGATCCCAGGAACAACATCAGACATCTCAGTCCAGAAATGTGCAGTCCTTGGCACAGCCAAGATACTGCGCAGAACCCTCAAGCTCCCAGGCCTCTGGTAGAGGACCCGAGCTCAGAGGATAAGAACCACCCGCGGTGGGTGAGAAGGGAATTTTTTATATATATATATATATATATATATATATATATATATATATATATATATATATATATATATATGTATATATATATATATTAGTTGCTAGGAGTCTATGCTGCAAATGATGAGCACTGGAAGGAAAGACCTAGACCGGAATCAAACTCTCTACAAACAAGCACACACAAATTAAAACATTACCTTGTTGCTGGTGAAAGAGCCGGTTTCATGCAGGACTGCCACTCTGAAAGGAGGCCACCAGGTGTGGAACTCCTTCACCCACTGGTGCATCACAGTGGCCGGGCACACGATCACTGTTGGACCCAAACCGACGTATCTGGAACCAAGCACAAGAGAGAAATGTTTCACCCCAGACTGGTGATCAGGAGGCAAATGAAAAACGTAAAATTAGCTTGGTTTGCGTGCAACTTCATACTTCTTAAAGAAACAACACAAAGTTTTCCTGCAACTGTGTCTCTAACTTAAGAATCCAAGGAATTAATGGGACATATCCTCAGCTCTTCTGTAAAGATTTACAATACCACTGTCAAACACACACCAATGTGTACTAATGGGCTGGTATGAGCCTCTGACTGGTGGAAGCTATTGATACTGGGGCATAATTGAGTTTGCAAACAATCAATTTGTGGGCGTCTATAGTAGACACAGTATTGACCATCTGGGAGACTCCACCCATCGAACGCACAAAGTGTCATTTGTGCAGCGAAACCTGATTATCTCCAACACTATGCCGCGTTTCCGTGGCTGACAAGCTGTCCCGCACCTGCCCCGCCTACATTTCACGAGTCAAAAGGTTCATTTTAGGAAGCCATGAAGACGCTATCAGTCTTCCTCAAACACACACAGGCAGAACATAAGTGTTTTCTCTTATGTCTGCAGTAAGAAAGTGAGGAGTCTGATAATTGAAACACGTTTAATAATTCAGACGAACACTCTCAAGCAGAAATCCTCCTGATCAAATATTCATACCATACAGACACACAGTCTCTGGACACAGTTTATTTGTGCAAGTGTGTGTGTGTGTATATATGTGTGTACCTGTAGTTGGACCCTCTAGTCCTCAGTTTACTGTAGCTTAGTCCTGCCAGAAAGCTGATGACCTGGATGGTTTTGCCCAATCCCATCTCGTCTCCCAGGATGCCTCCTGCCTGCTGACAGTGGAGTTCCCACATCCACCGCACACCGGTCTGCTGGTACCTAGAGGTGTTATTAATACGTTGCAGGGACCAAACACAACCAAGTTAACAGATGTTAAGGAGTTGGCTGACAAAACGCACACATTTTCCCGACAGATTTTTTTCTTTCGTAACCACTAATAAATTATCAATGAACCCATTTGTTTCTTTTCAAGTTATCAAATATTCCTGTTTATTATCATCTTATAAAGGACAACCAAATCAGTGGGAGAACTCTATGACAAAGTTGAGTTTGCAAACAATCACTATATTAACATTAGTTGATATAAAGTGTGTAAGCATTTATGGATACTTAATGATCTTCCTAACTGTGAATGTTCACACTGAACCTACTTGTACAGTTTTTTCCAGAGGAAACCAGGAACTTTGAAACCTTCGTCAAACTCTGCGTCACTGTCGTCTGTAAGCTCCTCCCCCCTTTCTCGCTTCTCTTCTCGTTCTCGAATCCGCTGTCGCTTCCATTTCCTAAAACAAGGAAATCAATTATGAGCATGTCTGCACACTAAATCAGTTTACATATAACAGCAATTGTATTTATTTATGAATCTGCAATGCAATTGAAAATATTTATTGATTGATTAAAGATATATGGAAGTTTTCATATGTCCATGGGCTGTAAATAGCACAGAGGAGATTTTGCAACAAAATAAGTTATTTTAAAGAGGAGAGTCTTAACAGTGCAGGGGAGAGGGCAGTTAAAGGCACAGTCGTCATCCAGCAAATGAAGATTGATACAGACAATTAGCAGCGTGAGTTCCCCAGAAAGGTGTGAGGTGTGCAGGATAAGAATCCATCTTCATTTGGGCCCGGTCCTGTCACCCTCTTACAAAACCGGTCCTTTAGCTGGGCCTGGGAGACCACACTCTCTAATTAAGTCAAGACTAAGCATTGGTTCAGTTAATTACACTTTTCTGCCCCCCACCCTGCTTCAGCCCCTGCAACCGAACCAGAAATTCAGCCCACTCTAATAATATCATTCTTCACATGAGCCCAGTCTCACCACCATGACATGTCTGCCCATTTGTATGGACATTTAGTTGCTAGGAGTCGAGAAAAATACATGTGCCAACACAATTTATTTGGCAGCTATAAATATGAAATCTCATTAGGGCTGCGCTTCCATTTATTTGAGCATCGGGGTGAATGAGAGCATAAAACCATGTGCAGAAGAATAATTAGGCCAGTGCAAGAGCAGAGAGTGAAGAGAAGAACCGAGAGTGAATTTGCTTAGTCAAGAAACAGCTGCCAATCTCATCTGGGATTAACTCTCTCTCTTCGCACTACAGAACCAGCAAAATCAACTGCTTTTCACCTTAAATAAAGTCAAGAACAATAGCCTATTTACACAATTGCCATTGCAAATTAGAGCAAAAAAACAACAAAAAAAGTCTAAATCTTTTTCTGGTTGAGAATTTACAAATGTGACTTGATACATAAGACTAGCTGATAAAAAAAAAACCTTTTTTTTAAATCTCTGCATACACTCGTAATTTGAGAGAACTAATCTTACCTTATTCGCTGCCTATAGGAGTCCACATCCCCATCGTCTTTATATTTTTTTGATCTACCCTGGTTATTGTCGTCGTCTGAACTCTCAGGAGAGTATTCATCCTCACTTTTGTTTTTCTTCATTTTCTTCTTTCCTGTGCCCACCATTTTTTTCTTGTACGGTTTTAGTTCATACTCTTCATCATTGCTATCCCCAAAGCCCTCCTCCAGGGCTTCCCTCTCCTCCTGGTCTAAGTCCAGTCCCTCATCACTGGGCAGGTACTCTGACCCCTCGCTGTCTGTCTGCTCTCCCTCTGTGCGTTGTTTCCTCCGAAGCTTAGGAAGTTTTGGCTCAGCCTTGGGTCGAGCCTTAGGATGGGTTTTCAAAGCATTTATCTGCAGCTTTCGCATGCGCTTCTTCAGTTTTTTGTCCTTGGATGAGGAGACGTTTTTTCCTGTTTTGGTCCTCTCATAAAGGTGGAGTGCAGAACTTTTCTTCTTCTTAAGAAGAGGTACCTTCTTCCGCTCTGTGGCCAATTTGGCCTGGTCCGCGAGGTACTGGTCAAATGCAGAGTTCTCAGCCAGCATCAGTTTCCGAGGCTCCTTCTTTACTTCCTTCTGTGGGATTCGGGTACCGAAAGGAGTCATGTGACCTTTCCGGATGAGTTCCTCCCATTCGGTCTCCTGTGCCGGCATGAGCATGCTGCCCAGCGTGGATGGTCCAGATTCTGATAAAACAGACAAAAATGCAGAGTTAAATATATTGATATTAAACTCCTATGGCATGCTTTTGGCATCCGAAACCAATATGTTAGCCAGAACTTTGTGTTCCTGTAAGTTGCCAGGTGGATCGGACTTGCTTGTTGGGTCGTAATTCAGAGAACACCTAAAACTTTTTGTTGTACTGCTCAAACCTTCACAAGAGTCATTTCTGAATGTGATTTCCATGAAAGGATGCAAAAGGTCTGCTTAGGTTGGTGGTGCTTGTCAAGTTAAAATCCACATGGATGTAAAGCCTCAAAGTTTCCCAACAGAACACAACCTAAAGTCACAAGTTCGTTTTCTTACCATATTGTCTCTTGATGCCATGTGTCTGCAAAGCGCACATATTGTTCAGTTTACTGGTTTTCAACCAGTAAACTGAATGACACTTATCAGCCTCATCAGCTATAGTACATAATAATTTTATTGCATAATATAACTGTTTCTCTGTTTTCAAGTTAGATAAAATCTTTTATCTCCATCACACCTAATAGGCAGCAACAAACAGGATCCAAAGTCCTTTGCAAATATGTGATGACACAACTGACTGGAAACAAACCATAGATAAAAATTCAACATCATTGCGACTATAAAAAGAAAATGAAGTCCATTGCTTAGAAAGGACATGTGAAGGCAACAAAATGTAAAAACATAAAACACATCACCGTCTTCTCCATCATCTTCAGCCAGCAACTCGGCTTCCACTCTCTGAATGTCCTCTCCTCCCAGTACGGCCTGAAGTCGCTTCTGTTTCGCTCTTACTTTTTTCAGCTGTTTCTCCTGAAACACATTTTTTGTGCAATTAGTGACACTATTTTTATTGATCAGTTACTTGGGATGGAATGTATACATATAAGGCTTACCTTATTTTCTTTCTGTCGTTTTACAGACTCAATTTTCCTGCTGATATCCTTGCTGGAGGCTGCATAGGGAGACAGCTGCTCAATAATCTTGTTGATGTGTTTTAAAGATGATGTAACAGACCTGCAAGACACACGAGCAAAGCAGAATAAGCTTTATGGGTAAACTGTTGACTTAATTGTTGCTTAAAGAAAAGAAAAAACAAACTCTGACAAACAAAAATACAAGGTTTCTATCCAACTGAAAATTCCATAAATTTCCAATCTGAAATTTAGATGGATGGATGGACAACAGCTAAATGGATGGGCAAACAATTAGATGGATAGAAAAATACAACTATTCAGACAATAGGACACACACTAATACATATTTTTACAGATTTATTTTTCATAAATACCCACAGTTGGAAAAAATTTAAATAAGTCTTTATACTTTCACAGCACACAAGGGCTTTCCTCTATATGGTCTTATTTTTTAACATATTGGTCACTAAACACATAGATAACAGTTGTTTTCTTGGGAATATTTTAATAAAACACTTTATTAAAACATAAAAAACATTGCAAAGAAGTGTTCCTCACCTGACATCATCTAGTACAGACTCGTACTCCTTCTCAGCCTCAGCTTTTGCCGCAGCCTGACTCGCTTCATGGATCGCCTCATCCACTTGTTGCAGAACACCTTGCTCGAGGACATCCTGATCATACACAAACACACCAAGGCCTTGCAGCTCGTCTGCTCCAGAGCTGGCAGATGCCACTTTGATGCGCTGACGGTCGATCTGCAGCAAGGTCCCCGACCGCTTGCCGGCTAGACATGCCACACATATCATATCAGTAAATTAACTGAATCCATTTTTGAGATTTTCTTTTTCTTACATCAGTTATTCCTGCCAACGCGTAGCATAGCTTACCACTGTTACCTTCCCCGGGTCCAGTGTTGGCAGGGTAGGCTGCAGCTGCCTCAGAACCATGACCGTTCTCAGGGAAAGTACAGACTGCAGAACCTCTTGCAGATCCATCCTCCTCCAAACCTCCTGGAGTGAGAGCAGCACTAACCGGGCTGGAGAAGGAGGAGGACGGCTGGGGGTCTGCAGCTTCTACAGGCATGGTGATGAAGCTGCAAACAGAGCAATGAGGAGGTGAAAATACGTTCCTAATTTTAAACAACATTTTCCTTCAAGTATCTATGAACAATAAAACTGAAGAAAATCAGCGTTGGTCTATGTATTACATTGTCCAAAAGAGGCATTTACAAGTAGTTCACAATTAGCAGTACTGAACGTTAGCTTTCCATACCATACATAAACTGCTTTTGAGACATACCAATTATTAAGGGATCATTAATGCAAATGAGTTTGTATTTTTGTTATTAAAGATCAACTTTAATAACACAGGTACGAAACACATTGTATGACAGAGAACAGAACAACATATGAAGTTACAGTGTGGACATAAAAGAGTGACGAACGTCAGATCATTGCACGGGCTTCCATTGTTTATGTGGCTGTACATATGTGCTAGCCGGCTAAGCTAACAGAGAGCGGAACACATCATCAGCTGTTCGGCTAAAATAATCTGCTCTTCAGCGTCAGTTAGCAAATCATAAGTTACAGAAATGTCTGTAATAACGTCGGAACATTAAATACAGTAACTTAGGCAACGACTTAAAATGTCACTCACAAGACATGTAGTTACACAACATCACCAGCTCGTATTATGTCATGTTGCTTGCTAGGCTTCCTCACAGCTTCCTCAAAGAATAGACAGACGTCCCATGAGCGTCGATGGTACGTCACAGTGGCTGCCATATTACGAGTGGCATTTTATTTTATTTTTGTTGTTGTTGAAACGTCACAGTTAAGTTTCAGTCAAACTGTGATTTTTGTGATCTGCAAGGCATTTGGGGGATAAGTCTGATATGCTTACAGTGGATGAAAAATGAAGAAGAATAAAATTATTGATGTGTTAAAGAGCATGCCAAATATAGTTCGACCAGAGCTTTGCTGTTCATTTTAAACCCTGGATACGGTTTTAACATAAACTGTTAGTTTCAAGACAATTTCTTCGAATGAAAGGAAGGTATAGTCTTCTGCTTTTTTATGAGCATTTGCAAGGTGAATCTGCCACCCACATTATGATGAAACCCAGTTATAAAAACTCTCGGTTTTTTTCAGCTTTTGTGCCAGTTGGCCTCTAGATGACGCCATAAAACAGCGTATTGTCGTTAATGATGACACTAGGCCTTAACCATGGACTTAAACAAGTGGCTCTGCGCGAATCTTAGTGGAAGTGAAATTGAGCTGAAAGTCTATGCTTTATTTATTTTAAAGTAGGTTACTTGTTTTACTATTTTGCAGTTTTATAAAGTCGTTAATTTGTTAGTGGTAACAAATAAAATCAATATGAATTTACCATGTTTTTCAAATGTTCTCTTCTGGGTGTTTAATCTATTATGTTGTAATTAGATAAACCATGGGATTAAATGCTGTAATGTTGTTTGATACCACTGACCTCTCAGGGACTACAAATTGAAATTGGTCTATGTGGCTGAAAATATGCTGAATAACGAAAAGCACACTTGAGTTACATAAAAGCAAAGTAGGGTTATCATCTCAAAACAAATGTGGTGAACACTGATGGAACGTGGTGTCGATTTACTTTCAGAGGGCTTCTAAATATGTTTGGTTGCAAAATTTTTGGTGCAACAATAGAAAATGTAGGACGAGAATTTTTTTATGTTGTACATTTATCTATGTTATGTATAAACAGTTTTGGAAGAAGATTAATTGATCAACCCACATTGTTCTGGCAACACCTTGAAAATGCACTGCAAACATATATAGTTTCTCTGCAAAAACTTTTTTTTTTAATGTTTCAGTTCTTGCAGACCATGCATGTTGCAAATTTAAATACTGCCAAGTATTAGCATTCTGAGAGGAAGTTTATTTCCAGTTTCTTGCAACAATAAATGAAAGACTTAATTAAAAATATCTTCCCTGTTTTGCAGTAGGGTGCTTGAGGAAAGTAAAGTTATCTTTACAAATTGGATTATCTGTGTAAGCAAACAGAGCTATATAGGGGTTCGTTGCTGTCACACTTGGATTAGAAAGTGCTGCTCGATGTGGGTCACCTTCAGTGGAATTTCTCCAGAGAAGCTGGAGGGGATTTAGATTTAAAAAGGACTGAACCACATAAAAAGTGTGTCATAGCAAGATGTGGGAGTTTAATTTGTGTAGAAGCTTGTAGGGCTGAAGAGATCAGGTTATCAAAAGATGTCTTGGAGATACATAAACTTAAATAAACCATCCAGTTTGAGATAAATCACCTATGATCAGAAATAGCAAATTAATCCCTTCACACAATGTTGTTACTGTTTGGTTGAGTTGCAAGGAGGAATGTATGTAAACCAGTGGATGTAAACCTCCATCTTTCATATTGCCAGCCACTACTCACCAACCTTTATCTCCTGTGAGGAGGAGATAATATTTATGAATTGGTTGTGTTTTCAACACATCATAATTTAGGCACATTTCCTCAGGTTAAGCTTAGGTGACAGACCACACAAGGCTCACAGGATTGACTGCATAACAAAGATGTTAGTCTGAACTTTATGCTTTCTTTTGTTTGCAACTCCCAGCAGTTTGTGGGCAGAGGTTTTGGAGATTTATAAGGTGTACAAGGGCAGAGTGCAAATCTCAGAGGGACGTATTGAGGGTTCTGTTAACACTGCCACTTTACATTGTGACAGTAGAATAACAAGCACCGAAAGATTTAAAGAGAAACTGTTGTAGGTTTACATTTAGGAACGTTTGTCAGGTTTGCATTTCAGCTTTTTTCCATTAGCTTATAACTCCACCAACATGCTGGATGTTTATGTACACAGTGCAGTCTGTGAGGCACTGTAAATGGACTGGAGCAAATGTGACTTGTGGTTTTCTCTGTATTCTTTTGGATAGTTGCAAAAATACAGAAATTTTTCATGTTTTTTTTTTTATCCTTGCACACATTGTAAGATAAGATTGCTTTAAATCATATGGCCTTCTGCTCCTGTATGTTTTAAGTATTAGATGACCTGAAATGAAATTTAGTTGTGCTTCTGTACAATAACATTAAAGGCGTTGTGATTCTGATTGTGAGTTTATGAAAATATTCTTAAGTTGGGAAAAAGTCAAAAGTCTGTTCCTAATAAAATTGTTTATCTCCACTGTCAGTATTTTACCTTGTTTGTAAATTTTGTTTATTCTTTGAAGAGTTTCAAACATTTTCAGTTGAAGATTCTGAGTTTATCTTGACAGTCCCAAAGATGAACTTTGTCTGGTTTTATACTCATGCTGAATCTTCCTTATTTACGTTTTTTTCTTTATAGAAATGCTCTGCTTTTGGAGCTCGGGTCTCCAAAAGAAGTCACAGGTTCTTCTTGGTGTTACAAAAACCGAATATTTTCCTAAGTAATATATTCAATGATCAATGCCAGTTGGTTAGGTTATGATTAAGTATATTGAAACTAAATATATATATAAGGGTAAATTTAGCACAACCCTTTTTGTCAATGTAGTACATTACAAATCTTACAACTTTCATTCTGAAGCACATCTCAACCTACTTTGAAGGGCAAACAGGTCCAGTTTGTATCCAAATATATGAAGGGGAGATTATTAAAATTCATTCAAATCACATAGAAATACTCAACTTCAGCAATGATACAATATAGTTAATTCAGTCAAAACTGTGTACTGTGGGTAAAAATCACTACAAGCAGCTAAGTGGGACAATCACTTTGCCACAAGCAAATGTCTAAGGACATAATGGGTCAACATGAGGACTTTGATGCCCTGCAATGCCACAGAATTTTCCATAAATCAACAACTGTAAAACCTTATCATGTCTACATTAATGTATGCTCTAGCCAGACTGCTCAGCACATGCACTGGGAAGTTTGTAATACCTCCCATGTGCTCTCCTGTCTCTGTTAATATGTGTCTCATTTTGTGTCTGACAGTAATTACAGGGGTGGTCTGGGTTCTCGTTGTCTGGGTTCTCATCTGGGTCCATCAGACCTCAGTCATGTTGCAGCAGAAGATTTGGGTTCATCTGGTTGCCATTTAACTGAGCAACAGGTGTATGTTTATGTTTCCAAACTGCCACATTATAACCTTACACTACTGTGCTCCTGTAAACTTCACAAAACTGGTTTTGGGAGATTAACTTTTTTAAAAGCCTAGCCTGAGGCAAAAGAGGACAATCTTCATCTCACTAAAAAGGTTTAACGTGATCATCAAATCACACACAGCTGCCTGCAAGCTGGATTCCACAATCATTCTGTCTATCTGTTCAAGGACAGTCGGTGTCTGTGGATTACTGTGAGTTCAAGCAAAACTGTGTATTTAGCGGACCCCAACACAACAGAGACAAACCACACCAGGAGAAATCAGGATGAGGCCAGTGTGGTGATCTGACATGTCTCACAAAAACCACAAGTACCCTAGTTAGGCCTCCGTCTTCTCTGTATACACTTTTCTCAGGCGATACCATCTCCTGTTTGATGTGTGTTGGAGGAATTGAACTTGCAATAGTTGCAGGCCACAAGAATGCAGTCTGAACTGTTTGGATGATGTGCAGTGGCAGTGGTGCCCCTACTAGAGTCTGGCCTGAAACACGAGCTGATACAAGTTGAAGAAATACAGAGCAGAAATGGCTAGACTGGTGACTCCCGAGTTCCTAACAACGTAGCTATCCATGGTTGCTGTTCTGAAGTGTTTATTTCGTAAACCTTAAAAAGGAGCTCCAATTGTCAAGCTGGTGATGGATTCACTGACAGGTTCCTCTCGTTAAAACAAAAACAGCTTATCTGTCAAATCCTGGAGAAGTAATGGAGGTTGATAAATGGACAGAGTTCAATATGAACTCCCTCCAACAGGCAAAAATCCAGCTTATTAAGGTTGTTAAATCTCTCAGTGAATTAAACTGGGTTATGGCTATCTAATTTGTTAAAGTCCCACAGGGAGAAGAAATAAGGGGTCTTGCTTTGTCAGCAATTTCAATGTGTTCTCAAATGGATCCATAATTATGTGTGCAACATGCTTCTGTCATTAAACTGTTCAATCTTCACAAAATAAGCTGCAGCTTTGTGTTACTAAAACAGTAACTCGGTGAGAAGCTGGGTGTAGATGTGGGGAGGCAAGCAGTTGAATGGCTGATAGAATACATAGTGAGCAAGGAAGCAAAATATAAATTATATTGTGAAAATGTATATTTATATTGTGAAAATTAATCATATTCCTTAATTCATTTTTTGCCAGTTTAACAACAAAAATGCCAATTTATTTCATTAAAATTTTATTTGATTGCATAGACGTACAAAATTTGCAAGAAAAAAAATTGTACCCGGTTTTCAAAATAAATTTAAAAATAAAAATCTGCGGCTTCACAGTGGCGCAGTAGATAGCACTGTTCCCTTGCAGCCAGAAGGTCCTGGGTTCAGTTCCCGAGTCTTTCTGCAAGTTGTCCCTGTGCAACGATGGGTTCTCTCTGTGTACTCCAGCTTCCTCCCACAGTCCAAAAACATGAATGTCAAATAAATTGGTTTCTCTAAATTCTCCCTGGCTGTGTGAGTGTGTGTGCATGGTTGTTTGCCCAGTGACAGACTGGCGACCTGTCCAGGCTGAACCCCTCCTCTTGCACAAAACGTTCACTGAAGATAGGCACCAGCACCCTTCCCGAGCCCACTAGGGACAAGGGTATTAGAAAATGGATG